TTAAAAAGATATATTACCATTATTAAATAAGCAAACCCATGCTTAAGCATTTTAAGTTTATATTATGTAATAATTATAAATTTAATTATGAAATCTTAGTTAATATAATATATTTAAGTAAACATTTAATCCTTCACGTTATAAACTAAGCCATTACTTTTTAGGAAGCGAAATTCTTAAAATTTATATCTATAAAGACTACATAACAGATACTATAAATGCTCTAAATTAATATATACTAAGAACTACCAAATGTTATTAAATATAATATAAAAATAAATTTCATATCCTTAGAATTTTATTTAAAGGCATAAATAATAAGAATTAAATGCAAATAAATTCTTATAAAGATATATTAATTTATTAAAAAAGTTAAAAAATACCATTAAGCCCTTAAATAAGCATATAAAATCCTATACACTAAACTATATAACAGCATAAATAACGATGCTATTTTATAGATAGCTATAAAAGCTATTAATAATATTGCTAAACTAAATGAATTAATTCCTATACTCTTAGTCTTTAGCGCCTACCCATAAGTATTGCATAAATTACTACCATTATTATTAACATAAAAGCAAGTAAAAGCTATTTTAAAGGCTATAAAGATATTACGAAAAACTATGGCTAAACAATAAGTATAAAATACATTAAATATTAAGATTAAACCTATTTTTAATATAAAATATCCGCTATAATATAAAGTTTATATATAAAGAGAGAGAAAGGGATAAAAGGATTTATATAAAGTTATTGCTATAAATGGCTATAATATAACCTTAAATATGCTAAATAAAGTTGCAATATTTAAGTTAATAATTATTTAACTATATTATTAAGATAATAATAAGGAAATATAATCCTTGCAAGCAAAAAACCTAGCCATAGAACTTTAAATGCAACTTATTATATAACTACTATTATTAAAGATAAAAAACTATATTATTATATTATATATCTTAAAGAAAAAAAATAAAAACTATAATTTAGTGATTAAATTAAAATAAAATAAAGTTATTATAATACTAAGCTTATTATTTAAAGAATTTAATAAAATAAAAATTAATAACCTTATTGCTAAAGATATTTTTTAAATCAAGAAATGGTTAATAAAGTAATATAGCAAATATTATCTCTTTAAGTTCTGCATAATATAAAAGATAAAAGGTAAAACTATAAAACCCTATAAAAAATCCTAATTTATTATTTAAGGTTATAATAATAATAAAAAGGAATTAATCTTAATGCAAAGCCTAACTATTTAAAGAATAAGCTAATAAACAATCCTTATACTTACCCCCTTATTAATTTAAGAAAAAGGCATAATTCTTATACTTTAAAATATTATTTAAGCTTACCTCTAAGCAAAGTTTAAACTATATAAGATAATTCTTATAAAGCTATTAAAGGAACTAAAAAATAAATACCCTTTAAGCATAATTATCTATATCATTTAACCCTTATATAGCATAACAAAATCTAGCATTTATTAATTTAATATATATTAAAGATATTATTAATAAAAACTTAAGATAAACTACTTTATATATAATCCTTACTTAATAATTATAAAGCTTGCATAATTCTTTAAAATAATAAGCATATAAATAAATAATATATTAATTCTATTTATGCTAAAATTCTAAAATAAGGAAAAGATTAAGATAAAAGCTACAAAATTACAAGAAAAACTAAAATAAGAGCTAATACTTAAAAACTTAATGAATTATAACAAGGCTTACATAATTATAAATATTACCGGCTTAATTACTACTTAATAAAAGGAATAGGCCAATAAACTTACCCTTATTAATATAATAATTAAAAACGCTCTCTAAAGATACCTTAAATAAAAAGCTTATAAAGCATATATAACTTTAATTTACTAATTAAAAGCTTTATATAATTTTTTAATAACTACATAAGTATAAAACCCAAAGGCAGGAAATTATAAGAGCCTAAACATATAATTATTATAACAAATAAACAATGCCATGCAAGGAATTAAATATATGCCCCTAAATCTTAAAACAGCAAAACTTTTTATATTTATAAATAAATTATTTGCAAATAACTAAAACTTAATATCTTAACTTAAATATATTATCATTCTTATAAACAAAACTTATAAGGAAACCAAGGGATTTATAATAATAAGCAATATTTTCCATTAATCATTAATAAAGTATAAATATATTACTTAAAGCATGCTAATAAGCAAAATTTATAATATAATAAATAAAGTAAATATTAAAATCTCCCTAGCCATAATAATTAAGATAGCTATAAAATAACTCTTATTACTAAATATACCCTTAATTATTTATATAAACTTATACAACCTATATAAATACCTTATAAAGCTAAGAATAATAAAGAAAAAGCACTTTATAATTAATATTATATTATTATAAGAATTATATAAAATAAAAAAGATTATTAAAATAAGGTAAATAAATAAGAAAAATAACCCTGCTAACGTAATAATAAAATTAATTCTAAATACCATATTATAAAAGCTTATTAATAATAATAAGCTTTATATATAAGTAAATAAATTAATTAAGAAACCTAAAATAGCCCTTTCCTATTAAAAAAAGAGCAACTTACCGCTAATACCCTTTTCCTTTCAACCTTATCGCCGCTAATTACAAAACCTTATACCTCCTAAACTTAAACTCTTAATATAAACTTTAACCTTCCATACTTTAATTAAAACCTTTTTAATACCTTATTATATATAAGGATAACCTTATAATTATTAATATTATTAATAATTATTATTTTAAAGTTAATCTTATTATTATTATTACCTTTTACTATTATTTATTAATAAAATATTAAAACTAACTTTTATTAAATTTATTTATAACTTATTAACTTCTCTTATAATTAAAAAAAATAAACTAATAATTATTATACAATAATTGCAAAGTTTTATACTATAAATATTTATTTTAATTACTAAATTTTTATAAAATCTTTTTCCTTTTTATTATAATAAAAAATATTAATAATAACTTATAAAAGTTATTTAATACTTTTATTAATATATCTTATAAGAATAATAATAATAAGTAAAACTATTTAGCAAACATTATATTTACTTTTTACATTAAGAATATACTTAATATAATTATTACTATAACTATTATTAATATAGCTAGCATTAAAGGTAGCCTTATCACAATCCTTAACTAAAATTAAGATTCCCTTGCAAATATTACAATTATAACCCTAATTAATAAAACAAGCTTTATAATTATAACCTTAATTAATAAAATAAACATTATAACTATAACCTTAATTAATAAAATAAACATTATAACTATATTCTTATTAAGCAATAAGATAAAAATTAAAATTATTATTAAGGCTATAAAAAAAGCTAAAATTACCTTAACTAATAAAAATAAAAATAAGCTTATTAATCTTGCTAATTTTTATAGCAAAGTTATCGCTAATAACGCTTATTTAATAAATATTAATAAGGATATTAATAATAATAACTCTTATCTACTTACTTATTTAATAAATATTAATAAAGATATTAATAATAATAACTCTTATTTGCTTAATATTAATAGTAATTTAATTATTATTAATAATAAAAATAACTAAAACTAAGCTAATAAAATCTTAATAAAGATTATAAAAATTACCTTTAACTTTATTTTTATGCTAAACATTAAAAAAAATAAGCTACTTATTAAAGTTAACTTTTATAAAATTATTAAAATTAATAAGCTAAAGGCTATAGCTATAACTTAAATTAAGATATTTTTCCTAAATAACGCTATTATAATAGCTATTATTTAAATTATTAATAACTTTTAATATTAAAATAAGCAAATATTTTTTAATAATATAATTAAAAAGCTATATATTTATATTAAAAGCATTAAAACTCTTAATATAAAATTATATAATATTCTTAATAATAAGAATCACTAAGGTAATTATTATCTTAAATATTAAATTATTATAATTTTTATAATAAATAACCTAATAAAAGTTTTAATCTTAAATATTTTTTATATATATTAAATTAAAAAGATTTAATTATTAAAGAATTAAATTATTATATTAATTTAGCTTTAAAACTTTTTATACTAAACTATTAATAAATATATATAAGGCTTATATATAAAGAAATTTATTAAAAAATATATATTATTATTTAAGTAACTTAAGCAAAAGATAATCATTAAGGAAATTAAAAAGAATAATAAAAAGTAAGAAAAAAACTTAATAAATAATTAAGCTGCTTATAACGCTTAATTTTAAAAAGATAAGAAATAATTAAAAAAGAATAATTTAAAGCAATATTAAGTATATTTTAATAATAAAAGTAAAAATAAAAATAATAATATTTATATTATAAAGATATATAATAAAAATAAATATAAGCTAAAAAATTTAATATTAACTTTATAAATATTAACTTCCCTTATAAAAAAAAGATTTAAAATTAAAGCCTTTATATAAAAGTTAATAATTTTTATAAAAAAGCAATCTTAAAAGCTAAGTATTAAGAATAATAAGTATAATATTTAAGAAATAATATAATAATAAAGGTTATAAGTTTAAAAAGTAATATAATAATGAAAATTATTAAAACTTACTTTAAAACTTATAAGTTATAATTTTAAGCTTTTTTAGCAATACTTTCTTATAATAAAGATTATATATACTTAACATACAATAAATTATAATTTTAGGGCTAATTACAATAAGAATCATATATACTCATCAAAAGAAGAGAAAAACTGCGAGTATTGGCAAGTACAACCCTCATTACTTAAAAGGCTACTTTAGTTATCCCCTCCAGGGCACGTAGCCTCTCAAAACTTAGACAGAACAATACCAATACACGATTGCTTCCCATACGATTATCATACGTACGAGAGACCTACCAACACTAGACGTCATAGCGCTAATATACTACGCTTTCGTGGCCATTGCGCTCATCGTGATCACTATCATTCGAAGACAGAATGCTTCCTCCTTCCAGAATGCCCCGTTCCCAAAAGGGCCGAAGCCCATCCCCTACCTGGGTAATCTCCACCAGATACCTCTAAACAAAGCCTTCCTCGCCTTCACATCCTGGTCCCGCTCTCTCTCGACCTCCACCCCAGACGGCATTGTCGGCCTACAACTCGGGCCCAAGTCCCGCCTCGTCGTCCTCAATAAGTGGACGCAGGTGCGCGACCTGTTTGACTCGCGTGGCAAAGGCGTCATCTACTCCGACCGGCCTTACTTCCCCATCGCTGACTACGTGATACCCAGCCCGGGGCCGGACCTGCACCTCGCTCTCGCGCGGTACGGCGCGACATGGAGGAAGGAGCGGCGGACCATCGTGGAGTTCCTGAGCGAGAGGGAGATGGAGAGCCTGGTGAGCATCCAGGATGCCGAGAGCAGCCAGATGATGTGGGAGCTTCTGGGCCTTAGCAACGGCGGTGCCGGCGCCGCTGAGCTGACGGCGTATCATCGATACGTGCTGCGATACTTCGGCGCGGTGATCCTAGCCAGCGTCTTCGGCGTCAGAGGCAAGGATTCGGACGCGCAGAGTAGAGTGGGAAGGTTCTTCTCTGTCCAGGACGAATGGGCGGGGATCCTCGACCAGGGCCAGACGCCCCCTCTGGACATATTCCCGTGGCTGAAGCACGTGCCTGATTTCCTCACGCCGTGGAAGGGCTGGAGGGAGCGGGCAAAGTTTCTGAGGACGAGGCAGAAGAGCCTCTATCGTGAGCTCCTTGCGGAGACGCAGGCGAGGGTCAACGCCGGCAAGTCGGAGGACTGCTTCATGGGCAAACTCATTATCAACCAGAAGGCTGCTGTCGAGTCGGGCCGGGCCAAGGATATATACACACAACAGGAGCTAGACTACATCGGCGGGTTTCTTATGGAGGGAGGGGCGGACACAACAGCTATGTGAGTACTCCTTTCATACTTAAAGACATCACTCCCCTCTTTTCTGTGTCTTGAAACATCTCGGGAAATGGTGCCCCGAGATATTTGCGGAGCGAGACTCTTCCTCGAGCCCCTGGGAATCTCGGGAGGTGCCTCTAGGGACACTTCAAACTATGACGATGGAGGTTTGCTGATTAAGAATGGCTGGATAGGGCCTTTGAGACGTTCTTACTCGCAATGGCGGCGAACCCTGACCTGCAGGAACAGGCGCAGGAGGAAATCGACCAGGTATTCGGGCAGAACGAGATGCCGCACACGGCTGATGGGAATAAACTGCCCTTCCTTAAGGCCTGCTTCCTCGAGGTAACTATAAGACCATATTTAGCTGTAAATATCGGTTATTAATGCTTTCCAACAGGCCTTGCGATGGCGGCCGCCTTTTCCAATCGCCATTCCACACGCCAACACAGCCGAAGACGTCTACCAAGGAAGCTTGGTCCCGAAAGGAACAACCGTAATCGCCAACGTGTGGGCAATCTCTCACGACCCGGAAGACTTCGATGACCCTGACTCATTCATTCCGTCCCGGTACCTCGCCGATCGCTTCGGGTGCAAAACCAAGGAAACCAATGCCGGGAGCACAGAGGCAGGCGAAGGCATAGATTCCGATGCTCTTAATGCTGCTGCTGAAGTCTCCAGCTCTGGACGAAGGCAAACATATGCCTTTGGTGCGGGGAGAAGGGTTTGCGCAGGCCAGCGCATGGCAGAGAATAACGCCATGATGACCATGGCGAAGCTGATCTGGTCTTTTGAAGTGGTCTACGGTGGCGATGGGAAGCCTAATGTGGACGTCCGAAGCGCTTATAGGGATTCGATTCTCACCGGGCCAAAGTTGTTTCCGGTCAGGTTCGTCCCTCGGAGTGGGAGCAAGAGAGATATCATCAGGAAGGAGTGGGAGAAGGCAGATCAATTTCTCAGCAAGTTTGAGTGAGCATTTGAAGAAGCCATACGTGTATATTCCTTAGTTTCTGGCTGGCCCTTGCTTCTCCTCTTTCAGTAATCTAGGACGCCTTGCTTAGCTCGTATTTATCAAAAAAAAAAAAAAAAAAACCTTCCCAAATTCTTCCGATACAAATTACCAATATTACCTATCCAACGACACCTATAATCATGCACGAACCCTTTATTGGGTTCTGCGTGGCCGCAGACATACCCAACTGCTGACAGATATGGATGTTGTCAGCACAGGCTTGGGCGCATCTGAAAGCACACTCGATTATGTAGAGCAGGCCTGATCATGGTACCTCTTCATGTTTCATATCACCCATTCATATGCAGCCTAGATCATCGTCCGCAGTGGCGCTTGAACCATTCGGCTGGCATCAGCTGGTATCCTGGTTGCAATAGCACGGGCTGTGTCGACTCCACACGTCGTTATCAAGGCGGTGATGATGGCCGTGACGAATGCGGCCAGGAGCAGGTGTTCGAGCCCGTAACGGTGGGCATTCTGATAATGTGTGGGTGCCAAAGGACCGACCATCTTCTTCAGGGGCTCGATGTTGTCCTCTTTTCGTGTCTTCTGCGCGATGTGAAGTGCCGGGAGGCCATCCATGCTCCAAGAGTTCTTCAAAGCCCAGTATTTAGGCATGCTCTCCTTCTCATTACCCTGCTTGAACCTCTCATCCTTCCGTTCAAAATGTTCATTGAGAGTCTTCCTGTGCTCCTTGTACTCATAGAAGGGCACTGAAAACCCGCAGGACGTGCCAACCTGGTGAACGTCCACAAGCACGATCGCTCTGGACCCTGGGATCGTCTTCACATCATTCTTCTTGGCGAACTCATCAAAGGCACTGGTTCCGCTCTCGAGGACGCGTCCGTGGCCAAAAATCCGCAGTATGCGTGCTGGTCCCTCGAAAGCATTGAACATCACCGTGATGCGGCCGTTGCCAGGCTCGTACAAGTGAGCGATTGTTTCTGACCCTGAACCGGTCAAGTCCATGTACCAAAAGGTCCGCTCGTCGAGCACTCCAAAGTAGTCACCGCCTTTAGGTGAGATATTAACATGACCCGATGCCGACAGCGGCGCGGTGCTGACCCAGAACATGCGCTGCTCGAGGATCCATTTGAAGAGTGACTGGGGAATGGTTTCGTAGAATGCGCCCATTTTGCCAAGTCGTGTGCCATTCAATGGCTGGCGATGATGTTGAAGAGGTGGGGTTTGACGTGTCGGGCGGCAATGATCTTGGAGACAAACGGTATTAAAGGTATCTCGAGGATGACGCACCAGCGACATCGGACGCCTGAGGCGCCTTTGGCAGAGAGCTTGAGGCGTAGGCGCTCTGTACCAAACTTCTACAACATCTGTGCGATTTGAGATATCATACTGGTTGATGCTCATTGAATTGACTGCTCGGAAGACTGAATAAAAACACTGTCATTTCGATGCTCCGCTGGAATCAGCCTGGTCATTGTCAGTGACATGTTGATGGAGGAGAGCGGAGCCATGCTTTACGCGGAACCCCGCCTCCAAAGGAAGTTGCAGGATGAGGGGCCATTGACGTTAGCCTGCCATTGACATCCAGCCAGCCCCATATCCAAAAATGCTGGGGTGATTCATTTCTGGAATGCGTCGTTCCGTGTTACCTGTCTCACCTGACGAGCCCTCTGACCCCTCCCTGCCTGAGAAACCACATGCGATAGTCTGGAAATCACACAATTGAGCAGCAATCAAGCTGCTTAGACAGATAGACCCTCGAATTCCCTCCCCCCCCCCATCAAGTATCGCTTCATTCACCATGTCGACCCCAACACCTGCCCCAATCGCCATCATTGGTGGAGGTATATTTGTGAAGGAACAGCATCTGGTTTGTGCCTCTCAATGCCACTTTTGGCCCCACAAATGGCTGAGTGAGATGCTGACCCAGAGATCCAGCCCGCTGTACTAGCCACGCCTCTGCTGTCGCTGAAGGCCATCTATTCCCGCTCGGTCAAGTCTGCCAAGGAGACCTCGGAGCTGCTGCCAGCCTCGCACGGCGCTGTCGACCTCTACTCGGAGGATTCTGGCCCGGGGAAATCCTTCAAGGACGTCCTCTCGCGTTCCGATATCGTCGGCGTGATCATTGCGCTCCCGATTCGAAATCAGCCCGAGTTTATCGAGGCCGCCCTCAAGGCCGGCAAGCACGTGCTGGCCGAGAAGCCGGTCGGGCCCGACGTAGAATCGGCCAAGAAGTTGATCTCCTGGTATAGAGAAACTGCCGCGGAGAAGAAGGTTACCTGGGCAGTGGCCGAGCAATTCCGGTTTTTGCCCAAATATGTCTGGGCCGCCGAGCAGGCGCGGACGTTGGGCAAGGTGATTGGCTTTAATTTCAGAGTGTTCCAGCTGTGCAGTCAAGGTGCGCGCACACACACAAAACACCGGAGCCATGGATATGAGACTGACGAATTACAGACAACAAATATTTTAACACTGCGTGGCGAAAGAACCCAACCCATAACTATGGGTTCATTCTCGATGGCGGCGTTCACTCGACTGCAGCCGTCCGTAGTAAGTAGTCTCAAGGCGTTGTGACTGTCTTACTCCGCTACCTGTGCCCTGATGGGTCGCAGCACCTGAGATGGCCCGTGGGCTGGTAGTGGCCCCATTCCAGCACCCATCTGGATTGACCTTGGACTAAGTCCCGAAGATCGCTGACTTCTGAACGCTGTAGTGTTCCTCGGCCAAGATCAGCCCCAAACAGTCATCGGCTACTCATCCCTTGCCCAGCAACACCTTGCGCCAGTGGACACGCTCTCAGCCGTCATCAAGACCAAGTCTGGAGCAGTGGGTAGCTTCACCTGCAGCTGGGGAACAACTATGAAGGCGACTGAGTACACTGTTGCTTGCGAGAATGGCAGCGTTACCATTGAGGGCGACGCGGGCTGGATTCTCCATAAGGATGGTCGAAAGGTCGAGAAAGACTTCCCATTCACTGTTGGTTCTGGGGTGACAGAGGAGGTCCAGGCTTGGGGCGCTGCAATTGCGGAAGGCAAGGAAAATCCACTGCTAACGCCTGAGATAACCTTGGGCGATCTGGAGCTCCTGGAATCCATGCTGAGAAGTGCCGAGGATAATGGTGCTCCGAGGAAGCTGGAGCTTCAGTAGACAGACTTGAGCTTGAGCTCCCACGTGTAGCCCGAAGTGTACTGGGCCAGAATTAGGCCCAGCAACAAGATGCTAGCGATCGATACCTTCAAAGTTGCCCTTCCGTGCCCCTCCTCCCAAGCAGTCACCCCCGGCGTATTGGTAGAAAGTGGTTGCCGTCATGAGCTGATCGTGATGGGAAAGAGCCGGAACCATAAGACGCGTGGGATCCGTAGACAGGTGCAGCGCGCACGAGGCGCTATGTGCCCCTAGGCGGGAGGCGAATTTCGTCCTGGCGTCCATCAAAGCTTGGCTCGTTCTCCGACAAGGATACGTTCCAGACCTCGTCTCATCGTATTGTCCATTCCGTTGGCGTTTGGCCGCCCTGTAGCACGATCGACAAACACATGGACGAACTCGCCAACGCTCTTCACATCATCACAACCCTGCTCGAATAGCGCGACCTCATAGGTTACTGACGACTTGCCGAGCTTGTTGACGCGGAGGGCTAGCTCCGCGACCGCTGGGAAGGCGATGGAGCTGAAGTAGTCGTTATGAGAGTGAACTGGATGGAGATTAATACGCAGACGGGACTCGACAGCTGCTGGCGCTGTTGACGGTGGACTGCCTTACCAACTAGTCCATACTGGTCCCCATCTTTTGGACGCAGGCCACAATGCTGGATGAGGTAGGTATTCACCACCGAATCGTACAGAAAATTGTAGACAGAATTATTCATGTGTGAATATCTTGTAGAGAGGAGGTTAGCCTGCTTAGCCGTGCAAGCTGCTTGTGTGGCAACGCGCAAGGGCTTTCAGCCCAGGAGTCTAGTATTTACTGGTCATTGTCCGACCACCTGGTGCGGTACTCCAGAGTGAAGTAGTAGTCACAACGGCGGCGGGTCCTGAGGCTCGCGTCGAAGCTGGACATGGCCGATCGCGGGTCTGACTGTCGCTGGCGTCAAGAGGAGCTGGGGCCCCGCGACTGGCGGCTGGGTCGTCCGCGTCTTTTATATACCTGGGCACCAAGTCAGGGACAGCGAGCTCGCGCTGGGAGGCTTATTCAAGCTTGTTCGGAGGGTCGGCTGCTCGGCTGCCAGATCTGGGAGCCCTGAGTCACTGTCGACGAGCTGATGACCCGTTCTGGGAAGGGTGAAGGCGGGAAATAGGCCGGGGATTGCGCGAGGGACAAGGCTGGCGACTCATGCCGTGGGACTTAAAAGTACGTACGTACGGATCCTCGCGCCCTCGTGGGTCTCTGGGTAAGGGGACGAGCAGATGTGCCGAGGCGTCGTGCATGAACGATCGAGTTTGACACTTGACTTTAAATCAGCCTTGAGAGGAGATCTCCCCCATACCCTGCAGGCCCAGATCTGACGCCAATATAGCGTATGTTGGGGTCCAACTTCATCATCAGGGCGCGATGGGGAAGTTGTTGATCTCCCGGCAGTATCGTCCCGTCTCTGCCAGTTCGCCCCCCTCAACAGCCGAGGCTGAGGCTTTGTCAGCCGCCGCGCTAAGCCCAGGGATTCTGCCGCCACTCGCCCCTGACCGCCCAAAAGTTGACGAGACATCGACGTCGATACTCCAGCCCAGACTGAGTGTCAGTCCGCCACCTTCATTTCTCCCGTCACTGACGCAGTACGTTAAATTGGTCCTGCCGTCTTGCGGCGTTGTTGACTATCCCGTCCTTCCTCGGCTCTCTGCGGCGCTTCCAGGCTGCCCTACGGACGGCAAACCTGGCGACTCCGAACCGGCTCCTCGCGCAGTACCTTGTGCGCGTCCAACGGGCCGTGACGACCCCGATACCTGTGAACGTCATGCAGGCAGACGAGGCTGCCGGCAGAGGATCGATCAACTCCCCAGACGCCCCCCCGAAAACCGACAATGGAGCACCCGTCGATGGGAATGAGCCAGGTGCCCAGCCCTCAGCTCCAGCGGCGACCCCGAAGAAAGGTCGGGTGAGGCAGAAGCAGAAGCACAAATCGCCTGCTGCCAGCGCCACGCACGCCGACCCGTGGCCTCGCCCATACTACTTCGAAGACGGCCTCCGTCGAGTGAAGCCCTACCACTTCACATACTCCACCTGGTGCAAGGAGCGCTGGCGCCAGAGGGAACTCATCGAAATTTTCGAGTCTGAGTTCAGGGACCGCCCACTCGCCTACTACAGGCGGGCCATGGAGGGTGGGGAAGTGGCAGTGAACAACAAAGCGGTGGGCCCTCATTACGTCCTCAAGAATGGAGACTGCATCACGCACACTCTTCACCGACACGAACCTCCAGTCACCGCCGACCCCATCGCAATCCTACACGAGGACGATGACATGATCGTGCTCAACAAACCTTCTGGCGTTCCTGTCCACCCCTCCGGCCGCTACAACTTCAACTCCATCACCGAGATTATGAAGTCCGAGAGGGGCCGCGACTGGCTGGCATATCCGTGCAACCGGCTGGACAGGCTGACAAGCGGCATCATGTTCGTCGCGAAGAAACCCCAGGCCGCCGTCAAGCTGGGCAACCAGATCGCGGCACGGACAGTGCGCAAGGAGTACATAGCTCGTGTGATTGGCGAATTCCCTGACGGAGAGGTCGTCTGCAACCAACCCATTCTCGCAATCTCGCCTAAGCTGGGCCTGAATCGTGTCAGGGCCAACGGGAAACACGCCCGTACCGTTTTCAAACGCTTGGCATACTATCCGCCCTGTGAGGAGGTCCCCGCCCCCATCGGCAAGGCAGACCAGTCTGCGGGACATGGGCAGCCACCGGCAAGGAAGAAGGGATATTCCATCGTTCGATGTATGCCCGTGACGGGCCGCACCCACCAGCTGCGGGTTCACCTGCAGTTCCTGGGCTATCCCATTGAGAACGACCCAATTTATGCGAACCAGAAGGTCTGGGGGTTCGATCTTGGCTGCAACGATTTCGATGCCAGCCTCAACAGCGACGAAGATATCGTCAGCCGGCTATCTCGGATGGGTAAGGAGGATGTGGCAGAAGCTGTCGCATACTACGACGAGATGATCGACGACTATGAAAAGCGCAGGGCGGAGAAGATGTCTGGAGAGATCTGCGACGTCTGCCAGACACCCCTCTACACGGACCCGGGCCACCACGAGCTTACGCTGTGGCTGCACAGCCTGCGGTACGAAGACAAGGACGGCGCTTGGAAGTACGTGAGTCCCCTGCCTTCGTGGGCACTTCCACCAGAGGGTTACAGTGGGCCGACAGAAGTTGGTGGTATGGAGGCCCTTGTCTCAGCAGTGAAGGACTCGAATCCGGAGATAGTTGGACAGGCGGACACCGAGATCCCGTGAACGTCGACACCTTGATCTCATTGCGTTCATGCAATGCCACGATCAATTCGACCGGTGTGTGGGCGGGTTATCCGGGGAGCGCGGTACATCAAAACCAATCTTGCGGGCCGCTACTGAAAAAGGGGCTTGGTGTTGACCAAGAGAGACGCGGCGCTAAGCAGACGCCATTGAGCCCTACGCAAAGGCCAACTTGAGGCCCAGGGCCGCGCGCGCCTCCTGCGGAGCTGAAGGGTGCCATGGCCACCAACTTCCGACGGGTCTCCGCCTTGTCGTATCCATGACAATAATACCTCTTGCACAGTACGAACTGCTGCTCGCCCAGGTCTATCTATGCAGGAAAATCAGAATAAACTTTCGTCAAGCTGCAATTCCAAGCGCATCTTGTTTCATAACGCGCGCATTACCTCACACTGCGTGTCAATGGGACCAGCCCTGTAATAAGCTCATATCAGCCCTCCTCAGCTCGACTCCTGCGATCTCGGTATGCAGCATTCAAGGTCCACGTGCCAGCTCCCACACCTCTGGGCGGCTGAAACCTGCCCATGGGTCCCGACAAGCGACAGGAAATGAATGATCATCTGGAGACGATAATAGCACAACACCGTTCCACAAATTCGGGACAAGCAGTAATATCACCCCGAGCCGCCGAATATTGGAACGAAACTTGCCAGCTGCAGTTCGAATTTTGGTCTGCTCTGCATCGATCCCAGGTGACCAGGCCACCTGAGGCGCATGCCTGCCGGGCTTAGATCGTTACATCGTTCTAACGAAGTAGACGGATTGGGTTATCTCAAACTGCTTTATTGAAGAGATCATGAAGGACGGCGGAGGGGGGCGGTTTGCCTGCCCGGTCGATGGGAACGGTGATCCTTTGGCACCGGCGGCTTGTCTGCCGGAGACATTCTTTGTTGGAGTCGAGCCGATCTCGCGTCTGCGCTATTGTGACTAGAAGAACTCGCCGCCTTTTCGGCCTACCTGCCGGACGCCACTTCCACCAGACTTTTCCCAAGCGATTATGCCATCAAGACGACGGAACAGTGACGGGACAGTCACACGTGTCGACGCCGAAGACTGATGAATCTTCCTTCCAACCCCTTCCACTGCATTGTGACATCGTCTCGGGGCGGCGGCAAAGTAATCATAGTCGGAATGGTTGGCATCGTCTAAAGACAGAAGCGGGCAGTGTCTAGCAGCCCCTCACTGTGGGTTTACAGTCCCATTTTGAGACGCGCAAGAAGCAGGGCCCAGGGGACATCAGGGGGCAACGGCCAGCCCGTTGCGTTAGGACTGGACGAAGACACCCGTACAGTCTGTTTCCGACGACATGAGCTCGAAAAGGCTTGTACAGCGGATCCGCTTCGTCACAGCTGGGACGTGTCTCCTCCCTCCTGCCCCTGCCTTCCTCCCCACTCCTCCCACCTGCGGGAATCTTTGACGAAAGCGACTGTCACAGGGCACTGACCAGCCATACTGTGGTGCTCCCTGGCACTGGAGCCCGCAGGGTAATCAAGAAGTCGGGTCGGGTCTAACATAAATTTGGAATAGCCCGAAAGTTTAATTTGCCCAGGGCCCGGAGACTGCCAAGCTGATCCCTTCACCATTGGGTGTCTTTACGCACTCACTGGGTCTCCCCAGCCCTCATGGGGCCACCTTCCCTTCCGTCACCAGCCGGGATCCGCTGCACTGGCAGCTTGCGACTGAGGTCTCGAGAGGCTTGCGCAGATGCCCGAGAGAAATACGACGAGGCGTGGGGAATGCCAAAAAGTCTCAGCGTGCCAGAGGCGCAGAGCCACAGAGAGCTCCTGCTGCTCCCCCGGACCTCTGCCCCTCCTAGCCTCTGCCCACCTCCCTCTAGCGGTCACGGCCCTGGACCATGGCCTCTGGACACACCCCTCCCTGGTTCTCCACGCCCCGTCTCTCTGGGACAGAGGGATCTGTATGTTGTTCTCGATCCGTCCTAGCTCGACCGCTCCCTCTTTGCCTGTGCTCCCAACTTGCTGGGCCTGTCTAGCGATCCCTGGACATCTCAGGGAACAGGCCATTGCTCCCTTGTACCCTGCAAATACTGCGGTACATTGATGCCATGTTCCTTTGCCGGCCGGGGGGGCGGTCTACCACTTCGAAGGGCACTCGTGCAAATCATAGTAAGGTAATATAAGGCCCAAGGGGTCCCGTAACGGGGCCTTGTGGACCTCGACGAGATATAGCTTAGGTCGAATCATCCTCTTTGTGCATTCTTCTGTCCCTCTACTCTACAGCTCCAATGGCTTACGCAACGACATCTCACGTTCGAAGCTCAGCACCAGTCCCAGCACCCATCAATACCAATATGACCATGAAGGAAGACGCGGCGCGCCAGACATCCGCGGAGCCGCCCAAGACCACCAAGCGGAAGGGTAAGAGAGGACCCATCCGTACCTGACGAGTGAAGCGGAGAGAGTGGACTGACTGACTCAACGGCACCACCAGGAACACGAAGCGTGTCTACCTTGACACCCTCACAGCTTGCTCGTAAGAGGGCGAATGACCGTGAGGCGCAGCGTGCCATCAGGGCGAGGACAAAGGAGCACATCGAGCGCCTCGAGCGGGAGCTAGAGGACCTCAAGGGCAAGCACAACCGAGACGACACGGTGCAGGACCTGATCAAGAGGAACAAGGCCCTCGAGACCGAGCTCAAGCGACTGAGGGAGAGTATGGGAATCCCACACACTGACCCGTACCCAAATTCTGGTGAGAGACGCGAAATAGCCCTACCATTGCCTTGCGAGACCAAATCCAGTAAAGTGCGCTGCTAACCACAACTTTAGTCTATGAGCAAGGACTTCCGTCAATGCCTAGCTCTGGCATCCCAAGCCGGTCTTCGTCTTATGGCCACTCGATCAGGGCGTCGCCAGATGGATATGGTTATTCTCACATTCCAACGCCTGAGCCAACCGAGCCGTGGGCAGCTTCCATTCCAGTCACTGTGCCTTCGACCGTTTCGAGCCCCTCGTCATCGGGACCCATTGAGGATTATGGGTACATGCCCACGAGCGTGCCGGCTCCCCTGATGGATGGAGTTCCCGTGGCTCCCACCAGCGCACCGTACCACAATGATGTGGAGTATGAGGATGGCGTCGACTCAGGTAAGAACGACTCAATCACACAGCCCTACAATTGCCCGCCCCCCCTGTCACAGCGAACTGCGGGTCCCGTACTGACACGTTATACAGATCACGGTTTCCACAGACCAGCTTCAAACCACGTTTCCCTGCCCCAGTCTTACCCGATGCACCATCACCAACACCAGCAATGGAACAACATGTACGGTGTTTACTACCCGCAATCACCTTCGTTGTGAGGGCTTAGAGGAGTGACATCTGAACGCATACGACAGCCACGAAAATACGACCACCAACGGGGACGCGTTCCAGAAGCCTGCCATGTCGATCACACCGCTGGCATGCAGGACACTGACAAGTAGCGAAGGTGCGTTTTGATGGCGATTTGGAGACTAGGCGCTGTCGGAGAGAAGGCCGCATGTGAGGAGATGCACCTTTCGGGAAACCAACACACCCCTTGTCAAACCTTATTTGGCCTCTCTCTCGACTGTGGCGACCAGCCCAGATGGCAAACCTCGAGGGGGGGACGCAACAGCAACGACACTGCAGCAGCAGAAAGTTCTCTTGGGCCCCGCCTGCGCGAGCCTGCTCTTGCCTGCGGGCATCTTTCGACGTCAAACCTGACAGATAACAACAAACTCTATTCCATCTGACTTCTACGTCACCTTGTCAATTGGGAACCTGGCCACCAGCCTCCTCGACGACCTCTCTTCCCTGTCTCTGCCGCTCGGATACCTCCTCCCCCTCCTTTCCTTCACCTCTCCAAGCTACCCCTCGTCAACACATGCAACCTCGACCTCTCCATCTCGCCTCCCCGAGCGATCACCGACTCGGGCTCCCTCAGCACCTCGAGTCAGGAGCACGCTATTAGCCAGGTGGCCATGCTACCCTGGGCCGCATAGAAGCCTGCGCAGAATATTCGAAGAAACTTCTTCGAACATTCCGTGGCACGAGGCGACTTCTTCCTAATCCCGAAGAGGAAGGCTCAACGAACAGTGATCGATTCAGTCAGGGCAGAGCCGGTCTCGAACATGAGTCCCGGGTCGAGACCTCTCAGCAGCATTCAACTCCTCTCATGAGCGGTGTCCGAGTCGATCACGTGTGTCCGAGCTTCTATCCAGCCGCCTCCCATCGTCGCCCGACCCACGGGGCATCCCACCACGGCCCCGTTTCAAACTAAGCAGCAGTGTTGTTGTTCTGGGGCTAGTGTGGTCTGCCTCCGCGGCAGCGACAGCGGGCAGGGGTCACACACTTCGCACACAGACGCTACCACTTCGAAATCATCTCTATCTCACGCACTCCCGCAAGCATACGCACGCACACACCTCCACACCGCATTCAGACACACAACAAGCATGAGGCACTGGGAAATCTAACACCTTGGCGTGCCGGAGCAAGCATAAAATGGGCCGGCAATTTGGATGGGAAGCAAGCAAGATACCAAGGCAGGTGGATTTTATGCTAGGATTGGACACTTTTACCTTTTGATTCTTGTTTTTCGTTCTATTCCTTTTTTTTTTTTTTTCATGCGGAGGAGTTTTGGAACAGGGGGTTGATGTGGGCGCCTTGAACAACAACAGACAACATTCATCTTATCTTCCAAACTCGCTTTTATGCGGCACAGCATTGGAAAAGGGCAGGAGGGGAGGTGCACTAGGGCATTCTGGTTTTACGATTCTTGCTTGTTGTACGAGTTGATGGTCTAGGGCGAAGGCTGGTCTAAATTGGGAACGTTTCGCGCATTGCCTTTTTTGTTTTCTTGTTTTCAACCTTTTTATAAACCACACCAAAGTTGGCACAGCATCTTAGATACCTTGCGCACGGCATTGGGGAGCGGGATGATCCTATAGCTCCACCTTAGCCGCGTTTTCAGTACTGTCTATATTTGAATCTCTAGCGGAAATTACAAATTATTGCAATACACACACACACATGTACATACGCTCTGGTTCATCCCACTAAGACAATTCTCAAACGTCGGCCATTGGTAACTCCGCAACTCCGCTGGCGTGCTTCATGGAAGATTGCAGAGCCGGAAATGGGGGCCAACAATGGAAAAACCACGGCACATGAGGGAATAGAGCATTGCCATTGTTACAAGAGAGGAAAGAAAACTGAGGAGGAGGGGTGGCCGGGTGTCCAATCCAAGGAGACGGATTTCACAACAGGAATCGCTTGGCGGCAGGCACTCAAACAAGGAGTGCTGGTTGTAACCCGCCGCCTTGCTAACATCCGTAGCCGTTAGAAAACACAACCTCGTCTGCACCACACTCAAAACCCCCAACCCCGAGAGGCCGAAATCGTGGCATTGGCAGTGGAACGCTGGCCCTTCTGACGCGCTGAGATCGCAGCTCTGCCAGCCCGCGCATCGTCGTCACATGGGATGCGCCCTGGTGGGGGCGGAGAAATGGGCAGACAGACACAGCAGGGGCCAGTCCAGACAATCCCACACACACACACACACTAGGTACTTAGCACACTTGTTGAATGCAGAGAAGAACAAAGATAGTAGAGGGGCAGACAGGCCAGGGCCAGGCCAGGCCAGCCCCGAGCAGGAGGCTGGGGGGGGGGGGGGCGAGCAAGGGCATGAGGGCGGCGCAGTTCAGACGATTTGAGTTTGTCAAATTACATGGGGGTTAGGCGGGTGGTGAGATGGGGCCTCGAGCATTACAAGCAAGCAGAGCACAGGACAACACCAGCGCAGCCAAACAACGAAAGCTGGGCACCTGTGGTTCGCGGCTTGCCTGCCACGGGACGAGGGGCAGACAGACAGACACGCAGGTTGCTGCGACCCTACTGTGCCCTTTTCCGGGCCCAGCTAGCTCACCATGTCCCTTCACCTTAGCTGCCCGACCTAATACCATCATTCGAGATCTGGGGAGGGGTGTTCCGATGCGTGGTGCTGCCACATTCCTCGCCTCACCGTGGGGTGGGGGCAGCGACGCTGCGAGGAGGCCAAGCGCGTTGTGTTGCTGGTACCACACAGCACACTACCCGGGGAGCATGGCGACCTTGGATCACCCTTGGGCCGGCGCCGCACTGGTGTGGGCTGGGTTTGCCTGCCGCGCGCGCGGCGACAAGGAAAAAGCCAAAAGATGAAACCCGTACTGCCATCGTCACATCGTCAACGTTTTTGGCCTCCCATCCCTCAGCTCCGGGTGGTTCGTTTGCCTTTGGGATGATGACATGCCATGCAAGCTGCACGCTGCTCGGCCGTGGGAGTGCGCGTGTGACAGGCCAAGCTTCGGTTCCGGTGGCGAGTGGCAGCACCCCCTTTTTTTTCCTCATTGTTTCGCCCATGAGAATTCACAGAGTTCTTCATGTTTGGCCACATCGTAAAGTTTTCTGCTCTCACAGCCGTGTGTGCGTGTGTGTATGTGTGCGCCAGGCAATCGCCGCTGACGTGCCCCGAAGCTTCTTTCCCGAATCTCCATGGCACCGTCATAGCAAAGTTTAAACAATGGCCCAGGGGACCACTCCACCACACCATACCCGCAGACAAGGCAGAACCGGATGGGGCGAGTGCAGAGGGCAAAGAAATCAAAGTTTTGCTTATATTGCGGCTCGCATCAGAACGCCGTCCGAGAGCGGAAAGAATTGCAGGTAATCAAGGCAATCAGGACAAGCCAAAGAGGGTCGCCCAAGGAGGGGGTTTGATGAACACTCCTTCGAGGTACCCGTTCGCGGGCCTACCAGCCAACTGGAAGCATCGAGGATTTAGAGTTTAAGAACCTTGTGGATAGAAGCGGGAAGTGTCGTCACAGACAGGTCATGCGTGATATCCGCAGCGAGAACATCATACTGCAGATGCTGAACGACTGTATCAGGTGCTGGAATCGTATGAGCCCGACAGCGCAATACTCGGAAGAGGATTGAATTCTGTCTGTTCCCATGGTCGGGCGCAAAACAGAGGGAAAAACGCCATCTGAACAACGGTCTCGAGATAACTAACTGCATGGGTGCTAGGCCGCGGACGGTAAAGCCTCGGTTAGGCTCTGGGGCAGAGGATCAAGAGGCGCACAGTCGAGAAAATGCAGCTGGGGGCGGTGACCCCTCCTCGTTGCCGCTTCGTCATCGTGCTTGGGAGCTTGGGAACAAGGTTCGAGCAGCTGCACACCACTCCCACTGGGTCCCGGTCCCTGAGCTGGGTCCTGGAGCTCTCTCAGTGGCTCTCAGCCGCTGCCTCGAGCATCCCGTCTGCATGGTGACAGGCATTCCAGAGGCCCCACCGGAAGCAGGCCGGCTTCCGTATCAGGACCTGCATTTAATTATGAAAGTGGCGTGAGAGTATTATCGAGCCCGCGCAAGCAAAACCCTGCCAGCCTGTGATTTCTAGAAACCTGCATAGAAGGTACCCCGAGCAGCAGTCCAAAGTTTCCCGTGCCGCTGGGCTCCTGGTCGCAACGATCATGCCTCGACGGGCTGAGCAGGCCCCATGGCGTGCGTGCGCCCTGCGTGTGGTGCGGTGGTGGTCTGCTTTGACGTTCCCCTCGAAAAAGGCAGATCGAGGTTTCGGCATGTGGGACTCGAAACCCAGTCTTTTGCTTTGCGGGCCAGCGTAGTGTCGGGATTTCCTAATTCAAAAGTGGTGCCGCGCCGCAGTAGTGACAAGTGATACATAATATCAACTCCGTGAGCAGGGGGGCTGGTCGCCTGTCTGGCTTTAACCGCCTTAGGCGCGGTGGGCTTTTCTATTTTCACCACGCGCGTCCGGTCCTCGGGCGGCCGTTGCAGGGCATGGACTGCGAAGGCGCAGCGTATTTTGCGGGGTGCAAAGTGTTTTGCCGAAACTTGCGCAAGCGAGACTGGGCCGCTGTGACAGTGGAAGGATCGGGTCGCTCAGACAGTGTGGGCTTTCAGCTGTTTGTGATGGGGACCCATAAGTCACTGTGATACCGTGCGGACACGGTACACGTGCGGTAAGGCTCCTTTCACCACACCCCGTGAAGCAGGCAGCGGACGTGGGGACACACGCCGTGTGGGGCAGAACCGTGACGTGCACCGTTGAGCTGGGCTCCTGTGCTGCAGTAGTCCCAGTTGTACTGTTAGTGTGCGCTCCATGAGGCTTCGAGAATGTCCCGGATCCGCAATCTCGCAGCAAGCCTGATGTTAGCATCGCAACACCGGACGTGCAGGCTCGCGTTCGCACAACGCAGACAATGTTCCTGAGCGTGGGATCCCGGCCACACCGCAGCTGTCCGGGCTCTTCAATGGGCGCAGGGACGGGTTCCGGGAGGTGGTTGGCGTGAGGTCGTAGCTCGTCCAGGGCGATCAACCACGAGATTGAGGCGGGGTGGATGGGAGCCCGGCCCCTGTCCAGTGTTCCCACCGGACCAGTTCTCCAGAAGCCATGTACGTACCTGTGTTGCCATGGTACTGCGCGTACTTCGCACGCCTCCAGGCCACAAGCCCGGCGGGGTGGGGCTCAAGTGCCGCGTTGTGGCCTGCTCCACCCCAGTGCCTGCACGCAGCATGCATGGACAGCCCCTGACAGGCCGTCTCCCTGTCTCCCAGATCCTAGGTTTCCAGGTGTCAGGACGGGCCCGGCGCAAACTAACCAAAAGGCGGAAGTTTCCGAAGTTGGGCCCAGACGAGGGCGCACGACGGATGGAGCGAGCAGTGCCCCAAGCCCAGTGCCCATCACGCTTCCTGCGCGGTACTGTGCTGTGCTCCATCGACAGTACCCGTGTGGTGTGCGTGTGTGCCCCTGGGGCCCCGTGACATAGCTCCGAGATTTCGGCGAACGCGGCTCCGAGCGGCGAGATTATCCCAATGGGCCACGTTGATCAGGCGGATGGACGGCAGAGTGGGCTGGCTGGTCGCCTGGGGGCCTGGCGGGCCCTGGGTGACCCGGGTGGGAGGTAGATTAGGTTGGACGGCCGACAAACGCCGTCCAGGGCTGCCAGGTCTCCTTGTCTGTGCATTGCCTGCCCAATGCCGTTAGCCTCGCACTCGTCGAGCCAAATTCTGCCTGCCGCCCGCCCAGGAGAACAAGAATAATAAGGTTTACTCGCATTACTTGGCGGTCGTCGATCGTCGAACGTAAATAGCTCTCGACGATCTCAACGTTCATGGGCACGCCTCTGCCCAGCGATAGGGCACTTGCGGAGTAACTCTAGGAAGAGGGAACTCCGTCTCATCTGCGTTGCAATGCTCCTCTCGTCGCGGCCTGCCACCCGATGTCGACGCTTCTGCATCCGAGTTGATCAAGACGGACGGAAATGCTCGTCCGTTCCGAGGTGTGTTCCGAATTTGCTCGTTTCCGACGAAATCAGCTTTGACTGCACGTCACACCGTGCTGCCGGCAGCACCTGCACCTTGTGCGTCCGCCTGGGAGCCGGTGTCCTTCACCAGCCAGAATAGAGTTCGTCTAGCCTGCTTCACTGTCTTCCATGGCACTGTCTACACGCACGCAATCTCCACACGCCTGTCGATCCGGTGACAGCATCGTCGGTCGCTGAACTGTAAAGTCTGGATCAACCTTGCGCCAGGCTTTCTAGAAGGCTTCCATAGCCCGTGACAGCTCGATCGCCAACACCGTTGCAATGCAGGTTGACGTTGACTAAGGAACCATCACCTCCAGAAGTGGTCGAGGAGGGGGTTGCGGCATGCATTCAGTGGTTGCGGAATCTCGCAGAACTTTTAAGGCTACTGCCGTTGAACTTCTTGTGGCCCAGCGGCCAGCGTCATCGCGCAAGGTGGTGCGGGTCGTGACCAAGACCCAGCCTCATTGGACCATGTTCGCAAGATAGACCTTGATGGGGCTGTCTTCGACCCTCAGGGCTCGTCGAGAAGACCGGCGGTGAATATCATTACATGTTTCATGTCGCAAGGACGTGGTGGAGTGCAGCCACGAGCGATCCAAGCTTCATGCAAGGCGAGCGAAGAGGGCCATGTCGTCGGTACTCCGGGCTTTGACAGAGCTGGGATATCGCAACCAGACGATTGCCAACATCTACACAGCACTGCCTGCTCTGTAGCTACTACCATGTGCCACTCTGAGCTCGCCCAACCTCGATGGACCATGCAAGCCTGGATGCAAAGGGAATGGTGCCCAGCGCCTGAGCACTACTGTGTGTGGTGTGCCCAGATGCCAGTACCCGGGCAGACCTGCTATCATCCAAGATGTTTCGGTCGCAGGAGGGAGGCACTCCCGCAGACAACTCCTCTTGGCACCAAGTTGGCCAGATTGAACCCCGGTCGAGAGCCGATTCGATGCTCCAGAGAAGGCCTTGGGAACGAATCGCATGGCGCGCCGAAGCTCATGGACAGCTGGGCCACCAAAAATAACGAGTCGTGGTGCGGCCAAGGCATGAATGTGATAGCAGACGAACAGACAGTCGTCTGAAGAGCACAGAGGACGTGCGCTGGTGATTCAGGGTCCTCAAGGCCCAAACACAAGACGCTCCCACGGGAATAGTTGCACGAAATAAACAAAACAAGGCAGCCTTGCACTGGAGTGTGCTCTGGCCATTGGGCACGCATCGTGAGGCTAGAGCGCACCCCGCTAGTCATTCATCTGTCACGTCGTCTTGGTCTAGACCTCCATTCGTCGACGAGGCGGCGAGGCAAGCAGAAGCATCCCATCGCATTGGACGCAACAGGGCACGGACAGTATCGTTGTCGCTGTGATGATGTTGGTGGTGAGGGACCAGGACGATGAACATGGGCACCCTTATGCCATCGGAAGCAGTGCCGGGAAGATTATAGGGCTGGCGAGCTGTTCCTGGCCTTGGAAGGTTAAATGTCGGAAATGGGGCATCTGGAACGACGCCGCCGCCGGCCAGGCATTGAGCACGTCAGCTACTGAGACTAGTGTCTGCTCTAGCCTAGCCTCCTGGAAACATGGCCCAACTTGGGATGATGCCCTGGCAATGGCGGACAGGGCGAGGCAGTTCCTCAGACAGGGGGTTTGGACGACGGGAGCGTAGTACTGACTTCCCCGTGCAAATAGAAGCTGAAGGGCCGGGTTGCCATAGCCGGGCCATCGTGGAACGAGCTGCTTTTGCCGAGGGGGAGTGCCGTTCCTTGCGCTTGACTGCTTCTCGCCTGGTCTGCCTCCCGGGCTGCGTACAAATAGGCATGGTGGCTTTTTTGACTTTGGCCGAACCAGGGACCTGAATCCCAGACGGGAGGCATGTGTCTGGGCATGGCTGGCCGTCAAACGTCGAGGAGCAAGAGAAGGAGGCTGGCGAGGCTTGGGCTTGGAGGGGGGGGAGGGTGCGGTGACAGGCCGCAGGTGCACATTGGCAGTGCGGTATTCCTCCGTCCCTCGTTTGCCAAAAGAGAAGGTGCAAGCGCAGCGTCGAGTAGCCAGTAGCGTAGCGTCAGGGTGGAGTCGTCGACACCGCCATATTGTGCGTCTCGATAGGTTGCGAGCGGTTGGCAGGCTCGCAGCACACTCTGTTTCGATTATTGGGAAAAATGCAGAGCAGTACGATAATGGCAGTAGAGGAGGGCGATCAGCCAACCAACCGCGCGTCGCGCATCAGCCAGCTCATACTACAAACCTTGGCCGTACCAAGGTGCAGGTATGCTGCGTTGGGTATGTGTGTGTGCGGGCTCCGGGTAAAGATTCTAACTCGAGCTTAGCCTCCCGCATGCCGTGTTCGGCCGTGGACAGACAGTCGGGCGAACAGACCAGCCTAGCACGCAGAACAGACAGACACACGGACAGCCAGACGGGAAGAGAACGTACTTGGTAGGTTTGGCGTTTGGCTTGACGACCCCTCCGCGCCGGCCCTTGCAAGATGGATGCTGTGTATGATACGAGAAAGGCGGGTGGTGATTGGAAGGTTGGGCACTTGGCTTCCAGGAATCCAGAGCGGTGGATCTGGCAGTTCCGATTGCAACATGTCCGTGCATGAACGAACCCTGGGCCTGCCCTGTTTACCCCAAGGGGGGAGGGGGGCTGTCAAGGATGGGTTTCCAAGGCAGGTGTCCCTTCCGAAACCCTCAACCCTGCAGCCTGGGTGTACTTGTACTGTGTGCGCAAGTACCTCTTGATGAGACGGGGCAAGACCAGGTGCGGTCTTTTTGTTGTTCGGATCCGACCCTGTCTGTCGCCTGCCTGCAATCTGGGGTCGACCAACTCAGATGTTCAATCTCTGATCGGTCACTCAGTCGCCTCCGGTCAGTCGCGTCGGCCGCCTGATGGGAAGGAGCGAGAGGGCTTCAAGCCTTTCCTCGTCAGTGACCCTTATCACGCCCCCGTCGCGCTCAGCATGCGGGACGGCCCAACGTCGCAGGCCTGATCAAAAGAGTAAGGTGGCATTGTCGACAGCTTGAGTGCCGGGCCAATGAGCTGCCAGAGCTGCGCCATCACAGGCCCGAGGGGGCAAGAGGGGGGGGGGGGCCGTAGCACAGTCGCAAAACCTCGGGAGGCCGTGGACAGGTTGATCCAATCCAAGCGCCCAGCAGCCCTCCAGCGGCCGACTTCCTCGACGCCCGCCAGGCAATCATGCTGCCACGCCCAATCTGCTGAGGCCTCTACAGGCCTATAGTCGCGCCATGGTCCCTACGGTCCCCCTTTTCGCGGCCTGCGCACGCGCGGGGGAAATGTGACGGCCTCCTGCGCGTGGCTCCTGCCTTGTGGGAGCGTGGAGTAGATGCACCACAACTTGACCCTAGCTAGACGTGTAGGTCGGGATGGTATATGAAAAGGAGACGAGGCACATATCGTGAATGCCTCCCCTTCGCCCGACCCTGTTGAGGATCTTGGGCATCATCCAGACGCGCAAGTGAGGTGTCACTCAACGCCAGCGCCAGCGCCAGTCCAAGCACCGTCGTTTCACCGCCCTCCGTAAGGTTCCAGACGAAGCAGCTCGCCGAAAAATGCCCTCGCTCCTTTCCCTTGGTGCGGCGTGGCTCGGCCTAGCGACAGTCGTCCTAGCCGCCTGCAACGGGCAGGACGCGCTCTGCAGCCGGCCCTACAGCAACGTGACGTTTGTGGGCTCTCACAATAGCGCCTTCGTTGGGTTGCTGCCCAGCCAGAACCAGCTGGTCTCGGTCGCGGACCAGCTCGGCTTGGGCGTGCGCTTCCTGCAGGCGCAGACTCATGATCTGGATGGCACGATCGAGATGTGCCATACCAGCTGCGTCGAGCTGGATGCCGGCTCGCTGACCGACTACCTCAAGCCCATCAAGACCTTCATGGATGCGAATCCAAATGAGGTTGTCACCCTGCTCCTGTGAGTAGCGCATTGGAACCTGAATATATTAGAGTTACGCGCGACTGACAGCTGGGCCAGCACCAACGGCGACGATATCCCTGTGTCCAAGTTTGCCGATGTCTTCTCTGCCGTAGGGTTGGAGCAGTATGCCTTCACCCCGAGCGGTGCGCTGTCGCTCGACCAGTGGCCAACACTGCAGACGTTGATCAACGATGGAACGCGACTAGTTGTCTGGATGGGTAAGTTCTTGGGCATACATGCTTTGGGCCATGCCCGGCCGGCTCATCTAGTTTGATGAAATGACGCGGGACACATGCGGGCTATGATGAAGTTGGAAATGGGTCATTAACGACGTCTTCAGATTACAACTCCGACACCGCCACTACTCCCTACATCCTTGACGAGTTTGCATATTGTATGTGTACTTTCCGCTTCTTTTATAGCCCTCCACTAGGTCCTATTACGGCCCACTAACCCATGGTAGATTACGAGACATCGTACGAGGTCACAGACGATGCCTTTCCTTCGTGCAGCATCGACCGCCCCTCCGGAGCAAGTGCAGATGGCCGCATGGGGCTTGTTAACCACATGCTTCATATCGACATCTTCGGCATTCAGATCCCGGACCTTATCAACGCCAACAAGACCAACTCGCTGAACTCGATCGATGCGCAGGCAGGGATTTGCGAGGGTCTTCATGGTCGGACGCCTAATGTTGTGCTGCTTGACTATGTGAACTTGGGGGACGCTATGGGCGCTCAGGCCGCGCTCAATGGTCTGTAGATACACGGCCGGCTCTTTTTCCGTTCGAACGATAGTTGCAGTCAGAGTTTTAATTCCAAGCAAAGTGTGGATTTATGACATACCACAACTACGAGGTCCGGGACGTAAGGACGTCCGCTTGAGGGTGACTGCTCGTGCTCGGTTTGTGGACGCGGAGGGTGGTAGTAATCACGAGAACTTGACCTGGCCATATGATCGGCTCGGTATGGGAGCGTCAAATGGGAAGATAGAGAGTACATGTGCAGAGGTCAGGTGTTGCTGTGAGAACACAAGAGCACAGTGCATGTCCGGCATCAGACGCAGCGCGCTTCAAGCGACTCCGTTGTTGATTCGCATAGGGCAGCAGCCAACTCATATAGTCCCACAGTTTCTGATAGGTCAGCGTTTGTAACCACATGCATTGGCCGGTGACTCGATTTGTGATCTCACAAGGCTCCTCGTGAAGGGACTACTCTTGGTCGTCAGCGTGGTCAGGTCTTGGTAGAATGCTGGCACGCTCACCCCTGCATGCTCCTCATCTGTGGACTGGCCCCAGTGTGTGTGGCCCTGTAGACCTTCATGTCGCGCCACTTACTTGCTGAAGACAGTGAGCCTGGATGGTGGCTTTTCACAAGTGATGCTAGTTGCTGCTCCTGTTTCGGCTGTCGCCTTTCCCCTTCTTAATGGAGGCCGTCACAATACGCAACCACTGATAGCCCTGAGTCTCAGCTTATTGCTGATTCAACAGCTGAATGGGGTGATAATTTGATTTGGTGTGCCTCTATTGTCTTCGTATGTATAGCGTTATACAAGGTCAAGACTCGATGGCTTGACCTCCATCCGGCGCACTGCCTATCATGTTTTGGCATCCACGGTTCGAGTCATGTTCGTCCTCGCCGCCGACTTCGCTCAAAGAAATCAACGTGAACCACGATCAAGCTGAACCGGAGGTTTTCGGTCTGGAAGAAGCCCTATAGACGAAGGCGTCTGCCGGCTTGGGCTTTCCGCGGTACTCCCACCAATTCAGGCACCTCTTCCCTCGCTTTCCTCGTAGCCATGGCTTGCTGGATCGTTTGAATACCATCCACCAATGTTCCCTCTTCCTGCTTTATCTTGTCCGCGAGTGCCGCCTGCCGACGTTGTTTCGTCAATTCCGTAACCCTCTCCTCTGACAGTCGCCACTCTTTTGGAAACTTTGGCTTGACCTTGAAAGTGTGATGTCTCAGATCGAGCGGTATGTCCTCAAATGTGTCTTTCGGGTCCTATTTGTTCGTCATAGATTAGCTATCTAATGTTTCTGCACACCAATGGCGGGTTCAAGGATAAGTGCTCATGGAGGCATTGCCTCGGCCACTCTCATCGGAGATCCCATCGCTTGAACGGACTTATCCAGACTTCTGCTCTAGAAGCGAGGCCGGGGTTCCTCGACCACTATTGAGCGATTCGACCAGCTCATCCACTGGGTGGAGCTGGAATCACAAACCAAGGTTGCCCTCACCCCACAAGGGCAGCTGTCGAAGGGGACGTCCACGGCGAGCCACTAAGCGGGTTCCCAATAAATGGAGTCGAAGTGTACTGAATGTGTAGCAATGGGCGTATTTCCCAAATCTCTCAAGTCATTGAAGGAGTAAACACATACCTTTGCCTCCGTGACCAGCTTCTCGACCAGCTCCGCCAAGTAACGCTTGTTTTGAGCCTGGTGTTCAAACGACTCGCAGCTCATCTTGATGGTCTCCTTCTCCGGGTTGTACCGCGGACCGGCCAACTTCCTCAACTTCATCTGTTGGACCTCAGTGAGCCCAAAGTCCTCCGGGCTGAACTCGACAACCACCTTCTTCTCCGCAGGGTGGAATTCGCCCATATATGAGGTGTATCGGAATCGCAGCGGCTGGTCCTTGGTTGGGAGCTCGAACGGTTTAGCGAATTCTGTAGCACATAGTCAGATATCAAATGCTCGCCGCGTAATAGATCGACCATTGTTGCTCGGTCCGCTGCGGTCTCTCCCAGCCCGCCCGCCAACTCTCCCCAGAGGCAGGGGGGTCGGCCCCGAGCTTCTCTTCCTCGCAATCTGGTGATCACTTACGGGACAACAAGGGCATCTCCCATATAGCCAGGCGGGCATACGCTCTCTGCTCCCTGTGTTCCTCCAGTTTTGCGTGTGCGATATCGGTCATGTCGTTCTCGTCGAACTCGTCGCTGTCGTCGTTGCTGATGAGGTCCTTGTCGTCCTCGTCCTCGTCCCAGAACGCGTCCCGCCTGGGCTTGACCACCGTCCTCAGCGGCCTCGCCAGTTCTCGCGCGGCGTCTTGCTCCTTGCGGATATCGGTGTCGCCGATGCTAGCCAGCTCGGAGGCGAGGTCGCCAAACATTTCGCGCTCCTCCTCGCTGAAGATTTCCTTCGCGATGTCGCTAGCCTTCATGTTTCGGTATTTCTGGTCCTCTTCTATGTCTTCTTGGCCCCAGTGGTCGAAAGGGGTGGGCTTCTGGCCATCGGTGCTGGATTCCTTGACCTCCTTGATGGCGCCGCCACCTACTGACTTCCACGCGACAAAGATTCTTGGACTAACATTTTGGATAGGCCTTTGGCTCCTGCAGCTGCGGCATGCGAGCCGCAGTGATCGGGCTGCTGAAGCCATGGCAGTGGGTTTGGTGGTGATCAGGCGTGCCTCCGTGGATTGATCGAGGTCGAGCTCCAATTCGCTCCAGAACTTTTGAGAAAGCACAGGCCACCTGCAGCACTAGTGCCAAAATCATTCAGATGCTTCACCCAAAAGACAGCACAGGCTTGCCGCTGTTAGCCGCCTCAACCGCTTCAGCCGCCTCTAAGCGCTCTACCCGTCAACCTAAGCTCTACTCACACACATTCATGCACCACCCCTCGTGTTCCTAAGAGAAAGGAGATTCAAGATGCCTAAGAAAGTCAAGGGCAAGAAGCTCAAGGGTGTCAAGAGACCAGCCCGACTCAGAAAGCTCAAGAAGGCAGCACGTGAAGCAGCCAAGGTAGCTGCCGCAGCCAACAACCCTACCCTCCACCCAGTTGATCCTCAGGACAACGCTCCCCAGGACGACTTCGTCTCCGACGGCGAGGACTCGTACGCCGAGAGCATCAACCCCAATGAGCGCGAGCGCTTCAAGCGCGTGATCCGCCTCCCCCTCCACATCGACGACGAGACCATGGGCCGCCGCCTTCTGGTCACCGGAGGTGCCACCGTGCCCTTCGTGGCCCTGCTCGAGGAGGCAACCGGCGAGGACTTCCTGCAGGTGCTCCGTGACCACGGCTTCACCCACGTCTACCTGCAGTGCGGCGCCGCTCACGACCAGATCAAGGCGCGCCTCAAGGGTGACGGTCGCGGCGATGGCGGCTTGGAGGTCGAGACCTTTGACTTCTGCCGCGAACTCAAGTCGCTCATAAGGGAGCATTGCCGCGGCGAGAAGGGCGTCCAACCTGCTGGTGTAGTCATCGGTCATGCGGGTCAGTTTACGACAGGGGCCCTATTTATTCACTCTACCTTGATCAGAGGGGCTGAAGAACTAACCGTCTATTCAGGTACTGGCACTATCTCTGACACGATGGAGGTCGACTGCGCGCTGGTGATTGTCGCGAACACGACTCTGATGGACGACCACCAGTCCGCCTTCGCGGCCGAGATGGCCAGCGAGTACCCGACTATCATTCAGGCGCACCTTGGGTGAGTTGTAGCCTTACTCCACTGGCTGTTCTCATTTCATTTGCTAAAAGCCCGTTTTCAAGCAATATCGCCAAGTCCATCCCCGACATCATAGACGTCATCAAGCAGAATGGCTTGGACGACCTGGAGCCCTACGAGGAGCCAAGCCTTCCCGAGGAGCAGCAGCTCACATTTATCGACGAGGTTGTCGCCGGTGCTACGCGCCCTCAGTCGTACTACGGCAATCGCCCATTCCACCGTTGCATTGTCCAGTAACTCAAGGCAGACGTGATGGAAATGATTCCATGTTGGATTCTCTGATGGCGTTTTGGTTTGTTCTTGCTCAGTGGTTCAGTGATACCCCGAATGGCGTTCTCGTAGTAGTGTGGTGAGCAGTCAGTCTTCAAAGAAAGATAGACTCAACATAGAAGATATCGCACACAATTGATTGTTCTTCTAATACAAGGCTCAAGGCTCTACCCGGATCTTTTCAATGGCTCTTGTCCATGAGAACCGCTCCAAAGCAATGCTGTCGGAGTTCATTGCAGGCCAGACACGTTCCAGATCTTGACCGCCGCATCACCTCCTGTGCTAGCGATCTTGGACGAGCCCTCGACCCAGCTGACGCCATTTACTCCATCCTTGTGCGCGTTCAACGCCTTCACCCGACTCGCAGGCTTCGCCAGGCTCCACACGTAGACATGTGTATCCAAAGCACCGCTGGCAGCGTGGGTACCAGCATCGTTCCAAGCTATGCTCATGACACGCGCGGTGTGTGCAGACCATCGGTCCGTTGCCACGCTCCAGTCATCCGTCTTGAATGCGAAGATCTTGCCTTGGGAGTTGCCCGCCGCCAGGTGGCTGCCGTCCTTGGAGAACGCCAGGCTCGAGATCTGGGCCGCAGACTTCTTCAGGACCTGGAGCTCAGAGAGCTTGTTACTCGAGTCGAGCTCGTAGATCCGGACGTCGTTGCCGTCTCCAACTGCTACTGTTGAACCCGAAGCAGCGAGAGATGTGGGCGTATAGTTGGTGCTGAGCTCTCCGACCTGCTGGTCTTTGGAGTATATTGCGATTCCTGAGGCAGTGGCGACGACGACACGACCTCCGTCACACTCACACCCTTGGGCTGTGCCTCCAGCTTTGTTGATGATCCAGTAAAAGTATTGGCACCCTCGTCGAGAGTCCTCAATGAGTCATCCCAGCCGACACTGAAGGCTTGTCCAGAGGTAGCTGCAATTTGTGTGACCTGGTTTGTGTGTGTTTGCCCGTCAATGACAGCGCCAACCCCACTCTCGACATTCCAATGGCATACACGGCCGTCGAAACTGCCCGTGTAGACATCCTTGCCACTGCCATCAGAGCCTGTCGCAATTGCTGTAATGCCCTTGTTGTGGCCCTGGACAGTCTTGGTCGGCGCTGCACTTCCCTCTGACAGGTAGTTCAGATCACCGTCCAAGCTCAGAGCGATGATCAAGTCATCCCGAGGCCAAGCCACACCGACCTGCTGATCTCCGACGTTCACAGCACCCTCCTGGCCCAGCTTCCACGTCTGCACGTTCTCGCCAGACTCGACATCCCACACTCTCACAGACTGGTCCGCACTGGCGGTCACGAACCGCTTCGAGTCCTTCGCCCAGCTCACAGCAAAGATGCTGCCCGTGTGCACGCCCTCGCCGATCTGCTTCGTCGGCTCGCCCGTCTTGCCGTCGTACAGCTGGATCCTGCGGTCCGCGCCCACTGTGACCAGCACATTCCCGTCTGGGCTGAAAGCAGTGCCGTACACGAAGCCCTTGTGAAGGTCGTTCGACTTGCCCGCGAACTTGAACGGCGCGCCGTGGAGGAAGCACATGCTGGCGTCGTCCGAGACCGTCGCGGCACGTAGCGGCCGCTGCTGTCTCATAGCCACGGCGTTGACGACTTTGCTGTGGCCGGTGACCTCGCCGACCGAGTTCCCACTGTCGGCCGTGATGCAGGCGCCGAAGCGCTCGCGGCCGTCGCCCACGGCGATGATGCGCTGCGAGTCGCCGTCCCAGCCGATGTCGTTGATGCGCCCGCTGATGATGTGGTACTCCCCCTTCGTGTTGACAGCCTCGACGGCATCCCAGACGCGGACCGAGCCGGACACGTCACCGGATGCGACGTAGAAGCCAGAGGGCGCGAAGCGAGCCACGGTGGTCTGGGCGGTGTGGCCGTTGTACTGCTTGCATTGGGAGGGGTCGTCGATGGAGCGGAGGAAGATGGATTTGCCAGACTGTTGAAGCGGTAGTGATCAGCTAGCTGTCTCAACCGTCCAGACACTTATATACTTCTAACGATAGAGGGACACAATTGGACCTACGGCATAAGCTATGCGCTCTCCTTTGGCATCGCAGGAGAGCTGGGTGGGCTGGCCCCGCGTGGTAACGGGGGCGGCAGCCAGGATCTTGTCGATGGTGATGGACATTGCTCGAGCTTCTGTTCGGCAGTCTGATTGTGCGAATGGATATCAAGAGCAGAGCAGTAACAAGGAGAGAAGGCAATGAACAGCAAATGGCCGTGGCGTCCGCAGCTTGTTTGATGGAGCTGATCACCCCCTTTTCTATATGTGTAGAGCTGCCCTGCCACCTGCCAGCTGGGCAGTGTTGGAGGGGTCGAATGCCCCAATGCCCCATGCGTGACGCGCTGCGGGGCAACCGACCACTGACGTAGCAGTCTGGGTGAGACGCAGCACCGAATGAAGCAATTTCATCCCATCTCTTTCTCACTCTCGCTCAAATCAAATATGCTGTCCCGTTCTAGTCGTGTCTCAAGAATTAACTAACCCTCCCTCGAGACAACTTCTGTGTTGCGAATATGTAGCGGTTTGTAGCTGGCGCGCCACAGAATAGACGCCCACGTTCTGCTAGATACAATATCTCCAGGTACGCATAAGCTTTCAGGAGGCCGTGAGAATAGCAATCTCAGGGGTACCACCACCTCGCCTGCATTCAATTCTCGTCGTCAGGCAGAAGGCTTTGGAGCCCCGCGTCGACGAGCCAGAACAGGGGATTCAGGCAGCAAGGTATCGCCTTCACAAGACGACAGCTTTCAGCTGGGTACTTTAGTCAAGGCCCAATAGCGTGACAGCAGACTTTGCTGCCTTGGGATGTAGGAATATAGATAACAAGTACGCAGCCCCGATGGCTCCGTCTTATATCGACCGGGCAGTACAGCATCCAGTAATGCCCCCAACTGAATGGATTTGATTGTGCATGGAGACCCAATTGTTGGTAGGCTGTCTCGGGTCCGACTAGCCAAAGCAGTCTTGATGACTTGCCTGAGAATGTCAAGCTCTTGCGGGTGACTTTGGATAGCCTCGCTGATATACAGTGGAGCATGCTATCCCACACCCGGGGACTTGGGCCAGTCAATGGCATCGAATTGAACAAGCAAGATGACGGTATGCCTCTTCGACATCGGCCAGGGGAGGGAAGAACGTAAATGGATATGATCATTGTGCCATGAGTCGGCCTCAACGTCCGTAGGCTTCTCAAGGTACCTTGACCCGTGGCCAAATGTGCCAGAAAGTGCTATGGTGACCAAGGGAAGAAGACAACTCGATTAGGCAACTGGTCTTTAATTGGTTAATTCCAAGTCAGATATTCCCAAAACAACACACGTTGCCACAACGGCGTTCTCTTTCCTGCATACCTCACTGGGTCACAAGCAAGATCTGGTGACCGTATCTGTCCATTTTAACTTCCATCGAAGTCGAGTAGTAAATTGCACTCATCATCGTGAGTTGCCCGACAGCCTAGGGCGAGGGTGAGGAAAGGGGGAAATTGTACACTCAGACTGAAATTTGTGCGTAGATGTGTCGATGAGACCTGCAGGCTCTACCAAGACTTCGTGTAATGGACATTGTAGTGGAGGAATGGCTTCTTCCAGAAGACATGGTACTAATAGGCCATTACTTTGGGTCAAAATTTGAATCCAGTTGATCTGACGCAGGTTTAGGAGCTACTTGGCCTCTGTTGCAGCTATTGTTCATGAGTTTCCAACTTGTAATCGAAGTGCAGGATTGAAGTATTCAATTCTGAGTAACTGAATGTCGTGACTGGACTCAAAATCTATTCACTGCGTTTCCTGTCTCAGGCTTGTCACATCGACAGTTTCTTATCCCGCATTCGATTGTTCAAATGAAACGTATGTACGAATTGAACCCAGAACCGCCCCCACAATAAGAATGTTCCTATAATCATACAGCTGGAATGGCGGGGCTCGTTGGAGAGTCAAATCCACACTGAATTGACTCACCCATTCGCCGAGTCCCAAACCAATCCATGACTGTCAGTGAGTCCATTCACAATCACAATTGGCTTATAGTCATGACGTTTGCCTCGAGTCCGTGTTATAAAAGGCCGAGGACGAATTTCATCGACACTTCCTCTGGCTTGCAAGCAAAATGGTCAATTCTGTCCTAATATTCGAGCAAAAAGAAGAACCTAACTATGTCTTGTATATTTGAAATACCTTGTGGGGTATTTTTAGCTTCAATCCCTGTCTTGGTTCAAATAGATACCTGTATGGCCACACGCCTTGGCCCAACTCGGGGAGTCGAAGGGAACGTTCCCATCTTTACGCGACAACTTAGAAGCCATGATAATCATCCCCATGGAAGACGATATCGTAGCCTTCGTCCACAACTCAACCAGTGGAGTGGCACCCCGACCCTCAGTAGCCTGGCTGCGCCAGCATCATTAGCCGGGAATGTAGACTTTCTTCCTTACCCCTTCCTGCATGACACAACTATCCTCAATTTGAGCAGGTCTCTCGGACTGTTAGGCTTGGAACCTTGTGATAATGATGAGTCCGTCGACCGGCAACCAAGCAGAGAGCGTAGTTCTTATCCTACGGATGCCGTGAATAACAACGCAGATCGTCCTACCAGCGGTGACTTACCTCTCAGCGCAAACACCAGATCTCACCATCGACGACAAGATTCTGATGGAGAGGGATCTCCACCACGACAGGGGCGGGCTGACAGCAGGTCATTCAACCCGTACGGGTCGCCCAAATCGACCCTCGAGACCAACAACGCCATCAAAGACCTCCTCCTCCGCCACCACATCGACGCCGACGAAGGCTACGTCTACGGCTTCCAGCACCCAGAAGACGTGGCTGTCGACCCGCTATCACCAGGGGGAGGCCACAACGGGAGGCCACATCTCATCAAGATCGGCCGCTCAAAGAACCACCAAGCGCGGATGCGGCAGATCAGCAAGAGGTGTAAGTATGTGCCGCACACCGTCTTTGCCCACCCCACCCCCCAGCACGCCATGGTCGAGCGCGTGGTCCACACGCAGCTGCACAACTCGCGGCTGAGAGACGTCGGCTGCGCCGGTTGCGGGACCAGACACGAGGAGTGGTTCGAGGTGGACGTCGGCCGTGCCGAGCACCTGGTGGCGCTGTGGAAGGCGTTCGCGGAGTGTCACCCTTACGACGAGCAGGGGGGGATGCTGGCAACGTGGCGCGAGAGGCTTGAGCAACTCGACCTGGGCGATGCTGACTGCTGGGAGCACTTTGTCCATGGGACCGCTTCGGACCGGTCGATGACGGGCTCGCCTCAGGAGCTGGAGGCTGAGACTGCACCTGTCGGAATGGTTGCTGGTCAAATCGGCTGACCAAGCGATGGGGATTCTGGGAGGGTGAATCGGGAAGAGGACCGGGAAGTAATTTGATCCTTTCACTGCTGATTATGCAGAAGTATCTGCCACAGAGCCTCAAAATCTCTCAAAGTAAGTAGGTAGAAACCATTTATAAATTCCTTGCATGAACGTGTACATGTCGCTTAAAAGCTGTCTTCATTCGTTTGTGAAATGTGTGGACCGTTTCCTGTCGCCTATCAAACTTCCCGACATCACATCAAGCAGCCACGATCTTCTCAACAGCCGCCAGCAACTCCGCCGGCACGCTCAAATAGGGGCAGTGGTTAGCTTTGACGAGGATCTTGGGCGCCTCAGGCTTGAGCTGTGCCGCCATCTGCTGCTGAAGCGCGTACGGCAGGGTGCCGTCGTCCTCGGTGAAGATGTAGGCACACGGGATCCCATCATTCCAGGGCTCGTACTCGTTGACGCCGGCGAAGAGGGCGGCGGACGTGTGCGTCATCTCCTTGAGCCACTTCTGCCGCTCCTCCGGCGGGAGGTCGCTGAAGCAGAGCTCCGACACCACGTTCGGGTCGCCCGTGACGCGGTCGCCCTGTCCCCTTGGTTAGCACACCAGTCTTGTGTGTGAGATAGCATCGAGTCTTGGAGGAGTATCTCCCTCGCCTATCCCCCTTCGACACTCACCTCAAGGACCATCCAAGGCGCCGGCTTCCCACCCAGCATCTGCAGCAGGCTGCTTCCCTTGGGGACCACGAAAGCTGCCATGTAGATGATCCTGGCTACCCCGCCAGGCAAGCCAGCCTCCTTGCGGGTCTTCAGACCCAGGCCCTTGGCCGCGCCCCCGCCGCTGACGCCTCCGGCCGAGTGCGTAAGCAGCACGAGCTCCCTCCCGGCCTCGACCAGCGGCTGGATCACCGCGCGCACGGCCGCGATGTCCTCGGGGAGGCCCGTGAGCGGCAGCTCCGTCCCGCCCACGCTGGGCATGTCGACGATCTCCGTGTCATACCCATTGCTCCGCAGCAGGTCCGCGAAGGGGGCGAAGGTGCTGGTGAGCTGCCACGCGCCGGGGACGATGACGATGGTCGGTTTGGTGGGTGACATTGTGGGCTATAGTGCGAATTGACGCTGTGATGTTTCGATATTGCAGTCTCTCTCTTCGAATGTCAATTGTCAACCGTGTTGCCCGCTCTGGTGGAGCCGAGCAGCAAGAGTCGTCGTGTCCTGTTCCCGCCTGCGGATGTGGGCCCCCTTTCCCGATGGTCCCGATGGTCCCGATGGTCCCGATGGTCCCGATGGCTCTCCTGAGCTCCTCACTGGCTTCCCCGAGGTGATGTCGCGGCTAGGATCATCTCCCGCGATCGTCTTCCGTCCCCGGAAGCGTGTTCTAGTGCGGTACCCGATGGTGATTCGCGCTTCCCGGAAGCTTAAATCAGCCACTCAGCAGTCCGGCGCGATCGACCACAACTCGAGCGGCGTTCTTGAGCAGGTCACAAGAGCAGCAGCGTATGCCATCTTCATCGCCGGCGACCATCTCACAGCGTGATGGTAATCCGTGACTCCACAGGACCGAGCATTCCCAGCGCGAGGCTCCGTCTTTCGAAGGCAGGGATCAGCTGGTCCTCGCGTGGAATTCCACTGACACGGACGGGTGCGGGGATGGACGAGAATCGGGAACTCCCAATGCCGTGACCTGAACCGTCTCGTCTCGGTTCGACTCAAGCAACGGGCCTTTGCTCGCATTTGAGGGGTTTTTTGTTCTTGAGGGCGGAAGCGAGGGTCAGGAAATGAGGCTGTCACGCTGTCACTTGACATCCCGGTAGCTATAGCAAACCACCCAAGAGCACCCCGACGACACACCTAATTAGCCTCGAACAACTTGGCGGGCCCCAATGTCTAACATCGACGACGATGGACGGATAGGAGATTTCCCAACCGATGTTGATGTAGATGGGGCCGTCAGCAAGGGTCGACGCCACTTCAATATCAACGGGCGCTGATCCCAGATCGACGCCTGGCCCGCCTCAACTTTTCGGCCGAGTTTCGTCCGCTGCACACTTTCATCGCTGCTTGCTTTCACGCTGCAAGGGGGCACCGCACGCGTCTCTCGGCGGCTCTTCCTCTATTAAGCTGGAACCCGCCCGGCCCCCATGTGGAGAAAAATCTCCGACGCGGTGTTTGGATCAATCGCCCTGTATTCTCCGACTGTCACCGCCCGCCCCGTGGCCGGGACACTTGTCGACGTTTCCCCGCAAGAGGGCATGGCGGGTTTCGAGACGAAAGAAGGCCCCCTTGTAAAACGTGGGCGCTGGTGAGCGCCGTTGTATTGCATCATATGTCTTACCTCACCCTGCTCGCACCGTGTCTCGGCGCGGCTTGCCCCCGGACAGCAATTTGGGAAGGGTTTATTCCCGGCGTGGGGACCGCCCAGCGTATCGTCTTGAATCGCAAGGTCAACGGTGTTGTTGTTGTGGCGACAAAAATACTGCGCGCGCGCGCGTCAGAGAGAGACAGAGACAGCGCAGTATCCGGCCTCGCCATAAACTCAATTTTGGCTGCAAGTGCATTTTGGGCGGCAAACTCCCCATTTAGCAACGGCCCTTCCGAATGCTTGGTCGAGCGCCGGCATTGCACGCGCGGCCGCCACATGCACGCCCTGCATTGCATGTCCCAGCCATCCGGGTCAGTACCACGGTGCCTATTCGCCCTCCTCGCTCTTGTGTAACGCCTCCAGGCACAGGTAGGTAAAGCCTCGCCGCTCGGGCAGTCGGGGAGGGGCAAGCCGGGACGGGAATGGCTTGCTGCGCGCGTCACACAGCAGCCAACGGAGTCACACCAGCCGGGGAGGGCACGTCAATGGGAACGTCATCACCGTTGAGGACAGACTCAGGACGAGGGTCTTCCCGATCCAACTTGTAACGGCTGCAAGGGTTCGGGGAGGAGACGGGAGAGATATTTTCGTCATCAAGAGGGCATCAGTCAAACCCAGACAACCGCACACGCACGTCGACATGTCAGTTTCGGCCCGGTATCGAGGCTCGTCATCGTGGTGCGATAAGGAACTTCTGGAAACGGCACTCCAACGGGGCGAGCAACACACACTGCCGGCAGTCAACATGGGGCAAGCGGCACAGCAGGGGGTTTGGCAGGCGAGGCTGTGCAAAGGGTCCAGGATGTTTGGTTTGGTTTGGACGTCGTGCAGGAAAAAAATCCACTGCGCTTGCCCGGCCGGGCAGAGCACAGGGGTCGTGTGTGTGTGTGTGTGTGTGTGTGTGTGTGTGTGTGTGTGTGTGTGTGTGTGTGTGTGTGTGTGTGTGTGTGTGTGTGTGTGTGTGTGTGTGTGTGTGTGTGTGTGTGCTGGGGTGCATTCCAAAGCTGAGACGAAAGCCCCCTCTCATGCAGGTAGGGCAAGGTATGTACATGTAAGATAAGACAGACCCTCTCACTTCATCTTGAAAGAACGGTACATGGGGCGGCTGTGTAATTCCTCTTTGAGGACCAAGGGTCCGGCAGGGCAAATTTCATCTGCTATAGTACAGTACAGTGCAGTATTGAATTCTCATCACCCAGGCCCATCGGTGAATCTCCGTCTGAGCTTTTGTAAATTCACAATCGATTTTCTGAGTGGATAGGTACAAAGGCCGTTTTCGCGCCTGCGTGCCAGCGGGTCTTGACGGGGTAGGTTGCCATGGGCAAAACAGCGGAGACAAGAGAATGTGAATGGCATGGGTTGAGCTTCAATATAAGTGGGGTGACAAGGTGAAGTACCTAGGTAGGAAGGTCTATCACTGAGAAGCTATTGCGACAAAATTGTGGGTGCGAGCGGAAATCACAATCGTTGAGGAACAGGTAAGTACATGACAATAAGTGGATATCATTCAGGTCATTCCTAGCCGTAGCTTGGATGGGTATTTGTCTAACTCGCGACCACACGCGTCTTGTACATGCATACAGTTGTTTTCGGCAAATTGCGGATCATTTTGTGAATCGCACAATTTGTGCCCCGTTCCTGTGGATGTCCCCCAACCCCCTGCCACTTCCCGGACAGTTTCTTCCACCCTTTGAAACGTCTTGTTCGCCTGCCGTTGAAGAAAAGAAGAAGAAAAAAGAATCCACCGTCTTTCGTTTTTGGAGCTTTTCCGGTTTCATTCTTAGTGAAGAAAAAAGAGCAGCAACTCCTTGAATGCACCCAATTGCAATTACATGAAAACCGAAGGGGACTATATTACACTGAAAAAAGAGGAGTCGTCCTTGGGCCGAGACAACGGGTGGAGATAGATGGAGAGATTGAAAGAAATAAGGGTAAGGAGACAAGGCTATTGCTTGTGCATATGCGAACTTTCTATAATGAGTGTCGAGAAGGGTATCAAGTTGAAAAAGAAAAAAGCAGATGATGCGGTGGATATATTGAAAGACAGATGCAGTGTGGCCGTGGTGGTCATGAGTGAAACGGCCGTGAAAATCATAAAAGATGGGATAGTATGATGAACATAAGAAAAGACATCCCCGTGAGGAGCGAATTAGAAAATCGGAGCAGGCTAGAAAATCGGAGCAGGCTAGTGCTTCACTCCTTGTTTTTGGTGTTGAATGTTTTTTAAGGCTTGAAGACAGCATTGGTGAGAAGGAATTCGCCCGCTGCCGGCTCCTTGGTTTCGGTAGCAGTCGGCGTCGCAGTGCGGGGCGTGGAGTTCGGCGAAGACGACTTGGTCGTCGTGGTGCCGGTGACGGTCTCGGCACTGGAGCTTGAGGAGGATGTCGTGGGGGCGCCTTGCAGCTTCTCGTGACTGTGCTGGCGGTGAACCTGCTTGCGCTCCTCCTCGGACATGTTGGCGTTGAGCTCGGGCAAGTCAGGCACGCAGGTGTCCTTCCCTCTGAGGGCGGCAGCGTCATCGGCAGCTCTGCTCATCCGGTCCATTTGAGATTCGACGTCAGCAAGCAGGGCGGCAACCTCATCTCCAGCGTAGATACGAATGGACTCGACGTCAGCACGCCTCATGCCAGAAAGAGGGTGCTGAATGGTCTCCTTCTCCTTGGCCGGGGGTTGCTTCTCGCCGGTCTGGTTGATACCGAGACCGACAGTGGCGGCATTCTCAACAACAGGCTGCTCGATGATGGTCGAAGGTACCTGAGCAACCACACGCTGGGGCGAGGGCGATGAAGACTCGATACGAGGAGTGAATGAGCTCTTGACAGGGGACCGTGGGGGCGTGGACAGGTTAGTAGGCGCGGTTGGAGGAGCGGCGCCGACACCCAAGGCAAGCTGGAGGCTCTCACTGACACCGACAGCCCCCGAGACGGGTAAGGTCACGGCAGCAGCAACATGTTCCAGAAGCTTCTGCCGGATTCGAGTACGGCGGTTCTCAGCCTGCTCGAGCTTGTTGACCCAGTCGTCGATGGAGGAGTCGAGTTCGGCAAGTGCCTCCTCTTGCTTAAGCATGGAGTCGTGGCTGAACTTGGCCATGCGAGGAGATCGTAGGTATTGGCAGATACGGGAGTGCAGGTTTCGACGTCCAGCCCTCAGTGAGTGATACGTGCGGCGCAGGTACTCCGTGCGCTCATCCAGGTTCCTCAGTTCCTGTGCATGCATGATTAGTGGGGTGTTTCAACCAGTAGTGATTGGTTGCAGGACTTACCCTGGACAGACTGTCCACATCCTCCTTCCTCATCACCTCGAACCTGGCGGCCTGCTGCATAGCCTGCTTATGAAGGGCAGCCCTCTCAGCCTGCTCGAGCATCTGTGCGGCGTCGGTCACCTTCCAGCCCTTGGGCAGGGTCTCGAAGGCACGACGCTCAGCACTCTTGCTGGTCTTGGAAGCTGACCTCTTGAGTCCGTCGTTCCTCTTCCTCGGGCGTCCACGGTCCATGATGCTGGCGGTGACACTACCGCTCTCTGACACATTCCTCCGATGAGTGGAGAAGCTGGAGGCAGAACGGGGCTCCACTGCCGACCTTGGTGTAGCCATGTTCTGTACAAACTCGGTGCCCTGCTCCTTGGGTGTTTCAAGCCCGGCCGGGTTGCCTTCTCCTTTCCACGGTTTAGGGGAAGCTCGAGGCTCGGTATTACCTGATACAGGTGTTGGTAGGCTAGAGTTGGAGAAGGTCGAAGACGGCGCCGAGGACATGGGTGTGCTAGCCGTAATAGAGGCGGAGTGCGGTGTGTAGGGAGATCTCGTTCGGGGAGATTCCTCTGTTCGTGAAGGCCGGATGCTGGACTCGGCGCTGCCTGTGCTACCGGATCGAAGACGGCTCAGGGAGAGTTGCCTCGTGAGTTTAGGGAGCGAGGAGGTCTGGACGGGAATCACGAGGGGCGGGAGGTTCTTGGGCGACTGAGGCTGTGGGATGGTTGTGGTTGATATATCGGAACCAGAATCTCCTAGAGGGGACAAGTGGGTTTCGTTCCTGTATGCGAGATGATGCATCTTCCACCCGTTGCCAGGGGCACTGATAGACCGCTCGTGACAGGCTGGGCGGCCGGGTATTGTTGCTGGAAGGAGGTCAGCCCCGTCTCCTCCATCCGACGACAGCAATAGTTTGGTTGACTTACGAGAGTCCATGGCGACCTCGTGAACGGTGGTCATAGGGCCCAACTCTGGTACGCTGACTTTCCGCCGGCGGATAAGGTTGTGCTCCTTGATCCTCAGGCGCAGGCCGCCTGCACAAGGTTTGTCTGCCTTGTCGCCGTTCTGTGCCATGGCCAAAGCGAACGCCTGCTCTGGGTCCAGCCCCTTGCCCTGAGGTCCAGCGGCCTGCTTTTCCCTGGGAAAGAGCTGGTACTTCCTCGTCTCAGACTGGGACATCATCCTCCAAACCCAAGGCTTTGAGGCTTGCTGCTCTACCTGTGGGACACGACGATAGTGAGCTTCGGGGTTGGTCCAGCCACACAATTATTATGAAGCGGAGGTAGGAGGAGGAGGCTGAGGGTGCACACAGGAGGAGGACACAAGTATGCACTTGGTCATAAAGAAGACAAGATGTTTCAATATATGGAAACACACTTACCTCGTCCACGACGGGTAGAGGTGAGACGGACCTTGCTATATAGCTCCCGATGCTCAGGCGATCGACATCCGCATCTGACATGCAGCTGGCTATGTGAGCCATGCTTGAGCATGGACCTCTTCGAGTCGAGAACGGGGGACCCGTAAATTGGGACTAGTGGCGATCCAGATTCTGATGCAGTGGCTGCCCAGGAGTTCCGCGACACGGACAGTCCCCTGCTCGACTACTGTAGTAGACCCCGGCGGAGTGAGCCGGCCGGTAGCAGGAGGAGTAGGGAAAGGGCGAGACAAGTGCCCGCTGGAGCCAGAGAGGGAGAGAGGGAGAAGGGATAGGGAGAGGAAAAAGACTGTCCAATACAAAGACTCAGAGATGCATGGATCCCCCCCGCGGTGCACTCCAAACAGTAGGAGCAGGGTGAGCTTCGTTAATTGTCGGGTTCTGCTGTGTATAACTGGGGACAGGACGGGCGCACGAAGGGAAGCAGAAACATCCAAAGGAAATGAAATAGTCCCTAGACAGACATGCGCGGCCCACAGCAGGTCTACCGGGCTGTCATGTCCTTATCTTCTTTTCTTGAGGAGTACCAAAGAAGCGACACTGCGCCCCCCTCGCGGGCCCCTCTCGTCGACGAGGCAAGTACTTATTACCGACCGACAAATTGCAACGGTTGGCAAGGGACCAAAGCAGCCACACTAGGCTCTTCCTGATCCTGATGAAGAAAATCTGCACTCGCCAGGAAGATGAGCAGCGATCCTTCGCCGTGCGTAGGTAGTAGTAGTGAGAAATGAGTACGCGATGTACTGTGCTGTACTGTGGGCTGTGGTAGGTCTGGGCTGGGCCCGCATGCGTCTCCGTCGTATCCATCGCCCCCATCGTCCCCATCGTCCCCGGTCGGAGAGAAACTCTGCAGTGCCTAAATTAACAGCGCAGGGGCAGAGTCTGAGACGTGCAATAGATGCAGTTCCCATGAGGATGGCATTGGCTTGCCATGATGCGCGGTACGAGGTGCTCACGCGGATGTGCGGCCGGCTGGTCATGTACTGCTCTGTTTCCCAGCACCCCGTCTCGGGCATCCAGGGGACGGAGGTGATAGCAGAATGGGGGTTAGCGACGCAGGCGAGCTACACGATGGCAACCCACCGCCATGAAGTCGGTTACTTTGACTGTGTATGCCCCAGCCCCAGCCCCAGCCAGCCCATCGAAGAGGAGGGAATCGAGCAGCAGCAGCGCAGCAGAGCAGGGCACAGCAGCTGTGTGTGCCCTGGCGTCCTGACGTCCTGGACAAGGAGTGGGACCGGATGGGGAGGGGGGGTTTGGTTTGGTCGAGAATGCTTGGGGATGTCCAGGACGCATGGGCAGACGGGAGTCGTTGTCGCTCGAGGCAAAGTGACAGGGTGAAACCGCTTCCCTGCACGTTGACGGAGGTGTTCCACGCCACGGCCGCTTGGAGACAAAACCCCACCAAAACGGCAGGGATCGCCTTCCAAACTGGGATGCCTGTCGATAACGTGCGTCCCCCTGTCATCTCCATAACGATAATTCCAAGTGGCTTAGGCCCTGTCCACCATGTACCTTCGTACCGACAAGCTTCCTTTCCTTCCCAACCCCTCCTCCCGCCTTCCTGGCCTTCGAGTTATCGACCCAGCGAGCCAATGCATTTTGCTATCGCCAGCATATCCTTCCGGTTGAGACGTTCGTCGTGTGCTGTCCAGCCCAGTGCGGTCCAGACCCAGCCCAGGTCCAAGGCCAATCTCCCACGGGCAATGCACAATGGGCCATATGGACACTACATGTGTGGATGTGTGGGTGTGAGAAATGCTATCCGAAATCATGAGACGACGACCGAGACGATCAGCTCTTTGCCGGCTTAGATCGCATTGCTGCGACGTCCGTTGACGTCCATTGACGTCCGGCCTCTGGGCCTCGGGCCCTGCTTCCAGAGCGATGACAGTGACGACTGGTGCAGTAGCTTGGGGTGACGAGCTAGGACGAACTTGCATGGCCGTCTCCGCAGCCAGATGGATACCATGCACAAGTCAGTTGCGGTAGCAGGCAGCACGAGCAGGGAGCACACACGCACGCACAGTATGGGCTGCCGCTGCGGCATGCGTACCGCGCGTGTGCATGTAGTAGTCTATGTCTGCGACATGTCAACCTTGAAAGGAGCCCACACAAACATGCACCTGCACCGCAACTGCACCTCTGCACGTTCTGCACCTGCATAGCTCGCAGAGTAAATACCCGCACCAGCTCCCCACTCCTCAGCCCGCAGCGACTCAGTGTCTCCAGCAGCATGACACCGGGTAGGAGGGCCCGTGCCAGGAGGCAGCACCTCGACAGGAGGCTCAAAGTGCCGGACGGAGAACGGAGAAGTGGGCCGGCTCCAGTAATCTCTTGTCAACGCCCATCTGCAGCACCACCCAAGGGGGCCCACATCCGCTGTCTACCCGGCCGGCCGCCCTCGTCTGGCCGTGCTCTGCTCTGCCCTCTCTCTGCACTGCTCTGCGCCTTGAATCAGGGCCCCCTTACTCGCTACCTGTTAAGCTTTGAGATGACACCTTTGGCCCTGGGCCCGTCTCTCACCCCTCCGATGGTATCAGGGGAAATAAAATAAAAAATTATGCTTCTTCTTCCCGCTGCGGAGACCTAGGGGACCAGCTGCCACTTGCCTCGGAGGCTCCACATGAGCACCACACCACACCACCACTACCATCACAACCACCACCACCCACAACCAGAAAGGGTCCAAACCCAAAAGTCTGCTCTGCCAGAGTACCTAGTAGTCAGAGAACCTACCCAAAATCCTATCGGGGCTTTTTTGAGCAGTGATCCAGTGCAATCTTTCCGATCTGTCACCCGCATACACACACATTCACTCTCTCACGCACACAAACCTTTACTTTTCTCTTGGGGTTTATTTTTCCTTTCCTTTTCCCACTTTCCACATCCTGGATGTGATCGCATAGTCCCCGCTGAAACACAGTCATTATGCCTTGCGATGTTTCGGCAGGCCCGGTGGTGATGCCGGCGTGACGGTGGCTACCGTCGCACAGACGAACGACTTCAGTCGATACGGGGTGACCGACCAATCGCGGTGCCGCAGGCAGGCAGCTGCCTCCTCAACGAGAGGGCATTGATATATGCTCCCCGTATGGAGTGGGGGTGGATGGGAACAAGGCGCCAGAGCTAACGAGTTTTAGCAGAGGACATTACATTCCAGCAACTGGCCAGACGATCCCTCGTTGGTCACTTGGTCACTTGTCAAGCGACAAAGCGCAGTCTAGTGAATCCTAGCCTCGCCTGAGTATCTCGTCATGGACATGTCACTGCTTCCTTCCTGTCTTCGAGTCCCTGCCCTCCCTGACACTTGGGGCCATGAGAGTTCTTCCAAGAGTCTTACCACCCGTGGCTGCTTCACATCGAGGCTGATGAGCAAGTGTTCCGAGGAAGTCCTAAACGGCCTCGCTTTGCTGGGTCCTGCCTGCGAGGAGCTCACGAGTTTGCTTCTTGTCACCTAGGCGGCGGCCGCCGCCCTTGGGTAGAGAGGCGAGGGGCAGAGGTTGACAAGGTGTTGATCACTTCGGCATAAACGTCGCGAGGGATTTCCACAGGGATATCAACAGGGCAGCAGCATAATGATCGGTCCCATGGTTCAAGTATGTGGCAAGGCGTCCTCCCCGCTCGTGAACATGGAACCTTGGTACATATTTGTCGTCTCGTCGGCGGTGCCCTACGTGTCGAGGTTGGCACCTGAAAACTCTTGGTCGCCACCGGGTGTTCGCGAGACATATTGTAGCAGGTTGAGTAGAACATTTGTGAAGCTGTCCGGTCTTACATCGGTGAGTCAGGGAGTTGTTCATGGCTCTTCCCGCGGTTGCCAGACCAACCGTCGAGGAATGTGGTACGCTACGTATTAAGGAGGCAAACGGCAGCCTCAGCAGAGTCATTCAAGCACAGGAAATCTCGGTGCAGCTGCGAGATGTCAGGCGCCGGCCAGGCAAGCTAAAACGGCTGGACAAGCGGGTAGATGAACTGAGCAGGGATGCAGCCTCTAGGGATGACAGGTTTCGTCCAGCGGCGACTGACGGTCCAGCCAAACAGGCTCGCGGGTGTCAATCTTCGGCACGACCGCCGCCGACCGGGAAGAGCCCATACCACTGGCCATGCTTCAGGGTTCAAATAGGGGACCACCGAGCCACGATCCGGATCGCATGCCAATAGCCATGCAGATCCCCCTCAGAGTCTTGGTATAGCTTACCATCTCTTATTCCCGTGTTCGTGCGGCTGGGGGCGAGCGTTCGTACGGTGATGGCGAAACTACGAGTCAAGCGGCGTCTTCGATGGCAGTCTCTGCCTTTTCGCCTTTGCCCTTTTCCCTCCCTGTCACCGAGTGAGCCGCCCTTGCATGATGACTGCGTGGCGACTGCTGCCAGGGCTGCCAAACCTGCCAGGGAGGATCTGTGCGTTCATGGGTTGAGGCAGTCTACTCCTGCATTGATAACTGCATCGCCGCTCAGCAGCAAAGCATCAGCTTCACCTGCACGCTCCAAAATGTACGGCAGCAGCCCTCTCGGTTGAGCGGGAAGCTCAGGTGCCCGTGGGCTAGCCAAGCCTGGCCGCTGCAGCCGCCCTCGGCTAGCCATGAGGTGGGCCGTCCGAGGGACGATGCAATGCGAGGCGAGGGGAGTGAGAGCCATCAACCCAGCGACATGGTGCCTCCTGCAGACGCCAAGATGCAGATTCCAAGTTGCCAGATGCCCTTCGGCGCAGGTTGGGCCAGGGGTTTTTTGACAAGCGGTGGGTCCGATCTTAGACATTGATGTAGCCGGATAAAATCGAGCATGGGACGGGGGGTTTCAGCAGCGCTTCTGCCAGATTGATGACGGCGATGAGGTTGGGGTGGGTGGTGGAAATTCTTGGGTCCAAGTTGTTTCGAGGTTGTTGATCTGCTCGATTGAGGCTGAAAAATGGACTACCCCAGGACCAGAAAAAAAGAATGACGAGCAAACTTTGGAACTGTACGACGTTGGGAAAAAAACAACCCGAGATCGGCAGGATTAAGTTAGCACTGCAACGCGATGGCGCTACGAGCGACTAACAGAAGAGCCGAGGGGCCTAGACTAGGTAGAAGTAGCAAGTAGCAGCAACAGCTTGGTCTATTCTCCGTGTTCGTCGTCCCATAGAATGCACCTACCTCTTCGGCACCGCTGCCGACACGCCACAGCAGCAGCAGCAGCAGCAGCAGCAGGCCACGGAGACATGACTGCCACTAGCCACTGTTAGATAGCTATTAGATTAGCTCTTATGCTGTTCTCAACACCAATTCAATTCAATTCACTACTGGACGAAATGCATGCATCAAACAGTGTGGGAGAAGTGATCACCAGGCACAGATGGCGCAGACCACAGCTCCACTCATGACGCCCGCTCCCACACACACACATGAGGAGACACTCGCCTGCCTCATCACCAGCATTTCGATCGCATCGGGAGTGATAATGCAGGTCTGGGCAGCATCCATGCCCGATCCCAACGCAGGTTAAAGGGATTTGGTTCTCACCGCCGCCAGCAGGTGCCAGCCACACCCAGGAGAAATAAATAAAGAGGTAGGTCGCACGACCCCATCACCCATTCCCAATACGCGGTATCGAGCCGCAGCTAGCTGGCCATCGCTGCCATCGCTACCGCACTTTGCGCAACGCCCGGCCTGGCTGGCAAAGGGGGGGGGGGAAGGGGGCGACGGTCACATCGGGGGCAACCCTCCATGCACCCGATTCGTGTTGCCCTGCCGTCACAGTGCAGTGCGGTGCAGCGCAGTGCTGATCCTCGAGGCCGTCTGCTCTGTTTTGCTGTCGCCGTTGCATTTCGTCCCATCGTCCGTCCCCCCACACCCAGCCCTCCCAACCCTCCCTCCTCCTTCCCGCCATCGCCGTCCCATCGGCTGATCATGAGTTCTTGGTCCCCTCCTCCCGGCAATTAACTCGGTGCCCGGGTGCCCTGTGCGTGCTGGCTCAACCCAACCCACGAACCTATCCACCGCATGTGCTGCGGGTTGGCAGAGAAACTCGCACGGCAAGCATGGCTATGTTGCAGCTCACTATGCCTGGACCCCAACCACGGGCCACTGCACCTCAACATCTTATTCTTATCTCACTATAGCCCCTCCGTTGCGGCATATACTCTTGTTAAGCTTCTGCCACCGGTTCAATTGTCGTCTGGCAACGACCTCTCAGAGAGGCCGTTTGCCTGAATTTTGATTGTTCACTGTTTCAGGCCCTCAGATGTTCCAGGCCACGGCTCGGCACTGGCGTAGCGCGGAGGAGTCCACTTTAGAAAGTACACGCTAGTCATCAAGATACCGATCTCCAGGGATTAGACTGTGGGATCCGGCTCAGAAAAGCGCCGCACAAATCTTGATTCCCCCCTGGCTGAGTTGTTAGCGAGTAGAGCACTGGCGGCAGACGAGTTTGTGTGCCTGAGCGGCGGGCCAACCTCTCAGCAGGGTTGGTGGTATCAATCAGATGAGGGTGCAGCGTTCGTCAGAGGCATATCGATAAACCCCTCAATGTGTTGTAACCGTGCAGCAATAATATGCTCTCTTACACCCTTACGAGAGCTGTTATGCTATAGCAAGGCCTATAACATAGCCATATCACAACTAGAGCTTAATCCGACGACGGCAAGGGACGGGAGATACGCGTATCCTAATGTCCTTGGCCCCTCGTCCAAATGGCGAAACAAATGAGCCTGCAAGTTGATAGATATCCATCAAGGAAACAGACCCTCGATGGCAGTGATCGGATGAAGCGCCCGAGTGCGTATGCTGTTTGCCGTTGTCTCTCTCAACTTGGCGGAGCGTGGGGGCTTTTTGGCTGGGACATCTGACAGCTGGTTCAGGCGAGGTGATCCACACGGGAGCACCTTGCTCGTCACCAGCACAACCAGTAAATGAATTTCAGAACCACAAATGGGGCTGGCTGGTGAGCGAATAGCCGCCCAATGCGGGCGGCACGCACAGTCGGAAACCGGTACGGCAGTAGTTCTGGTTGTTGCAACACCCAGGATACGACTCTATTGCCTCGTCCATTCAGTCGGCATCGCTTCGCAGATCAGATTGCCTAGAGCGGGACGGGGCTGCAGCTTCTCGGTATCATCACTGCCGTTTTCGAATAGAAAGAAAAATGAAGTACAAGAAAAAGGCAAAAAAAGAAAAGGCCGGCCAGGCTGCTATCCGGTTCGACGAGCACTTGTGCCTCACCGTCGCCTCGCCGCAGAATAACTCGAAGCGAGGCGTGATAGAAATCTTACTTTCTGGCCTCTGTGTCCACGTAGATAGCACGGGAAGGGGGTGGGGGCCAAATCGGCGCCATCCCCGGCCGTGCCAGACCTGTGCCGCCAATGAGCCCTTCCAGGCCGGAGCCGATTGTCTCGGATTGGCCAGGATGCATCTCGTCTATCTCATGCCCACCGATCACCCACGCCGCGACACAGCACTTGTAGCAGCACTAGAAGATCCTGAGATCCCAACGACGTTTTTGCCCAGGGGTAACGCGGCCTGCCTGATCCCGCCCGTCTGGCATAGGTTGATGTGCTGGGTGGCAGGTGAGACACACAGCTGTCGCCGCCGCTCACCCACCACGATCCCCTGCCCCAAAAAGGAGCCGCGGGAGGAGTCCTTCCTCTTCTATTCCATGCCATGTCGGACAAAAAGACTGGTCCAGACTTTGTCATCGTATTTGCATCGCGATGCACTGGATCGGTAGCAGGCCGGTTCCTTGACGTCAAAGGCCGAGCTCCCACCAGCAGGAGCGCGGTTTCTGATTGAGAGGGCCGCCTAGTCCCAGGCACACTAAGAATAAGGTTTCGGTTCTGTAGGCGAGACCCGCAACTCATCGATTCTTGGGACCTTCCGCACAATCCACGCGTTGTTCGACTTCATGGCTGCCAGAAGTGAGCGAACGGCTCATATGCCTGGGTTGGGGCAAAAGCCGTCCGCCCGAAATTTTCGTTTTGGGCTGTTTGCCTTTAGTGCGACTGAATAAACGTCTCGTCCCCATCGTCTGAACAACCCCAGAGGAATCGGGCCCAGGCTAGAACAAGAATCCTCCTCGCTGGGCCCAGCTCCGACAGCTCGGCGCCAATCTCCGGCGCGGCGCAGCTAGTAGAGCCAGCAGCTTGGGATTTTTCTTTGGACGGGCCACGCTTGCTTCCCTGGGCAAAGTGCGGGGCGAGGGAGAACAATTGTTTCAGCGCCTTGCCAGGCCATTTCATCTTCTCGTTTCTCTTCAACCCCCCCACCCTTCGACGCCTCTCGTGTGTGTCTGTAATCGTGTTCGGCCATTGAAGATGCCTGGGGTGCCCTGAGCAGATGCTCCTTGCTGATCAACAACTGGCATCAGTGCACTCGGGCCCGGGAGACCGTGTGTTACGACATCAGCTTGAATTTGCTGGGTCGACGACCAGCCAACGGCATGTGCTTCGTTTTGGCTTACGAGGTGAGCGCACCTCGTTGCTACTCCGCGCACGTCAAGAGGTCCAGGAATATCTGACCGGGAAGCCTGATGACGGTGAGCCCACAGCAGCTCAACAATTCTCGTACCCAACGCCCGCACCTGCATTCACCTACGTAATAAGCAGTCAGCAGAGAAAACCTGTCACCGAAATGCATGCCAGGGGTTTCATTCCTCTTCAGCCCCTTCCCTCGCCCCCAAGCTCCTACTGTACGGGGGCAAGGGACCCTGCTGTCTGATGCTGTCTCCAGTGACCTCTCATAGGTCGATCAACTCGGACGTTTTCCTGTCCTGTCCACCGCGATAAGAGGTTGCCTGCAAGATCAAGGAGCACACGTCTTGGGGAGGATGCGGGCGAGTCGAGCACCTCTAGACGAGGACAAGGCAACCCCAGCCACATGGAGGGATCTGCGCAGCTCCAACCCCAGCCGAAGATCTCAGGCCCCTGCCAACCGGCCTTGTCGGAATAGAGTTTGCCTGGGGACCCTGGGCCTCCCCCAGTGCCGTGTGGTTTTGGCTTTGACACAGGATCGTGGAGACTGTCCGTCAGCGTCAAACCGACCCTTGCCCTGGGGGCCTTTCTACCTCTGACGTTCTGCACCCTCCAAACAGCCTGCTCTGCATGCAGGACTCCCTCGTGTGCCCTGCAGGTCCCCCAGTCTCCAACATCTGGAACAGAGCTAATAAGCGTGGAAATATCCCGAGGAACCATGAGGGGTAGCTTGAAAAGCTCTCCCTAAAGTGCTGGCCCCCTCCCAGAGCTCACCTTGGGAGCTCCCCCATGCGCAGTAGACTATACACTATAGCGTGCCATTTTAGCGTCCTGCAGACACGGAGACAACCACGTTTCAACGGAGAAGTCAAGCCCTCGATGGTTGAAGAATTATCCTGGATGGGTGCCGGGGCACTAACTCGGTCAGTCGGAGGCAGGGCGGCCTGGCTTCCACCGTGCGTGTCGGTCTGCCCCAAGGTGGTCTTGGTGCTGCAGTGATTCAGCTTCTCATCGCACCGGGGCCTGCACGCAGATCACAGCAAAAAGGCTTCCCTCCACCTCCGTACCAGGTGATCACTCGACTACACTACGAGTCGTGATAGTGGCTTGAGTGTCCACGGTCGGTAATTTCCATCAAAGCGCCCCAAGCGAGCACTGAGGGCCGGTGTGGAGGCTGTGCCGGGAAATTGCTACTGCCTTCCTATGTCCATGTCAGGCCTCATCGTCACCGTCGCCGTTGCAGTGGGGTCGAAAGGTCGCTCCCGGTGCCTGGGCCGGCGAGAAAAGCTTGACGCCCAAGCCAAGCCCCGGGACTCCTGAGTGCCAAGGGTCCTGTGACAAGCTGTTATAGGGGTTGAGGCGCACTCTGCCAACTTCTGCAGTGTTAAGAATCTCGGAACATGTCTTCTAGAAGCTGTCATCGCATGGACGGCTATGACCTGCCAACAGACAGCCCAACCGTCAGAGATATTTTCGTTTATCCGGGAGGAACACACGGCCTATACTTTTGAGTCAGTGATTCGCAAACCCGTTGCAGTGCGTGACAGTGTTAGCCCACAAGCACCCTAGGCTCGACGAGGATGAGTTCGATATCCAGAGCACGGACCGCTTGGAGGAGTGCTTCCAGTTGATGTGGAAATTTGCTGGACGATCGGGAAGATGATCCTCTCTGGTTTCTGCAGTAGGTCGAGACCTCCGGCTATAGGCCGGGTCCGGTGATATTTCCTACGGTGTGCGAGTCAAACCCGGGGAGCTGTTCACAAAAGCTCGCTCAATCTGCTCAGTGCATCTTGGGCCACAGTGTAGCGGTTGGTAATGTCTCTCATGAAACCAACCGCACGACAAGGGAAGGGATCGACTCTGTTCATTCATCTCATACTAGGCGGGGTAAGCTCGTGCCTCTGGTTGTCTGATGTCTTCGTCAGCCAAGTCCAGCATATCAGGGCTTGCACACAGTTATCGAATTCTCGGTGGTTACCGAAAAGCCCACGAAGTTCGAGTTGACGATATCATCTCTGGTTTATGCCGCAGCATAACAAGCTCCATGCCGGTGTCTGAGACAGTAGCCTGCATCTTGTTGCTATTGCTCGTCGCTGTGCCGTTCCAACGAGGCGAAGTGCACGTTCGATGGCCGTGCCTCATGCAGACGTGGAGCCCTCTCACGGGGGTTGAGCATCCAGTCCGCAGGTGATCCATCGCCGTGGGTGCCCAGGTGCTGTGCCCAGGGGGGGATGCAGCATGGTATCCGGCCGGGCACGACGCCTGTGGTTGCCGCAATCATGTCAAACAATGCCGTGATGGTAACCGCACAGTCCTTCAGACAAACGCCACATGCAAGGCACCCGGCCCCAAGGTCGATGGGTTCTGGGACGAAGCGGGGCAAAAATAGCACACGATGGATGACATCCGAGCGCTCATCTCCTCTCGGTCACTTGACGCAGCCCCAAAATGGAGAGATAAGCAATGCGACTTATCGTAGATCGTCGAGAACATCACCACTTGAGATGAGGGACTGGATGCAATGCCGTATGCGAGCTTCGAGGACGTCTGACACAGCCACTAGGCGTGCTGGATGCCATTGGTTGCCGGGTAGGCCCTGCGGGCATGTCATCTCAAACCGCCAGTCGGCATGAAGTTTCGTGTTGCAGGCATGGGGGCAGTCTTCTCTCTCTCATGCTGTCAGTCAGCAGCTGGTTCGGGGGGTTTTCATCCCAAGTGCAACATCCCCCAGTCTGCCCCTCCCATTGGAATAGCTTGGGAGCTCACATCACCTCGAAACGAAATCTTCGGGCTGGCCGTTTCCCATCCCGCAATGCGTCCAGAAAGGATGGCTGTTTCAATGCTCAGTCAAAAAAAAAAAAAAAGGCGTGACGAAGACGGGATGTTGCAGGCACCGGCCCTCTCGTGTTGGTGAAGAACGGGAGTTAGTCGAAACATGTTCGGCACACGCCGGCTCGGACTTATTGTTTGCTGGATTCTCTCAGTAGCATTGCAATCACACCCACGACTCAGACACATAGCACTCTGGGTGCGACGAGGCCCATGGATCACGGACAATGGGCGAGAGGGGGATCAATGCAAGTGGGCTGTTGACGATGAGAGTCTGGTGGGAGTTCGTGGAAAAGCAGGCGATGGCAGAATGGACCCCAGGGTCCCTGGAGGTGAAGGGTGGTGTTACGTAAGCAGAAAAGCGGTTAGGCTCGCTGCTGTCGGCCTGAAGCCGGTGATAGCCTTGCTGCTGGGCCAACAGAGGCGACAAGCGTCGTCGTGCCACATCGCCGCCTGCAGGAAATATTCTCTATGCTGCTGCGGGGAACCTCTCTGTTCCAGGGAGTCAAGACCAGCCCTCGCATCTTCTCAGCCGCCTCCCCTCGTGCTTGCCGTCCAGCCCAGGCTCCATATCGTCTCCCAGTGATCGCCAAAGCCTCAGTCCAGGTTCGCTTCTTCTACAAGCCCAACATGGCTGCCAGGGACCCCAGCACCGTGTCCAACTACGACGCGTGGCGGACAAAGCATACCACGGCCAACCTCAGGCTGGACTTTAAGGAGAAAGTCCTGCGCGGGGTGGTCACGCTCGAGCTTGAGTCGCAGACGGACAAGGGATCCAAGGAGATCATCCTTGACTCTAGCTATCTCTCGGTTTCCTCCGTCAAGGTCAACTCAAACGAGTCTGAGTGGCAGGTCAAGGACCGAGCGGAACCACTGGGCTCGCCCGTCCACATCTCCGTGCCTGCTGGCGCGGCAAAGTCGGAGGTGGTCAAGGTGGACATCGAGCTGGCCACGACGGACAAGTGCACCGCGCTGCAGTGGCTGACGGCCGCGCAAACCTCAAACAAGAAGGCCCCCTTCATGTTCTCGCAATGCCAGGCGATTCATGCGCGGTCACTCTTCCCCTGTCAGGACACTCCCGACATCAAGTCCACGTACTCGTTCAGGATCACCTCGCCCCACGTGGTCGTGGCCAGCGGTGTCGCCTCTGGTGAGCCTGAGGCGCAGAGAGGTGGTGACAAGCTCTACAGCTTCGAGCAGAAGGTCCCCATCCCTTCGTACCTCTTTGCTCTTGCCTCGGGAGACATTGCCACTGCGTCTATTGGCCCCAGGTCTCTGGTGGCCACCAGCCCGGATAAGCTGGATGGTGCCAAATGGGAGTTTGAGCATGACATGGAGACCTTCATGGAGGCAGCCGAGAAGCTGGTGTTCCCATACCAATGGGGCCAGTATAACGTTCTCGTCTTGCCACCGTCATTCCCGTACGGAGGCATGGAGAATCCCATCTATACCTTTGCTACACCGACTGTCGTTTCTGGGGACCGCCAGAATGTGGACGTCATTGCTCATGAGCTGAGTCACAGCTGGAGTGGAAACTTGGTGACAAGTTGCAGCTGGGAGCACTTGTGAGTTTCCTTTGGGCGATACACCAAAGTCTAATTACTAACAGTGACAAGCTGGCTGAACGAAGGCTGGACAATGTACTTGGAGCGTCGTATAAACGCCTCGATTCATGGTCCCGCCCACTTCGACTTTTCTGCTGTGATCGGATGGAAGCATCTTGGTTAGTTGACAGTGAATCCAACAATTAAAGGAAGTAACAGACGGCTGACTCTACATCTAGAGGACGCCATTCAGGAGTATGGCAAGGACCATGAGTACACACAGCTTTCCATACCTCACAAGGGTATCGACCCCGACGATGCGTTCAGCACCGTGCCTTATGAGAAAGGCTTCCACATGATATACTACCTGGAGAGACTAGTTGGCCGAGCGAGCTTTGACAAGTTCATCCCCTACTACTTTAAGAAGTGGTCCAGGAAGTCTTTGGACTCATACGACTTCAAAGCTACCTTCCTCGAGTTCTTCGACGCACCAGAATACTCTGAACTCAAAGACAAGATCGCCGGCATCGACTGGGAGACACGTTTCTACAGCCGTGGGCTGCCACCAAAGCCCGAGTTTGACACTTCCCTTATCGATGTCTGCTACAAGCTGGCAGACCAATGGAAGGACAAGGTAATTGACACATTCCACCTTGTCCACTCGTGCTACTAACATGAGAGTCCAGGATTTCACACCCTCTGCCAAAGACGTAGAAGGCCTTGCTGCCAACCAGAAGCTCGTCTTCCTCGGAAAGGTCCAGGACTTTAGCAAGCCCCTGAGCGCCGCGCAGGCGGAGAAGATGGGAGACGTATACGGCTTCCTCGGCAGCAAGAATGTCGAGCTCAAGGCCGCCTATTTCCACATTGCCCTTGGATCCAAGGTCACAAGCACGTACCCTCTCGTCGCTGAGCTTCTGGGCGAGGTTGGACGGATGAAGTTTGTGCGCCCGCTCTTCAGGTCCCTTAACAAGGTCGACAGGGCGCTTGCCGTCAAGACCTTTGAGAAGAACAAGGATTTCTATCACCCTATCTGCAGGGCTATGGTGGAGAAGGACTTGGGTGTTGCTGCTGAGGCCACATAGGTGATGATCAAGCATATCTACGGAGGAAATTCAACCAGGTAGATAGAAATGCAAAACAATTAAGCACACTGCTCAATGCGATATGTAAATGATCCATTGTCTTCGTCTCTATCCCTTGTGTTGGCCTCCGTTCAGACGGTGCGTGTCCCTTCTTCATTTTTCCGGTTGAGGTGGAGTGGGAACAGCACCGGATGCGCATGAAAGTCGAAATTTGATCTGATTTGCAAATTCTGGCTAACTAGGTCGAATGGCTTCAGACACATATCCACTCAATGATTCGTCGGAGAGATATGTTCTTGAGTGTGCTCGACGGGACCATTTCAGTGACAGGCAATTTAGGTCGGGATACCAAGTTTTGTACCACAAAATCAACAAGGCAGCTGTTGGAGGCGTCTAAGGAGCCATCGTAATCAGCTTTCCTACAAGCTGTTTCATGAAAGCGTGCAAGACCAACTTGTCTTTCGGAGATATAGGAAGAGTGAGTAGATGTTGTCTTGCGAAAGGCGAAAAGGAGTATAATCACTGCCCAGGTGAGCCTCAAAACATATGCTTACCTTCTTTGATTCCATGTTCACTTCCTCGATAGAATTCGCTGGAGCACAGTTCGAACGCTTATTCAACCATAGAGAAAAGCTTCAGCAATGACTTCTTCTGGATAGGCTCTGAAAGTCCGAGTGATTCCACGACAAATTGTCTTGCAACTGGCGGCATGCTCTTGAAGCCAAGACGATCGCCACACATTGCGAGCCCTTAACTTGAAGTGGCCTTGGTTCCTGCGATAGCCTTAACTGAGCCTTGAAGTAACCTTGACAGCCAGATCCCGCTCGTTACGCGCGTACTTGTATTTGATTGTGATGCCTTCATCATTGGGTGGCTCTACATAGGAGTATGGCATCTATAAACCCCTTTACTCAGTCCGTATGTGACCGACACATAGTACCAAGTGAGGAGACATTCGCTAAGTTTTGCGAGCAATAGAACAAACATAAAAGACTCGTTTTGTCCGCGGTTCATCCCAAGGCCGGTCGCACATATTTTCAAGAATCAAAAAGGGACTTTCGGTGCAAAGCAGGGCGCTGTATGACCTGTTGAGTTGACAGGGGCTGTTAGGAAAACTTCTTGATAGGTTGCGAGCTGTCACAGCTTGGGGGCTCTCACGACATGCTGCGCCAGACGCAACCCGACTTGTCAGGCGCCACCTATTTCGAGGTCCAGGGGCCACTAACTATCAACAGCTAAGCGGCGAGTATTCGACTTGGACGAAGTACAGAGCAATTCAGACTTGACGATGTATTGAGAAATGTACAATGCAATTTAAGGGACACACTGGTGAAGAAACCAGCCTCTTAGCAACGACTGCTGTTGGCTTGAGACAAATGGGAGCATGATCTTCTGCCTGATGGATGTATGGAGAAGCAGTCTACCCAGGTAGCTTCTCTGACCAATTTGCCAATGTCTTGTGAATACACGCCTGAGGACTGCTTGGAAACTGAGAGATACAATACGAGATGATGGAAGCCCCTAAGGCCTAACTGCCAAGCCTGGTGTCCACCGCAGCCTGTCACTATGGAGTGAGTCGCAGGTTTGGAAGAGGGGAGGATTCGAAGGTCATTAGAGGCAGGAGGAATTTAGTAATCACGTTTGAGGTCCCTGACGATCCAATGGCCCACTGCACCGGGCGGAAGTGCCCTTTCTTACCCCGTGGGGTAGGCGGCTTCGGGTGGTGGTCATCCTCGGCGAGTGGCGAGACCTTCCCCCGGCAGAAATCTCCCTTCCAGGTGATGTCCAGTCGCGACCATATCGTCATACCGGCGACCGGCCAGGGCGCATTTCGACTCTCGCGCCTCGGGGGAAGATGCCATGAATATGCGATTCTGGGGTAGGTGGACCGCTTGCGTGCAGGCGGTCAGGAGCTACAAAACCGCTCCGAGCCCTTCTTCTCGAAGTTGCTGCAGGTCGTAGAATGCATAAATCCCTGAATTGATTAAGGCAGCTGTCGTGAGTGATCGAGCAAGCAAGCAGAGACACATTCAGATTTTCCTACTCGCTTGACTCTCTTACAGACGCGGAGTGCGCTCTGCGGGAACGTCGAAGATTGGACAACCAACAGATCACCAGCGGTCCTTTCGCAGGAAGTTGTCGTGCTTTTGCAGTCGCTCAGGCGACGAGTCTCTTCGGGAGCCTCCTCCGAGAAAGCGCTTCGCGGAAACCTCGTCCACCTCACCAGCGCCTCGAAGTGCGCCATTGAAGACGCAGCGCAAAGAGCCCACGCCACCTAGTACCACACCCCTTAATCCTACCGAGCCCCCACAGGTCCCATCACCACAGGACTCGAGCAGTCCAGAACTCACTGTGGCAGCGCCGGGCTCCACCCAAGCAATCACGCACATTGTGCTCTTCAAGTACAAGCCCAGCATATCATGGGAGGCCTTTGAGGAGCACTTCGAGACCTTCAAGGCAGTCCAACATCAATGCCTCCACCCGGTCACGCAGAGGCCCTACATGGTGTCGATGCGCATGGGCAAGAACCGTAAGCCCCATTCTTGTCCTTTCACGGATCCCCGTCTATCATGTTTTGGAATGTTCCGGAATGTATCAGTTCAGGATCCGTAGCAGGTGATTAACAGGTACTAGGGAGCTGGGAGCCCTTCTCCAAGGGCATGACACACGCGTTCGTGCCCGAGTTCGCCTCGCAGGACGACCTGGACTACCACTTGACAAGAGACCCCGTGCACCTCGAGTTCAGCCGCAACGCGCACCCCCTGATCGAGGACAGCCTGGTGGTCGACATTCGGGACGGGGTGCTGTTCGGCCCGGCCGCCAAGAGGCTGCCCGGCGTGACGTTCCCCGGCGAGGGCGGGAGGACATGGAAGGGCGCGTGCCACTGCGGAGGGTGCGAGTGGGAGGTCAGGACGGACGGCGAGGACCTTAAGCATGTGCTTTGTCACTGCGACACGTGCAACAAGCTCGGTGGGGGCCCGTACTCGTGCAACTACATCGTGCCCAGGGAAGACCTGAAGGTGACCAAGGGGAAGCCGAGTGTCTATACGTATCAAGGCGCAAGTGGTAAGTTCTTGGATGACTGTGAACTGTGAGGTGAAGAGTGAAGGCTAATGACTTGAGGATAACACAGGCAAGGACGTGAGGTGCTTCTTCTCCCCCACGTGCACCTCGCATATCTACCACCACCAAGACGCCATGGCCGACAAGGTTATTGTCCGAACGCTGCTGCTTGAAGGTGGAAACGATTTCGAGGCCGGCGGCGAGATCTTCCCCGAAGGCAAGCTGAGTTGGGTGCAGGACCTTAAGGATAGCTTGGAGCCTGTCCCGGTGAAGAAGGCTGTCAACGGAGTCAATGGAACAAACGGGGTGTAAAATGACCGGCAGTGGGAAGTCCTCCAGTGATATGGCTTTTAGGATAATCCCGTGCAGGGAAGCCGATTAATAGAGAAATCATTGTAGAATCATTTGTTCCCACCTGCCTGTGCCTGAGCATACAAGTAGGTCAGGATCTTGCAAAATTAATGAGCTCTGCAGATGTGTTGCATGAGCAGGTGTGCTGAACCCTGGGGACCCTGGAATGCGGGACAGAGGGACCCCACAGTGGGGTTAAGCTTCACTATACACGCTTGCAGTGAAAGCTTCCAGGCACTTAAAGCGCGTCGCATGTGAACGCCCTTTTCTTTCAACGTCATGTCGGGTTAGTCTTTAACAGACCACAAAGCCTGCGGCGCGTCTGCTCTCCGTGTCCTCCCTTGGCAAGGTATCCTGAATGAAGGCCTTGAACATGTCGACAAATGTTGTCGCAGAACTTTGGGATCGAGGCGTCTGGTAACCCAAAGTCAGTCCAACACAACAGACGCGTTCGCGTTCCCCGAGCTCTCGTGAGCACTGCCAGCCACCATGGCGTCTCGACGACAGTCAACAGAACCCATGGAGCTCTCCGACGATGCGACTGCCTCTACTGCAGACAACAGTCGGTCGGTCTCGCCCAGCCTTGGCAAGCGAAAGTTCGAAGACCCGGGCGACGTCTTTGCCGACGACCCCGACGATTTCTACGAAAAGTTTATGCAGAGCAAGAAACGCAAACGAGCCAAAGGCAGGGTCTCCAAGGCCAAGAAGGGTGCCGGCGCGATATCTTCAAAAGGCAAAGGCAAGAAGGAGAGTCCTGACACACTCCAAGGCGACGACGACGACGGCGTCGAATTTCTGGACGGAGACGGGCTTGTCCGCGAACTCGTGCCCGAGCACGTTCGTGAACGACGAAGGCTATTCGACGAGAACAGAAAAGAACTGTCCGAGGCCGGGCTGAAGTTGCCACCTACCTATATGGACATAGACTTCTCCGATGACGATAGGGACCCGGAGGAATTGGAGCGGCGACCCAAGTTCGACGATATCGAGCCATGTAGGCCGTACGAAACAATCAACTTGGACATTTCCGGCGGCGAGATCCCGGCGTCTATTGCACAGTACCTTCGAGATTACCAGGTCGAAGGTGTCCAGTTCCTACACTACCACTTCGTGTACCAGACTGGATGCGTCCTAGGAGACGATATGGGCCTGGGGAAGACTGTGCAGGTTGCTGCGTTCCTCATTGCTGCGTTTGGCAAGACCGGAGACGAGAGGGATGCAAAGAGGCTTCGAAAGATGACTCGCAATGGCTGTGGGAAGTGGTATCCTCGCATCCTCGTCATCTGTCCCGGGTCGCTCATCGAAAACTGGAAGAATGAGCTTAACCGCTGGGGCTGGTGGAAGATCGCGTTGTATCACGGCCCTGGAAAGGAGGATGCATTGAAGTCGGCCGAAAACAGTTCCCTCGAGGTCATGATCACGACCTACGAGACGTACAGGCACGACGAGCAGAAGGTCAACCTGATCGAGTGGGACGCCGTTATTGCTGACGAGTGCCACAAGATCAAGGACCCCCGCACGCAGATCACAATAGCAATGAACAACGTCAACGCTCTCTGTCGCATTGGTTTGACCGGGACAGCAATACAGAACAAGTACGATGAACTCTGGACCCTTCTCAACTGGACCAACCCTGCTCAATTTGGCTCCAAATTCGAATGGGATCAGACAATCACAAGGCCGCTCACAGTGGGCCAGTCTCATGATGCCACCTTCCAACAACTGAGCCGAGCGAGAAGAGTTGCCAACCAGCTGGTACAGAGGCTCCTGCCGGAGTTCTTCCTCCGTAGGATGAAGTCATTGATTGCTCATCAGCTGCCAAAGAAATCTGACAGAGTTGTCTTTTGCCCATTGACAGACTACCAGAGCCTGGGATATAAGAATTATCTGGAAAGTGAGGAGGTTCAGATTGTTCGAGGAAGTGCTGACCTCTGCGACTGCGGCGCAGTCGGTGCCAACGGCAAGCCGAAGAAGCGAGGGTGGTGCTGCGGCAAGACATTACCAGATGGAAAGCGCTGGGAGGAGCTCGTCTTTCCCGCAATCATGACTATGCAGAAAATCTCCAACCACTTAACCCTTCTCTTACCGAAAGATGAGGAGCCCAAGGATAAGAAGGAAGCTGCTTTGAAGAGGCTCTCAGAGTGCGTCCCGGACTGGAAGACCCTCTACAAGAACCGAAACTCGCTCCAGCTACTTGCCGATTCCAAGTACTGCGGCAAATGGAGGATTCTGAAGAAGCTCCTCAGCTTCTGGTATGAGAACTCTGACAAGGTTCTCATATTCTCCCACAGTGTCCGTCTCCTCAGGATTCTTCATCATTTGTTCACGAGCACAACGACATACACCATGAGTTTTCTCGATGGAAGTCTCTCCTATATCGACCGGCAGAAGGAAGTAGACAACTTCAACTCGGATCCGGACCGCTTCATTTTTCTCATCTCGACCAAAGCGGGCGGCGTGGGTCTAAACATCACGTCGGCGAACAAGGTGGTCGTCTTTGATCCTCACTGGAATCCATCATATGATCTCCAGGCTCAGGACCGAGCCTACCGCATCGGTCAGATTCGCGACGTCGAGGTTTTCCGCCTCGTCTCTGCTGGAACGATAGAGGAGATCGTATATGCCAGGCAGATCTACAAGCAGCAACAGGCCAACATAGGCTATAACGCCTCAAGCGAGCGCCGCTACTTCAAGGGCGTTCAGGAGGACTCATCTAGAAAGGGCGAGCTCTTTGGGCTGCAGAACCTGTTCACGTTTCAAGCTGACAGGGTCGTACTGAAGGACATCGTCAACGCAACCAACATCGCTGAGGCGAGAGCCGGTGTGCACCTGTTCGATGTCGATATGGCCAAGGTTGAGGAAGACAACGAGTTCAGTCAAATCAAGAAAGAGACCACAGGCGATGACGACGAGGACAACGGTACCAGCCAGCTAGCCGCCCTGGTCAAGTCAGAAAACTCAGACGATTCCGCCAAGCGGGCTAACGAGCCCAAAAAGGATATCATCCAGGCAATCCTCGCCTCGGCAGGCGTCGAGTACACTCACGAGAACTCTGAGGTCATCGGGTCCAGCAAAGTCGAGGCGCAACTATCAAAACGCGCTGAACTCGCGGAGGAAATGGACCTTGATGACCCCGAAAATCGGAGCCTCTTGTTTGCAGACAAGCTAGTGAATGAGGCTTTTGAAGATGGTCCCGGCTTCACGTATGCGTTTAATCCTCCCGAGGATGTCATGCGCAGACAGTTCTGCACGATGGCACAGGATTTTGGCTACCGCAGCGCCACGGAATTCGCCGTTGTTGTGCAGGGCTGGACCCAGTCGCAGAGGCGAGACTGCCTGGACACTTTCTACCGGAAGCGACTGGAGAAAGTGCTTGGAGAATTCAAACAGGAGCCCGTTGACGAGACAAAAGTCAAGGCAGAGTCGGGAACTCCAGAGGACAGCGAGATGGATTCGAGGACTACAGTTCGCGGTGTTGGCATGAAACGAGAGCGAGCGGACAAGTTGAAGATCGAGGAGGGTGACTCGACTGTCCTTGGTGGCTCGAGGACAAAGGTCAAGACGGAGGCAAAGCAGGAAGTGCATCAAGAAAGAAGATGAGGCCACAGCAAAGAGGATGTCCTCGTCCATCTTCATCTATGATGACGACTCCGATGTGCTTTGAAGCAAGGGTGTTTATTTACGGGAGTCGGAACGGTTGATACCCAAATCTTTTGGAATGATTCTGCATATTGCCTGAGACGCTTTTTCTTCTCTACAATCTCGCCTGAGCTCCCAGGCCTTCTGCTTTCCCCTTGCGTGACAATCGGCAGGAGTGTTGTCTCCAGACCAACAACATTTTTTTCACAGCACACTGTGGGCTGTTGCCTTTTTGTCCAGCCCCGTGTCTTGACACGCCCAGATTGGCAGAGAATCCCAAAAGCTCGCCTCAGTTTGACTTTGTGGCTGTTTCTCAATATTCCCTACATCCAACACCACTCTCGGGCAGCGTACTTTCCACGGAGTTGTAATTTGCCTCGTCTCACCACTTTTGCAATGCTCATACACGATAGATGCATGAAAAAGAACAAGGTCAAGCGCACACACACGCAGGCAGCCGCTAGTTCCCCCCATCCTCTCGAGAGCACCTGCAGATTCCCTTCCACAACCCGCAACACGAGGCGCGTGTATAAACATGCAACCGCGCCAGGCCGCCGGTTTGTCTGCCCTCCCACACCTTCACCGACATATATATACACGCACACACACACACCAGAGGGCCTGCCCTTGTTCTAGTTGCTTCTGGACTGACCAATCTTGTATGACCAAGGCTCGTCACACACGCGCGGATGCCCACATGTGTGCTCGGCAAAGTCACGAGCCCACGGTGTACCGCCGTCGCTTCTGCCCTCCGGGCGACGCACTCGTGGGCCTGACATTGCTTGCTTGGCCAAGAAGGAACCCGTCCCGCCCTTCGACCTCGCTGACGCTTGCCGGCGGTCAGATTCTCGCGTCCTTGTGCGGCTAGGAGCATCGTGTTTGCGGAGCGTCAGGGTACGGCACTTGGCCATTTCTCACCTGAGTTGAGCAGGAGATGGACAGAAGAGATGGATGCAAAGGGCGCGACTCCTTCAGAATGATTCCCTGCAGCCACTTTTGGCTCGGTGTACCGCCTAACTATCTGCGCCCTCGTGTGGTCTACTTGTACGATCGAACTGTCATGGCATGCTGCCACGCGGCGGCCCGGGTGATCCCCCCGCCGTCATTGTCCACCTTTAGAGCCTCCGCCATTTGATGCAGGTTGCCGTCCGATGCTTCGCTTGACCAGCCAGCAATATCGCGGTCCTGGTGACTGGAGCCGGTCAGGACAATCATCCAGCAGCCTTCCCGGGAACCATGCCCCCTCCCTCCGCCCCCACGACGGCCACCGACAGCCAGCTCTCACCGTGGTCATCGCAGCCCGCGGGAGCAGCCAGCCAATGCCTCGTCGCCGATCAACACCGGGCCCTCGTGCACGCCCACAGGTCTCCTCCACGTGCGACCCAAGAAAAGCCCTCGCCTGTGCAACGGCTACACAGCAGCAGCGTCGCCACCAGTACCACCGCCATCATCACCACCACCGATATCTGAATCCTTGACAAACCACGCCTTTTCAGCGGTACCGAGATGTCGATCACGCCCCATCCCACCATTACCAAGCAATACGCCGCTGTCCTACATCCAAAGATGCCTGGGCGGCTGTCACCGGGTTCACGAGGTACAAACTCCCCGATAGGCCGGCCCACCCACTCAACCACTCTTCCCTCCCCCATCCTCCAATGACCTTTTTTCTTCAATCCCACAGGAGAACCCGCGATCAGCCATTCCGCCCTGAGCGGTGCCGCTGTGCCTCCCCATCTCTCGACCACGGTGAGATGACGCGGCCGCCCGGCGGGTCGGGCCACCTCATCATCGATACCCGTCTCTCACCTCCCACCCCTGTGTGGAGGTTGTGTGGCGCATCGATGAGTTTCACGTCTGTACCCCCGAGAAGGCAATACGCCCTCCCTGGGAAGAGGGGAGCACTATTAAGTCAGCATACGCTTTTCCTCTACTTCGGTAAGTGACCGGGACATTTGGAGGGGGGCGGCGTGGTGCCCGGGCTGGTGAGCAAGCAAAACCCCCTAGGGGCCAGGTAGGCGAATGAACATAGGAAGGTGGCCTGAGGCCTATCAAACACACTGGTGGGCAATCGGTACGTGCAGAAATTAAGTCATCGAGGGAATATGTGTGTTGTGTGTGTGTGTGTGTGTGTGTGTGTGTGTGTGTGTGTGTGTGTGTGTGTGTGTGTGTGTGTGTGTGTGTGTGTTCTCCCACGCGTGTGTGGCTTGAGGGCTCCTGTCACACAAATCCATCCACGCATGCATGCACATGCACATGTAGCCGTCGTATAGATCCCGGCATGGGAGGCTGAATGGTAACACAGAATGGGGGACAGGCTTACGGCTTGGCTGTCTAGAACCTGTAAAAAGCGTGTCTGACGACTGCAGGGCCTCTAACTCCAGTTGATTGCACATGTCACTCCCGCAATAACAACCGGCTCGGTCGGGCCCATTCAACTTGAATGTGGTGGTGGTGGGCCAGCGGGAGAGATCGTGATGGTTTGGCCGTTCTCAACCTAATACCCATTTCCCACAGTTCATACTAAAGCTTAGGCGCTCTCGGCTGAGCAGGTTCATACGCAGAACTGGCCCACGCAACGACGTGCGCTCCTAGTATCTTCATATCTGTCCTACCTCTATCCTTGACCGCAGCAGTGTTCAGTCCCTTACCCATCTATTCTATTACGGTCGCAGGTAAGATCCAGCATCTCTCGTGAGGGCTAAAGAGTTGAATGGCACACACAAAAAGGCTATGCAGTCATCATCAGCCCTGTTCCAACGTTCATCCCACCCGTCGACGTCGAGGCGTTCGCCCACCCGCGCCCGCGGTGGCCCGCCCGACCTCAGAACCCGCCCTAGCGTCGCCCTGCTACGCACCCACCGCTCCTTGTGACACTTCTGAGGACTGCGTCTTGCAGGTAGGATTAGAGAGTCATTGCAATGTAGTAGTGGTGCGAAATCATACCCCACTCGAGGTCTGGTCGTCGCCCGTGTAACAGATACTTGTGCTTATGGTGAAGATTTGGCAGTGGCGATTGGTTGTGGGTCAGGGGCAAACCTCACACTCTATGAGACGAGGATCAGTCCACGAGACGGCATTAGTGTGATAGCTTCTTCTGGTGGACGTCATCTGAAGATGGGCACAGGCACCGCGGCAGACCACAAAGCAATCGACCACCGAACCCGGTCACTGGAGCGGGCAAGGCTACATTCTGACCGTATCATTTGCCAGCATGGAAACGGCATATCGGGCCAAATTCTGCTCAAGGCCAGACCGAGATAACTTCCCGCTGTATCCCTCAACGCTTGTCATCCAAAGACGGGACCAGGTGAGGGAGGCGCCAAGTTGTTGGGAGACGATCGGGGTACCCTTCCTCTCGACTCTCCTGACTCACCGGCTGATGGCAACAGAGGTTGACAAAGTTGCCGAAGGTCGGCCGCTATGTCAAAGTCCTGTGTACCAAGTTTTGTTTGCCTGGCCTCACTGTGATCCGTGCTAGTCACTCTTCGCCCCCCCCAGTGACCCTGCTGTCCTCGTCCGAGGACGCATCTCGATCCCAGCTTCCGCCCACCACCTGCACCCAATTTGACAGAACGATGCGAGGCGGAGCAGTGGTTTGTTTCAAGGGAGCTGTTTGTTTCAAGTCCCTTTGCCCGCGAATGTCACCTTATGCGCGGTGAGCATGACATGCCGTCTGGGTAAGAAGCTCTCACCTCACGGCAGTTTGTTTAGTTTGAGCCCAAGACAGAAAACGGGACTAAGTTTGCTGATCGTTTCGATCTGCGTTGCAATCCGTTAGCGATCCCATTGCCGTGGTCGCATATCACGACATCTTCACCAGCCAGTGACGGATTGGTGTTGAAGAGGCAAAGGGGGAGGCAAATAGTACAAGGCGGTACCACCACCGAATCGTCCCCCGGACGCCTTTCACACCAGTAGAAAGCATGCCTAAACTTCGCAACCATCGCAAGGAGCGATCGAGTCCCTGCGCGTCAGCGCTTGACACCCCGGGATGGCCGGAAGGTTGCTGCAAGGCAACGTGCTAGGGCTTCGAGTAGTCTCACTCGCTTTCGTGGACCGACTCAGGGGCCGTGAGGAGGAGTGTGAGACGATGCGTGTGCTGTGACGCTTGAACTGTGCTGGGTAGGTAGCCCACTCAGCATCCGGTCCTCGGACGACCATTGCCAGGAGGCCAAGATGCTCTCTTGCCGTCCCCGCGCCCCCCCCCCCTCCTGATGGGAAGCTGCTGCAGCCCAACGGATAGTGCTTCCGACCTAGGACGAACGCCGTTCAGATCGAGGTGGGTGGTCCCCCCAGGCCAGTGCCTGTCTTCTCGGGTGTGGCGAAGTGACCGAACCTTGCTCTCTCTTCGCAAGTCCACATAGAGAACCGAGTTGGGTCTTGGGCGCCAGTGGCCAGTCGCAGCACCCTCCGTGGCAAGGTAGTACAAGCAGACCCACCCTCGCGCACTCGCAAGAACATAGACAAAGAGCTCGTAGTGCCTCGATTCTCTCCAGCAGAACGCTGTCTCGGCAACTGGGAGCTCGGACACAGGAGGCATGGGACCAAACATTGGATGTCGTGAGAATGGGGGCACGTGCTCCTGGTCCAAACAATCGGCAAATTAGCTCTTCGAGAGAAGCCGAAAGTGTTTTTCACGTCTTCATGAGACTATGGATCAATGTTTAGTTTCAGTCACTGACTTGCAGGAGAAACAGAAGGGCTCGCGAAGAGTTCGGATGCCGGATAGGTTCGACATCTCTGACAATCTTGGAGGTGATTTGGGATGCGCACCAGGGAGAGCATGGACGGGAGGGCGCCCACTCGGACTCCCGGCGAAACAACAGCCGGGAGGCTCTTGTCAGGCTTGGCATCCAGTCGTAGAGGTTGTCATCGTATCCTCAAGAACGGTGTGAGTCCCAAGTGAGAGTGTCACCGAGGTGAAGAGACCCGATGATGAGAAGCGGAACTGTAGCATATCTCGTTAGCCAATCGTAACCAGTGTATGATTGCGACCAAAGTGGAACTGGCCTAGAGTTTGGACGGCTGGAAGCGTCCGAAGCTAGCACGAAGCTGATTCGTGAGTGATGAAACCTATAGGGCGGGACCGTTTAGCTGACTTGACGGATGAGATGTTGGTCGAGTGTTGATCCCATGTGCAACCCCGAGTTTTGAGTCGAGGGTCACTCATCTGGTAGGAACCACCCTGGCTGTAACATCAATCATCGTGGCGCAGCCTTCATCCTTAAATCGATGTTTGCACCCAAGAGCGGGCTGGCAAGGCTCGAATACGGGGGAGAGCGCGGAGTTCAATTGGGGCGCGCATGACAGCAACGACGGCATAGGGGACGTCAATCAAACATAAGGGCGATCTGCTGGCGCCCCGAAGTTTTCGAGATGGGCACCAACGCGACTGGTTCGCCAAGGAGGGGCCAGGGTGAGCGAGGAAGGGCTAGCAGGCGAGGTGAGGTGAGGTGAGGAAGGATGCGGCGGGAGGACGGACATCGCCTGGGACTCGGCCGACGGTGCGGCCAGGGAGCGTGCGGGTGCGACTGTAGGGGCAGGCATGCATGTAGGATTCGGCAGACTGCCGAGCCTGTCGGTCCAGGGCGTCAGCTGCCAGTCGCGGCTCGTCTTTCTCTCCTTGGGTTTCACGAAGCCCAGGACGAGGGAGCTGCCGCTGCATGACAGAACGCCAACGGGGGTTGTTGAGGAGGAAACTCGGGGATCGTGGACGATCATTGTTTGGGGACCCGCGAACACGGGTGAGAATGCCACGCTGTGGTTTAGCGGTGATGGGGGACGAGCTTGGGGAAGCTGGCGGGTTGGGCAAGAGAGCACGGGGACGCGATTGGTTGCTCATTGCAGCTTCACCTGGGAGCTGCCGGTCGATCATCCGTTTCCATCGCGCGGGCTTCGGTGAGCTGTGGAGAGACGGAGGGCCCAGGTGGGCAGGTGTAGGGCTGCTGCGCCCCGGTACCCGTTGTTGCTGGGGGCTGCCGGGCTGGGATCTGGGTCTGGGAGCCTGGGTCTGGGTCTGCGCCTGGGTCCGAGTTCATCGCATGGGTTGGTACTTTGGGTAGCGTTTGGGCTTGGATGAGATGGGCCAGGGTTGGGGCGGCCCTGGGGATGGGGAAATGGAGTATGGGGTGGAGGGGGCAGAGCTACAGATTAGCCTGTAAGAGAGCCTCGTGTTAGGTAAGCATGAGACGGCCACGCGAGGATGGGCGGCACAGACTCAAGACTGGACTCTGGAGACACACGAGACTGGAGACTTCCAAACCCAGGACTGAAGAGGTAAGGTGACGGTGGCACAGACTTGGCTTACCCAAAAGAGAGGATTTGGCCTGACCCCGGCCTGACCCTCGAGCCTCAGGAGACATCAGATGAAACCAGGCTGGCGGCGGCTTCTGCAGGTCAACCCTTCTTGTTCTTCCTTCCTCGGTCTTGGTCTTGGTCTGAAGATTTGTGAAGGGAAGGGCAGGCACGAGGCACGAGGGCACGAGGCACGGCTGACGGCAGGACATGCTCTCAAGGTCGGCCTTGCTGCATCTCATCTGCCGAACTTCAGCACCCAAAGACCAGACCGGACCTCCGGGCCAGTCATGGCCGCTGAACCGTATCCGCACCCAAAGCATGTACCCGGGCCTGTACAGCATGTCAGTATCTGACCCCACGATGTCTGCGTTTGGTGAGGGGAGACCGAGGGGCGACGTCAAGGGTCGACGTCGGACGAGGGTCAACTACGCCAAACAGCAGCCGGACGAGTCGCATCCCAAATCGGATGCGACCAGAGCGAACCTTGGCCGAAAGGAACGTTGAACAGGTACTGCACAGTCAGTCCTGCGGATGTGGATGTGGGAGTGGATATGGATGCGGATCTAGCTCAATCTGATTCTGAAGCAGCGCCCGAACCTGGACGAAGCTCGCCAACCGGATCAAGCTGGTCGAAAGTGATGTGTGGAGGTTTGTCCGTGGTACGGAGTATTGCAGGTCTCTGGAGTCGCATGCCGTCTTCGGCACCTGCCCATTCTGGCCTGCGCGAGGCTGAGGGAGGAGCCATCGCATCGACATGCTCGACAGGAAGGAGCCGGACACGACTCTGCCCTGCACTGCGCCCGTTGCACCTGGGACTTGGACTTGATCGGCCAACTCTATCATTGTTGTCTACTACATACCTGTCGAACTTACCTGTCGAACTTACCTGTCGGACATGGTACCCGGGTATCTGTTTTTAGTCGTTATTACTGGACACCCATTGTTAAGAAAAGCTGGCCCACTATACAGTACCGTGGTACTGCGAAAGGGGACGTCAACGTCTTTCTTGCTGTCTTGTCTGTCTCTAATTTTAGGAACCGCCCGCGCGTCATGCCCACCCTCGGCCGGGTTGACAAGCCCTACGAGTAATCTATCACCAACAGACGCCTGCAATCGGGAGGTTTTTTTTTTTGTGGGTGACGCTGTGCACAGCACCACGTACCACAGCCCAGCACGCGGGGGTCTATACAGCATCTTACATACAACTCCTGCCCGCCGTGCTATAGCGGGCGACGGCAAGGACCAGCCCCCCCCCCGTCCCTGTTCAAGGGCTCCATTTTCCGCGGTCATGCTGCCCATCGTCGATATTGACAGCCGGTGGCTTTCTTATTATTAGTATTATCAAACTTTCGACGCTCGTCCATCTTACGCTTGCCCGGTTCACATGACACGACTTGGACTGATGATTGACAGGCCACCAACCGTGGAATCATCGCATGCCTATCTGGGCATGTGCAAGGGCTATCCGTGGCACTCCAACGTCAATTGACATCTTGGGACACCTCCCAGCCCGAGCATTGGACGATCCACATGCCCAACATGCCAGCGTACCAGAGTACCAGAGGCGGCGGGCGACGACGCATGAATGTGATGACACCTGATCCCTGGCGCCGACGAGTTTCTTCAGACTTCGGCTGAAACACAGGCTGAGCACTCCACCTCTGCCGTGTCCACCACACCCGAGCCCTCCTCGCACACCACCACCTGCCCTACTGCTACGCTGCGACCTGAGGATACCGCGGGCATGACGGCCAGAGAGGGACGACGAGCAGTCGGACAGACAACCGCGACCTGCGGGCTGCACACTGCAGGCCTGCGACACAACGTCAACCCATCAACTCGATCCCATGCCTGCATTGCAACCCATGTCATCAAGGGCCCGGGAATCTGACAGTCGCCGTTGGCCCCGCATTTGCTCAGCGCTGCTCTGCATACTTGCGACCCTAGGCCCAACCTTGCCCGGCCGCTAGTCACCCACTCACAGTCCCTTGCGCGTCCGACCTTTCTCAGGTCCCACACACGCTCTCACCTTGGTACTGTAATGGGCACTGACTGTGCAGCAGCGCCGCACCACACCCTTGCCCAGTGCCTGACCCGTCATCTCTGCCTCCCACCCCCGGCTCCAGTCATCTGCACCGTCGTCCGCCTTCCAGCTGCCTCAGGTTCTTCTGAAACATCCAGCAAATCCCACGGACCAATCGCGTTCGGCCTCAGTTCACCACCCATCAACGACATCCCATGTGTGCTGCGCTGCCGCTGGCCCATCCGACGCCGAGCCTGGTTGACGAATCTCATGTCAAGTGTCTGACAGCTATCACGGCACTTCTCGAGATCTATGCTGCCATCTCGGAATACAGATGATGGGAAACGCCAGGCCAGCGGAAACGTGCACAAGCATTTTGGCAGGCCCCGTAGTCACCAAGACACAGCTCACACGGAGGCACCTGTCAGCTTGTGGTACTTGGCGGCTGTTGTTCTAGGCCGGCCCGGCATGTCAACTAGAGTTTTTCCCGCTCAAAGCGCATCAAGGGACGCGTGCTGTTAACCTCAGCCGCCCGTTTCCTCCGTTGATCGACGCAACGGTATTCGATGCAGATCTCTAACTATGCCTCAAGCTTCTCGGTGCCGTTATTAACAAAGAGGGTTCCGCGGCTTGAGCAGCGTCGTGGGAGGTCATCTCACATGTGAACCCCCACCTTCCATTCCTCGCCTGCTGGGGCAGGGCCTTACTCGCTGCAATATAGGTGCTAGACTAGCGATTCACACAGATGTAGGTCCCATACTGCACAGTAGTAAACTAATAGGTTCCGAGCGCAGCGAACCGCTTTTCGGAGCTCGCTTCCACGAGACCACGGCCGCGAAATGACACGTTGGGACTGGCAGCCATGGTCCCGCTGTATTCTTCGCCCCCGTTCGGAGGTTTTACTGCACCTCGTGCGGCTTCTCCCGTGCTCACCTGCAGCGACTCTGATGCTGTCGGTAAACCCGTACAACTCTTCAAATCTTCTTCGCCCGGCGACAGCACACCAAGTCGTGTCTGGAACTTGGTGCTTCCGGCTGTCGCAGTGCTGCCAAAAGCCGGGAAACGAATCGGGATACGATCTCGGGCTCTCCCAGATCTGCCTCATCTTTCTTGCCGGTGACAAGAGCTGTCGTCCTCATGTTTATCCGGCCATGACGCGAGAGACAATGCGACCAGAGACTAGATGGTGAATGGCAAGTCGCTGAGCTCCTCCCCCAAAGTGCTTCGTGCTATCAGACGAGTCTGCCCACATGAATGGTTTCAAGCCCCATCCCGGGTCTCAGTTTGCAGATCTCCCCTGCTGCTGCGCCTCGAGACCGAGTACGTACCTGACCACGCTGCCCTCGCATGGCTTCCACAAAGGGAGCAAGGGCTGGTCCGCAGTCTGCGCAGCTAGTGGTCGACCGTGGATTTCCCTTGTGGTGATCGCTCTTCGGATCAGACGAGCATCTGACGCCATGATCAACCGGAGCCAATCTGATACAAGGACATTATTTTCAAACGGCGCCGGCAAGTGGATGCACTACCCTCAGGGCGGGCCTCGGCGAGCACGTATCACCTACACCCACACCAGAGATCCATACCCATGGACGAGACAGGGACCACCACGCTGGGCGGGTGCACCACTCGGGAGGCTCAAGAGCCCCGGTCAAAACCTACCTGTGGGGACTGCTCAGGATTCTCTGAAGGCTTTACCTCAATGCGTGAGGCGCCCTGCTCTACCTTGCCGCAACTGGAAACTCTTTGCTGCACTTGACCTCCCTTTCCCTTTCGTACCTATTGCTTGCTACCACCGGAGAGCTGGCCTCCCTTCCAAATTCACCCTCGACGCATTGATTCCGGACAGGGGTAAGTTACCCTCAGCGCTGTGTGGCCCGTTGCTTGCTCTTGGAACATGGACTGAACCCTCCCCTCCTCCCCCAGGATGTCAGACTTGCTCTTCTCGGATCGCCAAACAGATCTCCTTTTCAGCTACCTCTCCACGCTTTATGCGTTGTCGGCACTGCCTTGTTTCTGTTCCCCTGGCGCCGTTGCTAGTTCGTGCCTGGTGGTCGTGGCTCCCTCCTGTTGAGTGACTTCTCGTGGTCGTCGTCTCCTCCCTGAGAATCGTCACCGCCGACGAGACCCTCTAGCCACTCGTGCTTCTTCTCTGTTCACCCAGTATTAAACCCACTGTCAGTGTCATCAGGCGATCCTAGGACCGTACTGCAGTTGGGACCGGACTCTTGACCACATCTGTTCAACGCATCTCTTCACCCGATCCTGATCTTGATCTCATCGACCGTGGCTTGCTCTGGCAACTTCATCGGGCGTCGCTGGCTGGCCCACATTCGATTCCAAAGTCATCGTCCCAGCGTGTCTCATCCGTCTCAAGGGCATCCGTTCAGCTAGCCTGGACAACTGCTTGTTGCTTGTTTCGTTCGGCTTCTTCGGTTTCCGATTCGATTGGGGGGTTCAAGCCGTATCTTCTTCTGCCACCTTTCGGATGGCCATTGCTCGACCTCTCCGGCTCCTGGGATTTGGTGTTTCAAGTGTTTGAATCTACTTCGGAACTGTCAGTGCCACTCAAACGCTGATCCCGTCCTGGATTTCGACAACCTTATTCCTCTTTGCTATCCCTGCCACGGATCGCACTACAAAGAACTAAGATATCCCATCCCGTCCACGTCCAACCTATATGGTGACACTTGACAACATCCCCACCTGCTTCATCAGACAAACTTACAACACTTAATACCGAGACCACCCCCACTGAGGCTCTTCGCTTCCTACACTCCTCGCCTCCAGTACCACCCACCGGGAAACGACGACCTTGGATTACCACTGCCAGATCAAGCACCACCGGCTGGCCTCTCAACGTGATCACTTCCACCTCGTGTCACTGACCCAAGTCGGCAAACATCTTCTCATCTTTGTGGCCCTCGATGGGTGAATAGTGCTTGCCTAACACATCGACAACGAAGCCCTCCTCTGGACATCTGTGTGAGACTCACATAACGATCGCCTACCGAGGGACTTGTACGACATCTCTTGACAATCAGTGTTTGTCAAGTGGACCAGCGGAGTACTGCGAGGATCACCCAACTCAGTCTGGCGTGACGAGGAGTTGTTTGCCATTTTCCTTCATAAGACAGCTGGCTGCCCAAGAAGGCCGGAAGTGCTCATACCAGGGTATTTCCAAAACGAAGAGGTGGTAAATATAAGTACGGAAGGACCGGACTGTTTGCTGTCCTCGCCGATCAGGCTCTCACACCGTGGCACATTTTCACAGCAGAGGTCAGTCGTCCATTTGTATCCTTGCCTTTCGTGACTCGAGGCTTACGATCCGACAGGTATTACCTCTACCACAAGTGACTCAATGAACGTCACGTCACTACTAAACACGTCGGGAGCGGCGCAGGCCGCCGGCGCGAGGCGCGCTTCGGGCCCGGTTACCTTGGGTGGCTATGAAGGAGGAGACAGGATGATGCCGGTGCGGACTTCCAGTGAATCAAGGTTGCCCGGCCGAAGCAGGACACCGTGGGATGCCGGAGGATACTCTCTACCATTGACTCTGAATGTCAAGAATGTGCAGAACTCACCAGCAGCCAAGCCCTCCTTCTACACGGAGGCGACACCGGTTGACAGCGTCGGCTCGACCAGCCCAAAGTCACCAAAGCACAAGTTCTCGGACAGCCGCAGCAGCCTCTCCTCGTACACGACGATGTCGTCAAATACCTCGAGTCACTCTCGATCGCACTCGAGAATCTCGTCACTGTCCACAGTGAGCGAGTATCAGCCGATGAACTCGTTCATGTCTGACTCGACCCCGACCGAAAGGAGGATGTCCGATCCCGACTCTGGGATGACGTGCCCTACTGTGGTTGAGATTCAGCCTCCTTCGCCATCTAGGAGAGGGTTCGAGGACGTGTCGCCCGATGCCTCGGACAATGATAGCCCAATGCATTCAGACCGACCTCGATCACCCTCAGATGCAATCCTGGTTCGAAATCGAGGGCTTGCTGGAAGCGCAAGGTACGTTGAACTGAAATTACCGTTGCTGTCATCCAGTTTCGTCCCATGTGCCCCTTCTATTTTTCGCTTGTGAATAGCTTCGAGATTGTGGGGACCCACCCAAGCCCAGTCACACTCTGATCCCTTGTAATGTTCATCCCATTGTGCGCCATTCACTCTGCTATTGTTGGTCATGGATTGTTCAATGGTATTCTTGTCGTCGTTTGGTTCACGCAACAGCGCTGCCAGAATTATTTAAGATCGCGGAAGTGGTTCCTCGCGATCCCTTCTCTTTCATCAACAACTGGCAACGTGTGCTGACTTTCACAAACACAGTCCAAGCGATTCCAAGATCATCAACTCTTTCCTGAGGCCTGATTCACCCTCGGCCTCGATTTCCAGAGCACACAAGAGAACCGTCTCAGCTCCTGATTTCCCATCCCTTCAGCAACGGTCACACCACTACCCGTCGTTTGGGCCGATGGCTGAGCCGACACCCCCCAAGTCACCGCAGGCCGACGAGCAGCAATCAGTTGGGTCTGACACCGCGATGCCGACTTCCCCGGCCGACAACACTCAGGCCACTCCGGCCACTCCGGTCTTGCCTCGCTCTACCCCTCCTGAGCCCAAGTGCATGTTTGTTGACCCCTGCACTACCGGATCTTCGCTCCGCAAGGCCATTTCTCACATCTTTGGCCGAAACAAGCTTTGCACCAAGGCCATTCCTCATGGCATCTGGGTCCACTACTGCCGCAAGCACTACCAACGGTCTCGGTACCGCAACGCTACCGACTACGCCATTCGACAAGTCGAGCTTGTCTTGATCCAGATCGAGAAGGTTCACGGCTGGAGTGAGGAGAACATCAAGACCGGCCGTCGAGGAGAAGGCGTGCTCAAGCACTGGACTCTTCAGGCTCGTAAGCGCGAGGCTAAGCGTCTTCAAGAGTCCGACTCCCGAAAGCGTCGTTTCAACGACGAAGACGACGACGACCAGGAGTTCAGCAGTGGAACCGCGATTCCCGGCTGGCTGCAGGACAAGCTGAACAAGGATTACGGAACGGAGGAGATGCTTGCAATCATCAAGGACGTCAAGGCCCGAATGGACTCCGGAGAGATCCAGCAGATTCCCGACATCGAGATCCTGCCTGAGATCATCACTGATGGCAACGAGGCCCGGCCCAGGGCAACTGTCCGTCGCACCGGCAGCAACAGCAGCGGCCACCGTCATACCAAGTCTGAGGTCTACCGTGCCCCTCCTTCCATGAGCAGCTACAATGGCCGCCCTGGTATGTCCTTCGGTCAGGATAACAAGCGCTTCCGTACAGGCGCCAGCACTTACCAGATGCCCATCCACAACCTGGCCCACCGCTCCCTCGGTGGAATGAACCAGGGTTATCCATACCAAATGGGCAACGGTTTTGCGGCCATCGCGGAGAACCAAGCCGACCCCAACTTCTGGAACCCCCAGCCTTACAGCAGCAACACCGTCCTGCCTGCTCCTGTACCTCAGCGCCACGTCAGTGTGCCCATGACCCCGGACAACAACGCCGTTCAATCCTATGCGCCTCAGAGCCGTCCCATGCACGTTAGAAGCGTGTCAGAGAACCCTGTGCTGCACAACTCGGGACATGGCCCCACCGGATTCCGCCCTTACGCCTCGCAGCCCAATCAGGGCTTCCAGCAGCAGGAGATGTTCGCGAACTACCAGCCGCCTCAGGGTTATGGCGGCCCTCCGACTTACCAGGGACAGGGATATGACCCTAACATGGGATCCAACGATCCTAATGCCCGGTTCTTCGGCCCAATCGATGGAACCTTCGATGGCTCAGCCGACTGGGACAGCCCGCGCAACGGCCACGCTCGCGTCCAGAGCACCTCTTCTATGCACCCTGCGCACATGCAGCGACACCTGTCCATGTCCGGTGGCCCTCCCTCGATGAGCTCCCTCCCGTCGATGAACGGCATGGGAAACAACGGCATGCCTGCGTACGGCTATGGAGAGTACCAGCAGCACCAGCAGCAGCACCGCTACTAGGATGTGCCGTCCTGGTATTGGCACCTCGTGTGCTCCAATTCTTGGAAGTCAAATTCTCCAGAGGTTTAATTAAGATTCAATTCTCGAAAGTCGAAGTCTGGATGTTCAAATCCTGGGTGCTCAACTCTTGGACTCGTCGATAAGCTTTGGTATTACATTCGGCGTCAGGACATCCTGTGTTTTTGGAACAGTCGGTGACGGGACGGCGAAACTGGAAAAAAAGGGCGGGAGTCGGTCTGGTCAGGCGATTATTCGAGATACCACGTGTTGCGTTTCCTTTCTTTTATCATTATGGTCCTACCTAATATCCAATGTCAATGCTCCTCTTGCACCATCACAGGGGTATGGGGGTTGCATTCCTCCCTCAACACCCAGTTCTTCCCATTCAACAAAAAACGGCGAAACGGTTGTCGGCGTCGGGGGGCCTCACGAGGAAATGATTCAAAGACACAACTCGGATTTTGAGGTCTTAAATTACATTCCTTACATTAATGAACTATTTTCCCCACCTATCTGGCCGAGCAGTGGAAGCTTTGGTGGTAGAGAAGGTGCGAGGCTCCACTTGAGAAGGATGATAGTCAGGGTCCGGCTTGGTGGTATCAAACCTGCCGGCGGACAAGAAGAGCCTGTCATTTGCAGTGGTTATTGCTATGCAATTGCGTTGCCCTGATGAACATTATTCTTAGACTAAGGACTCAAATCATGATTATGTGAAAACACTTAGCTGCCGTGTTTGTGAAGCTGGTGATCCGTCTTATCTTGACCTCGTCTGACCTGACAGCACTGCGAGAAGGTAGAGGTCGAACACAAGATTATGGAGGCATTTACTTCCCCTCTGGTTATCTCGAACATGACAGCCTACTACTACCTGCCACCCTCTCCCAAAGGAGCCTTGATTTCTTCAAGATGACTGCCCCAAGAAAACCTCGTTGGTCCCAGTTGAACAGTCACTTGACACCATCAACCCGTCACTATTGTGCGATATCGTCCACAACTGTTTCGAGGTGCTTTCAAGGGGTTCCCTCCCCCTTGGGCGAAAAGACGATGCCAAAGTACAGTCGTCAACCTTTCCTTCCCACTGAGACTCCAACCCCGGTGCCTGATCTCTTGCTGGAGCTCCTTTGTAAGACGGGCTTGCAATCTGGAGGGGTTGACAACAAGGTCCAGCTCACAGGGAAATACATCTAACTTTGGAGACAGCACGACACCATATGGAAGGCCATGACCCCGAAGCTCCTATTAAAAGGCAAGCAGCACATCCTTTCTACCGTATCACTGTTCTCACCGACCGAGAAAGGCCTGCATGTCACAAGCAGTCGCTGGCTGTCCGGAGAAGCACAGAGATTGGGGAGTCTCTGTCTGTAGGTACCCTAATCTGGTGTAGTGTTACTAAGGACAGGTACGTCGAGTTGTAAAGATGCCACCCACGACGAAGGGGGCACCAAAATCACAGACACCCCGCAAGGCGCAGCCAACACTATCCTGCCTCTGGCCCTTCCTGGGACTTCGGCTGGCGCTATTGAGATCAACTAGTACGACCCGCGACAGAGACAAGGAGGCATGAGGACAGCGCAGAGGGGGAGATACTCGGGGCGTTTCCCACCGCCAAGAGGAGGATCGAGAGGATACACTGCTGGCACAAGAGGAAGAGCAATACCCCAGGGGAAGAGAGCACCTGGTCTCGAACAGCAGAGGGAATGCAGGGTGGTGCGAAGGTCTTCGCACCACACATGAGCCGAAGCCCCGCCACGGTGCTAAGCAAATGGGCCGTGCCGAGGAGGCTGCGTGTTGACGACACACAAACCCAATCTGGGACGAACGAGCGAGCGAGCGAACGAGTAGAGGGCGAGAAGCAGAGAGCGCGCGCGCGCGCGGGCAAAGGACAATGCGACGTGCTGAAACCTGGACGGAGAATAATAAGTGGCCGCCGGGTCATTAAGAGAGCAGTCTGTGGGTTGGGGGGAGGGCAGATCGGACGATCCTAATGCTCGCGAATCGGGTGAGGCCGATCCCTCGGGGAAAGGAAGAGGGCCGCACGTGGGAGGGAAAACATCGGGGATATTGGCGTCCTTGCAATTCGTCGGCAGCGGCAGCAAGATGGACGGCCGAGTCGGGACGTACCCACGGCAGGATGGCGTGGGCATCATGGTTACGTTGATTAGGGGGACACGGGCATGGGATGGACGATCATCAAGGGCTGAAGGAACGTCGATCGAAACTCCAATGGAGAGATTTATAGGCTCGTTGTTTTCTTGAATGTGATGCGATATAATTAGATGACAACTACTTGTAGTCTCTGAGAAGACGAGAGCCTGAGGACCGGACCAGGGACACGAGTCCCGCTCGCCGTCAGTCCCATATGTACTATTCTCCAGGAAAAGAGGATATTCAATAATAAATCGGGGATAGTCATATACATGTACCGCCGTGCAAGGCAAAGGGTATCTTAACAGATCAAAAGTGCAAGTTGGCCGAGTTCTGCAGCAAGAACTCAAACTGCGGCTGGCGGAAGTCGTCGGGTATTAGGCTGGCCTTGTCGGCGTCGAACTGGATCAGCTGCTTGCTGGAAGCCCAGTCGGGCCAGTTGATGAGCTGCTCGCCCTCAGCGGCCTTGGTGCCGCCAGAGGCAGCGTTGGGGTCGAGGTTGTAGGCGAAGTTGAGGAAGTAGTTGAGGATGGCGGAGGCGGCGAAGTTGTCCTTGATGCCGTAGAAGACCTGGATGAGGTCGCTTCCGTGGAAGGTCCCCAGCGCGGCCGTCCCCTGGTCGTACTGGCTCAGGTACGACCAGCGCTTGACGCCCGGCTGGAGGCCCGTGGTGATGTTGAGCACCGCGCGGCGCGACATGGTAAAGACGGCGTCGCCGAGGAGGGCGGCCACGCGCTTGAACTGTGGGTAGATGACGTTCTCGTTGCCAGTGTCGAATGGGGAGCCCTGGGCCGGGTCATCGGGGTAGATGTCCACAAACTGATCGACGATCTTGGGGTCCGTGTTGGTGAAGTACAGTGTCTTGAGATAGTCCTTGAAGTCGTCAGAAGTGGAGATGTTGCTAGTGAAGAGGCCGAAGAGGGTGCCCTCGTCCTTCTGGTCGCCGAGGATAAAGGGGACCTGAGGGAGGTTCCCAGAGGCCGCAAACGCCTCGGGCGACGACACCAGGAACTTGCCGTCTGGTCGTGGCAGGTAGGACAGGGCAAGGGCATTGAATGAGAGAATCCCTGGCACGGAGTTCATAGAAGTGAGGAGTTTCTGAGGGAAGGCTGTGTCAGTAAGGCTTATGATAACGGCATTCCAGATTGTAGACTGAGCAGCAGCACAGTTCTCGCGACATTGACTTACCTGGTACTCTGCCTTGCGAAGGCATTGCAACGTGTCTGCCTCTCCCGCACATCCCACTCCCTGGACTACGGCGTCATAAACTTGCTGTGCTTTGGCACTGTCAACTGGATCAGTCGGTACGGCGGAGCCAGAATTCATGATCGCCCCTCTGAAAAGCGGCTTTCCCTTGTACGTGATATCACCTGAGAACCACAGTCAGCTTGCCGAGTTCAAGCCTATGAGAGCACAAGGGACCTTACCATTGTTGCCGATCAACTGATCAAAGATGGAGATTGAGCCAGCACTCTCGCCCCACAGAGTGACTTTGTCGGGATCGCCACCGAACGCCGCGATGTTATCAGCGACCCATTGCATGCCCAACCGCTGGTCCAGCAGGCCCAGATTGGCACTGCCCTCAGCAAGAATCTCTTTGCCGCCCAGAAATCCGAACCCGCCGACCCGGTAGTTCACCGCGGCGAAAACGACGGGCTTGCCCAGCTCAACCGACCGCGCGACAACATTCGAACCGTCATACATAGCCGTACTGCCGAGCTCAAATCCGCCCCCGAAGATCCACAGCATCACGGGCAGCTTGTCCCCTTCCTTGGTGCCCGCAGGCCGCTGCACGTTGATGGTCAGGCAGTCCTCCTGCCCCCCGATGATGTTATTCTTGAGCAGCGGCGAGTCGACAACCGTCTCCAGGACATCAGCCGCGACCCCCGGGACGTTTGGGATCTGTATGTCCTCGCCGAGCAAGAACTGCGGGCACTGCTTGGGCAATAACGTCGTGGCATCCACGTTTCCCAGGGAATGGTTCGGGTCCAGCGGCACTGGAGGTCTGAGGCGGTTGTTCCCCACGGGAGGCTGGGCGAAGGGGATCCCTTTGAAGTTCTCGACGAAGCCGCCAGCGGAGCCGATGAAGGGGAGCGCGCTCCCCTCGATGATGGCTTCGGGCGTGGTGATCTTCACCGTGGGCCCGAACAGCCGCTTCTCTTTGGCAGACTTTATCCTCGGGGCTGCCTGGGCCCCCATGCTGAGGAGCAGGACGCAAACGAACGTTGAGATCATCCTGAGCGTCTCGGAAGACAAACAGGGATTCAGCTGAGTGCAACGAGGGCTGGGTTGGCTGGACTGGAGTGAGTGTTAACAAGCACGATGGGGGGTCGGCGTGATCACCCCTTCTCTTTGGGAGCATCAAATCGTGGACGGGATGAAGTCTTTTATTATTCCATCAACAACCCCCACCGACATCTTCAAGATTGCGGCATTACATCACGTTGGAGATCATGCACACGTATGATGAGCACGGAGACGACGTCCAGGGCATTGGGAAACTTCCCGAGGCTGCCATAGGGCGACTACGTCTGACAGCTGACTGGAAGCCCTGCTTAATGGAAGAGTTATCATGCCGTTGTCTGAGGGGTTTCGAATGGAATTTCCTCTTTAGGACACTCCCAAGCCACAGCCCTGGAGAGGGCGCGCCGACGGAGCGACCAAAGGGAGGGGCAGTGGATGAGAGATCCCCAGGGCCTCGTGATCGCCTTTTTGCGTGGCCTTCGTTAATCTACGACCCTGTCGTCGGTTGGGACAAGGCGGACACCAAAATCAGATGAGGTGAGGGGAATGTGGCTGTCAGCACCACCACCATTGGACTTGGGGATTGGCCATCTGTCTCTCGCAGGGTTGGGGAGTGCCCTAGCTGGCCGGCAGTGCGCGGAAGCCAGATGCGATGAAGATCGCCTCCACGGGCCCAATGAGAAATTGTTTAGCCGGATGGAGGAACACTCCCTTGTCTGGATCTGTAAACTTGAGGCGATCGCCAGGTGACTGGACGACAAAAAGGGCATTCTTCAGCGTCGACCATGCCCTCGTATTCGTATGAGGTTTTGTTGCCCATTGTGTATCATCCAGGAAGGCCGAGCATGATTTACGTGAGACTTCGGCAGGGCAGCCCGACGAGGACATGCACGAGGGTAATGAAGTGAGAAGACAAACGTGTGCTAGATGAGGGGCCAGACCTGCACCCGTCTCAACGCTTCGGATCGTCAGGAGCGGCGCATGTGAAATTCCGGGGAAGCACACATCCATGATTCGGGAGAAGAAGCTTGTCCACCGTGGTGGCGGGATGATGGTGAGCGGTGTTCCCTGCCTCGGCACGGGCGCTGCGAATCACGAACGGGAGTTTTTATCCTGCCGAAGGCGCCTGCGGGGGTTTGGACGAGTTCGCGCGGCCGCGGGAGATGCAAGGCATACACGTGCATGACGGAATGCTTTTGAGAGACCAGAAGAAGTTGAGAGCGGATCAGATGGTGTAGCTGACGTCGATGAACCAGAATGCACATTTAACGAGCCCGTAGGACGTTGGAATAACCTTTTGGAAGGATTGCTTATGTCTGTGACTACCCGACGATGCGACCGAGACAGTACGGCCGTGCTAGCGCAGACACCCGTCATTTTCAGTTCTGCGTAGATGGCGCATCAGGTACATGCCCTCAGAACCAAGTACACGGATCTCACTTGCAGTAGGGCCCGCTGGCCGCCCCCCTCCCTCCAGGCCGTAGCCCCCAATCAGCGCCTACTCATTACTCCTGCGTCCATCTCGTTCGATTGATGCTTGATCTTCAAGGACAGCTTAAAGGGGCTTCCAGATCAGGAAATGCTTGCACTATGATGAACGTCCTCACACGCCTATTCGACCAGGTGTTTGAACGCTCTCCAGCATATGCAAAAACCCAAGTGCACGCGTCTCTCTGGCTCCTGTTGTGATGCTGGTGAACGCAAGCAATGCAGGGCAGAAGGTGCCGTACTGCGTGGGTACCCACTGGCTGTGTATCAGGAAATGAGGGTGCACAGCATGGGGTAAGGAAGAGTCCTCATGATAGCTGCAAGTCCTTGCCTCTCGCGCCTCGAATCCCAGCGCAGCGTCTAGCTGAATAGGCGCTTCTCCAAGGCTCGAACTACCCTTGGCCTTCATCGCGTTGGGAGGAAGGACCGCGTGCACCATACCAACAGACATTTCATTCTCTTGGCACGCCCGCATCCGGGCCGTCTCGGGGATGAAACACTACCAGTGCCACCCGTGGGTCTCTGGGGACCTGTGCGCTAGGAGACGTCAATGACGACCCTTTCTCATGGTGTGGCATTTTCTGAACACGACAACGTTCTGCGTCGACTGAGTGCTGGTTTTCACATGCGATAGCCAATCTTGTTTCGCTTACACCTCATTTTTCTAGCCCAGAGCTGTCATCGTTCAGGGTAGTCTTCCTCGAGAGTGGTGATCCCCAGCATAGCGTCCTACTGCAGACCTGCCGCCGTAGACTTCTCTTTCGCCTGCGCCGGCCTTTCTGCAAGACTGGCACGGCGATTAATACGTCCCGAGAAGCTCAAAATGCTGTCCGCATTGTATGTCTTGGCCGGGGCGGCCCTGGCATACGGTGCCTTGACTTACTTCAATGGCTTGCGCTCTCACATTGCGGCTGCGAGGCGGTCAGGACTGCCATATGTTGTTACTCGTCAGCTCACACACCTCCCTGTCCTTAACAAGCTGAATGTTACTGACTCTTGTGTCTTAGCTATATCGCCGTTTAGCCATTATTGGCTGCTGATGTTTTGGATATGGACGCCCATCATCAAGACCCTACCCAAGTCCTGGTGGGAGAGCTGGATAGAGTAAGTCTCGAATGCAAAAGTTGATTGGTGTTTTTACCACCATGTAACACAACACGGCTGACCAGACCACCAATTAGCATCATGCAACCTGACTGGTCATATCGCCTTCTCCGAGAGCCTTGGAATCGGCTCGGCGATACCTTTCTGGTGGTAACACCATTCAAGACCATCATGTGGACATCTAGCGCAGAAGCCATTCACCAGGTTACGGCTCGGCGCGAAGCCTTCCCCAAGGAAACCTCAGCCTATGAGATCCTGGCCATCTTCGGACGGAACATGCTCACGACCGAGGGTGCTGAGTGGAAAATGCATCGCAAGGGGGTGTCGCCCAGCTTTAACGAGCGAAATGCCGCTTACATCTTCGGCGAGTCAATCCATCAGACACAGGGCCTGATCTCGCACTGGATGGGAGATGATGCAGAACACAAGCAGAGGATCAGTAGTGCGACCATTGACACCGTTGAGCACGACACCATGACTCTTGCCCTGAACATCATAGCTCATGTTGGTTTTGGACTTAGGTTCTTTTGGCCGGGCCAAAAGTTGCCTGATGACCTGAGTGTGCAAAACAAGAAGTATGCCAGTTTCGAGCCTCCAAAGGGCCATTCTTTGACGTTTGTGGACTCACTGGCAACGGTCCTCGAGAGAATTCTTTTGCTCCTGCTCCTTCCTCAGTGGCTTCTGAATTATCTTCCATTCAAGGCCACCAAGGAGGCGCTAGTCGCTTACAAGAACTACGACACGTATATGCAGGAGTTTCTGGAGGACAAGATCGAGGAGGCTCACAGGGGCGCCAGCAGTGATGGTATGGACATCATGGGCCAACTAGTACGAGCCACGTACGGCGGCAAGGGCAAGAACGAGAAGAAGGCAGACGAACCACTGAAGATGTCCGACGCGATGATCAAGGGCAATGCCTTTATCATAATCGTCGCCGGCCACGAGACGACGGCCAACACCCTGCACTTCACCCTAAGCGAGCTCGCCAACAACCCAGCGGCACAGCGCGCCCTGCAGGCAGACGTGGACCGCCTCTTCGGGCGCGACAGCGACCCGCAGACGTGGAACTACGAGAAGAACATCAACGCGCTATGCGCCTCAAACGTCGCGGCCTGCATGAACGAGGCGCTGCGGCTCATCCCCTCGGTCGTCGACATCCCGAAGCACGTCAGCCCGGGCCAGGACCAGGCCATCACGCTCAACGGGAACAAGCACGTGCTGCCGGAGAAGACGATGATCGTCCTGAACACGGTCGGCGTCCACCGGAACCCGAGGTACTGGCCGACGAAGCAGAAGGGCGGGGCCGCCGGGGAAGAGAACGACCTGGACGAGTTCCTCCCCGAGCGGTGGTACCGCCCCTCGCTGACAAAGGCGGCGGAGGCGCAGGAGGACGACGAGGCCGAGGACTTTGGCGGGTTCAAGGGGCGCGACACCAGCGAGCAGCTATACAGGCCGGTGCGAGGCTCGTTTGTCCCATTTAGCGACGGTGCCCGCTCATGCTTGGGCCGACGGATCGCGCAGGTCGAGATGCTGGCCGCGCTCGCCGTGTTGTTCCAGAAGTACAGCGTCGAGCTTGCGGTCGACGAGTGGGCGTCGGACGAGGAAGTTGCGGGCATGACGCTGGAGGAGAGGAAGGAGGTGTACGAGAAGGCGAGGACCAAGTCCAGGGACACCATTAGGCAGGCGACGTCGGTATTGACGCTGAAGCTGCACGGGAAGCTCAAGGTTCCTGTGCGGTTGGTCAAGAGAGGGGAGGAGAGGTTCGTGAATGCGGTGGATGTCTGAGATGATAGACTAGGCGCGCACTGAGTGCTCAGACTGGGGAATCTACAGCACGAGAAATCTATAGCATATGCGCAGTCTTGACACCTCGAGAACTAAAGACAACACGTCGTACGCATTTATCATCACTATGTTGTAGCCCGACTCTCGAGCGAGGCACGTTCGTAAGAGCCCTCAATGTTGGGATACGGCGAATAGTACCCTACCGCATTCGAAATGAGATGTAACCGTGAGATGGAATGGTATGCGATCGGCAATGACTTGTTAGCCAGCGAATGAGCAGTTTACCAAAAATGGCCTCACTTTGGGACAGGCTGGCGAAGGTTCCCCTCCAGCTCCCACCTCCAGCCCCCCTGATTTCCAAAAGGGTACAAGGTGTGGCCCAAGCTCCAAGCTGGAGAAGCTAGCTCTGTCCCCGACGGACCGCGCTTTCCCTTTCCCATCTCCACCTGCTCAGAGGTCCACAGCACCCAGCCAACTGGCCACCCCCCCCCCTGTCCACCAGGGTCACCTGCCAAAACACGCAGACACCCCCCCAAACATTGAGATCAACAACATAACCCGCCCACACCTCTCGTGTCTTAGGTACAAACACACGCCCAGTCCAACATCTTTGTGCCGTTGATGCCCATATACAGTAGATAATCTCGTCGCAGAACATCTGCCTATCGCACACAGCTCACAAGCATCGCAACCTCGTCGCATCGTCTACGCGATCACAAGCACCCCGCCAACGGCACTGACATCATGTCCAGCTCGTCCAATAGCTTCCTGCGCGGCCAGCGCAAGTCAGACCTGCTCGAGTTGGCCGAGACTGTTGGTCTGCAAAAGTACGTCCAGAATCTATCTCTTGTTAAGCTTTCGCGTCTCCTCGGGAACTTCTTTGCGATGCGCGAGCTTACATCACGGCCTGCCCATCGCTTCACTGCCGGCCTTGCTGGTGGAGCTGTCGCATTACGCCCATCCGGCACGACCGTGTTGCGCCTCCGTGCGGACGCGCGCTGTCGCCATATGCGCAAACCCAAGCTGTACACTGTTCTTCCAAGGGTGACCGCCCAGTGACTAACATGCGATGCTGATTCCAGCACCGACGGCCTCAAGAAGAGTGATCTCGAGGTCGCGCTCGACGACTTCCTCGCTGAGAACTCGAACCAGTTCAGCAAGAACCCCGCAACCCTGCCTTACTACCAGGCACGCGCTCGCGCAATAGGTTCACCAGTAAAGAAGGAAGCACCGCCTCCTGCTGAGGCCCCCAAGACCGCGAAGCGAAGGGCTGCGAAGGCAGCTGAGCAGAACATCGCCGCCACTGCCGGGTGAGTTGCGCCGTACAGTCCGTCCATGGCGCGTCTTGTCGCGCCCGGGGACCGCACCGTGTAAACAAGACCGAATGTACTGACAATGCGCTACCAGAGATGATTCTGAACTCGCCTTGACCTCCGCAACACCGGGTCGCGCCCTGTCCCTTGCCCGGCGCATCCCGCTCCCCGCGTCGCCGGCTGACGTTGCCCGGGTTGTCGACGAGCGCACCGTCGCGCTCCGAGAGCGCGTCGTGACCCTTTATGAGGACTCTGGCGTCAAGGAGGTCGCATACAACACGCGCGACTCGCTGTCCACTGTCAACTCGATCCTGTTCTGCATCAACGCGTTCGAGCTGTACCACTTGCGGAAAGAAATCCTCTCAGACCGATATGCTTTCACCATCCCGGCCATCGCGGCGCTGGGGACGTCGGACTACCCTGTCGAGGTTCCCGACATGTTTCTGTTGCTGACGAGCTCGTTCTGGAACCCGGCGCTGCTCTGGGCTTTCACAAGCGTGGTCGTGCCCGCGTTCTTCGGTTTCTACTTTAACCTCTCGGCCGCGCACTCGCAGCCTGGCCGCGGGAGGAGGAGCAGCTCTCAGCCAGAGAACGTCATTGACCCCTTGACCTTCAGCATCGCTAAGGCGGTCATTACGTACGTGGTCTACCAACAGGGTGTCACCTTTGGTGGCTGGGTTGACCAAACGTCCGTGGCACGCATCAACTCGGCCGTCTACGGAGGCTGGAAGGGCGTCATTGTTGGCGCCGCAATCACCGGCATTGCGAGCTTTTACGACGCCGTTTTGCGCAAGTAGAGCTCTCGCTAGATGTGCGCGGTGAGTGACCGTGGGCACCGCCATGACGGCGCCTGGCTCACGCCACTGTTGCATACTAGCCGCCCTTCTACTACATGTTGAACTATGCGGGGCATCGTTGCAGTCTCGGGGTGTGGTGGATCCTACTACACCCTACTACACCCAGAGAAGGGTGTTACAAGGCGTTTACGGCGTTGTGGCGTCGCAGGGCCTACGGCTCCCTTTTCGACCAGATACCTCCCTTTTGATTCTTTCTGGCTATGTTCTCTCAAGAGAGCAAGACATGGCGCCTTTGTGACCGTAGGAGTCTGTTTTACGCGGGGACGCCTTCCTCGGCTTGTGGTTGAAGAGGGTTGGCGGGCATTGGATGAACACACAAAGCTGTTGGATCCGGGGGTGGCCTTTTTGCGAATACTGAGTACTTCTTATTCTCGGATCGAACGTACTGGTATTATTTTGATCGGTCTGTCTTGTGTTGGGGGTTCGGAGGGTCCAGCGATGGGAGCGGTATGCGTACTTTGGTCTTTTTGCTCGCTCAGTAGCTGGTAGAAACACGTACAGCATGGGACGAGGTTAGGTGGGGATATATTGGGCGGAAGAATGTGATGTAGCACGGCTCGGCTCGTTCAAAGTTTTGAATCATTGTTGATATCTTCCCAAGGAAATTGCCATTGGCTATGCGAAGTGAAACTCACAGCCGCGTTGTTCAGCCATGGATGTCCTGCAGAGCAGCAAGCGTCGAAGGTCGGACGGATGACACGTGTGTTGGCGTTCAAGGGGGGCGTTCCGACAGCGCGGTCCGGACGACGAGCGCATGAGTGGGCTCGAACCCCTTCTTCTTGATCGGAGTATCCATCCTGTGGGAGGTGACGCAGCCTCGGGAATTTCAAAAGGCGAAGGGCGAGCGAGCAGAGAATGCGCCGAGCCAAATGCAATGCGCACGGCGGGCAGCACTCACCTGGGCGCGCGGCATTTGGTACGAGCGGTAATGTTCTGGGTGCAGTGTGTGCATTTTAGGGCGAGTGCTAGGTGCTGTGTGTCGGCTCACATGAAGACAGGAATGCATATTACATATTACACAAGATACGCTCATTCCCCGAGGAAAATACCCGGGCGGTGGTCTTGTTTGGGTCGGTCGCATGTGCCTTGACTCTCGGCGGGCTTGGTAATAAAGCCGCGTGGCCGGCCGGTGCATCATCATCTATCCCATCGGCATCGGGAGAAGGGCCCCAACGAACAGTGCTTCCAGAAAACGAGCCACAGGAAAAAAAAAACAATACTGTGTAAGTGCTGCTGGGGGTCTGCGTCCATAGGTAGATGGGACCGCCTGTCCGTCCCGGGGGAAGGGGGAGTGTTTAATGCACTAGGAAGCCCAGTGAGACTGAATCGGTCCTTCACTGCTACCCTCACCGACCCTCGGTTGAAGAGACTAATAAACAGCAATGGACTGTCGGTCGCAGATAGTGACGACATTGGGGTCCCGGTTTTTTTTTTTCTGTCGTCTCCTCCCGATCTGAGGGAACGACCCTACGAAGATCTTGAGGCAGAAGCAGGATCCTGGCCCCCGAATAAACTTTTTGTGAACCCCTGAGAGCTGTGAGCCGGATGCCCCTCTCTGGGGGCCAGCAGATGGAGGCGTTGTGTGCCTGACGAGGCGCTATCTAGGTGTCCGGTGTGATGCCCAATATCCACCTGCTCAGCTACGACGCTGAGTGGGAACGCTGGTCGCCAGCTGCACGAGTGGATGGCTCGCGGACGCTCTTGGCTTCAGTCAGCGATAGACATCGCGGCCAGCTCGTGCAGTGTGACAGAAGTTCCTCCCGTAACGCACTTGCTCGGCACGGGAGGCCCGATAGCAGGCTAATTAGACTCAAGACCTGGGGGATTATCGATATCGCCGACATACCTAGGTAGAGAGGCGGATGCTGCGCCATGCTGTGATGTGAGGGCAAGGATCTATTTTTACCGTTGAAGAAACAAGATAGCAGCCGTAGAAATGTGACGTGCCCTGCGCCGGCGGCCACATCCACATTTGGGAACAAACACCTCCTGAAATTCATGCGGTGCCCGTCGAACCCTTTGGGGGCATTAAAAGCGTGTGGCAGGGTCCCGAGTATCATGCGGCAGGGGGGCACAAAAGCTGGTTTTTTCGCGCGGCCACTGGCGACGACGATGCAAACCCAACATGGGGCCAAGCATGGGGTCGACCAAGGCAAGGCGAAGCAGGGCGAGGTGAGGCGGGTCGGTGTCGGGTTCGGTGTCTCGAAAGAAGGAGACACCGACCGCAACCAGTGAGGCGACGAGGGGCCGCGGTCAAGGGGAAAAAATGGGAGGACAATTGAAGAAACAGATGCAGCACAAGTGGACAGGACGGTGGGATGTTTTGTCAATAAGCTTTCGGCAAGGCGCCAAGCAAAGTTCTCGAGCAGCACATCGCTGAGCTATGATGGTCGCACTCGTGCTCATCAATCGTGGGCGGGACCCATCACGAGCTTTCACAGCTGACTGCGGGCGAGCTGGATTGATTCCATTGTAGGCAGCCCCCTCGTATGTTCCGCCCTGGAGGAAGCTGGAGGATCGAGTGTGGGTGTGCCTCGCGGGAGATTGGAGATTACGTAAGGGGTCAGCTGTGCAGAGCGGCAATGTGCCAACTGCCTGCTGTTGTCATGTACCGTAGTAGCCCCCCCCCCCCATCCAATCCCGCGAAACTCTATTTTATACTGTTGTTGTTCAGAGACTGTTCCGTCGGTTGCTCTGGTCGGGTGGCACTGAAGGAACATGCCGCGGACTTTTCATATGAACAGCTATGTGAGCGGCATAGGACTGTGTAGGGTAGAGTGACTGTCTGGTAGCGGTAGAAACCTTGGAAGATGGTAGGTACCCCGTGGGGACTGGGCGGCCGTGCCTATTCTCCCGATCCACTCATTATCTACTCGCGGCCTGTGGGAGCCACTAGTCTGAGTACACAGCTCTGTTTTCCGATTGTTTGATGCCTAGTGCCCAGTGCCCAGGGCTGAGAAACGAGAAACAAAGTAGTGGGTACGGCCTGACGTTGGGCGGCGGTACCGTTCTGCCACGGCATTGTTGTACTGTGCTGTGCTGTGCTGTGCTGTGCCATCATCTGGAAAACCTGCTCGTCATCTTGGTCGTTGATCTTTTCCCAAGACCACCTGCTCTGCCTCTGTGCAGCCTGCCCCTGCCTGGCCAACCAACTGTCTACCTGTTCCAAGCATCCCGAGGTCTACCGCAATAGGTATCCAGGTAGACTACTTACCTCCCAGTCCATCACTGTCCTGCCAACTCTCCAAGGCCCCTCCTTAAATTGTTGATCTGTCAGGGCCCCGTCTCCTGCCCACGGCCCCTCCCTGCTGCCCGCGCCAAGCCCCAGTTACGCAAACCCATCGAAGCTTTCCATCAGGTCGAGCTTGCTCTCTCGGGCCCTCTCAGTCTCTCTTTCTCGACCCGCCGGGCCCCCGACAGGCACTTCCATCAGATATCTTTCAAGACCGTTTCCATAAAATATCCCACCACCTGGCATCTGTCTGTTTCCGTTACCCGCGCCTTCGTTCCATCCTAGCATATCTACCATCCTTGCCCGCACTTGACCTGCAAGACACTGCATGCCTACACACATGGCCTACTGCAGGTTCGCACATTCAACGTTCTCGACATATCTTACCCAGCATATTTGAGACGAGAGAAGGAACCGCACAGAAACTAGACCTCGTTGACAAGCAGACCTGGTCGCTCGCTCTCGACCGACCAACGCAACTCTGACGACGACAACGACGACAACGACAACAACGGCCAGTGCGACCTCGAGGGCACCCCCAGCGACGCCCAACCCGTCCCGCCATCAACGACGGGGCTCTTTCCTGGACCGAGCACCACGAACCACCAACCTCCGAGCCTGAGTCTGATCCCGATCTTGAGCCTGCAGCTAGACTTCCTTGTCTCTCTGCTGCAGCTTCTCGGCGGACCCACTGCGAGTTGTCGTTAGTGGCTTCCAGACCCGTCCCGCATCCATCTCGACAGCCCGGAACCCACCGCACACCCTGCACTCCCCAGGTCTTGTCCAGTTCAGTTGACGGGCACAGCAACGTGTGTCCTTGCTTGGAGGTGCGTAGGTCAGATCGAATCGTATCTTGTCTCCTTCCCACTGCCTGGTTCCTTCTTGCAGCAGTGGAGAGTGGCCGGGTCTGGGCGGCAGAAGCCCCCGGAGCGCCTGGGAGGAGCAGCCTGCGAGCGGCGGGATTGGTCACGATCTCGTTCTATCTTGGGAAGCTCCCAGGCGGGCGAGCCGCCCACTGGGACCTTTCGACCTCTTTTTCAGGTCACACGCCGCCGCAGGTGCTTTTTGGCGATAGTCTCCTACCCACATCACCGTCCATTTCCCCTCCCTGCTTGCTTGCTCTGTTTCCCTTCGCTTATCTCTCCACTTTCCCTCCCCGTCCCAATCAGCAGCCGCCATTGTGACACCACTGGCACAGCCCTCAGGAGACCCTGTTTGTTGACATATATCGTTTGCTTCCTGCAGATTTCCCGCAGATCCGGCAGACCGCAAGCTTCCAACCTACAGCCTAGGACTGAGACACCTTCCCGCGCTGACCATACTCTCGGATACCTCCCCACACGGTATCCTCCTGCTCTGCCCTGCAAGACCGCAACCTGCACCTGGTCCCCTGCAACTACGATGAGCCTCGCCAGTACCGCGCCGCTGCAGAGCGGCTCCTCGAACCAGCCCGCCCCGGCGCTAGCTGAGCCGTTCGAGCCGAAGTCGCAGAAAGCTGAGAAGGTACGGACCGGGTCAACTAGAGGGGCTGCCGAGGAGGGTGCTAATGAGCCTGAAAAGAAAAACAAGATGCGAGGGCTGTTCGGGCTCGGCAAGAAGAAGACGGACGAGCCCGTCAAGGCGCCATCAAGATCAGATCCCGCCGCCAATGCTGCCAGTGGCACGAGCAAACAGACCAGGAACCCCCCGACACGACAATCCACAACCTCACCCATCCAGACGCCCTCCTCCCCGGGTCGCGGGGTCTCTTCTTCGTCCCCGAGGCTTGCGTCACCGGCCGGCAGCCAGATATTCGAGCGCGATGTCCAGGAGGCCGCACATGTACCAAACTCGCCTGCGATCCCAAGCCACATCATAACCGAGAACCACGTACCGCCTGTGCTCGACGATGCCTCCAAGGCCATAACCGATGACCATCTTGACCCCGATTCCGTCGAAATCATCACCCACTCGAGCCATCAACCAGCCGCTGTCGCGGTCACCGGCGTCCCTGACCACATGTCCAATAGCTGGCAGGACGACCTGGCCTCTAGCCTGGCCGCCTCGGACTTCAGGCCAGTGCATGATCACACTGACTCTGGCAGCAATTACGGCAGCCTGGACAACGTCGACATCCGCCGGCTGAGCTTCATCAGCTTCGCGGACGTGGTCCAGGCCGAGCACCAGGGCCATGCTGGGCTGGGCGGGTCCAGGGAATCAATTCACCTCGCGGGTCTCACCAGCCTCTCCTCTGCGGGCGGTGGCTTGAACCGATCACCGTCACCAATCCGCTCGCCCGTCTCTTCGGCCGGTGGTGCATCACCACCACGTAGCAAAACGGGATCCCTTAGAGGTATCGAAACATCACCCAGCCGGAAACCATTGGCCAGCCCGGTGTCGACAAACCTGTCCATGTCACCGTCCATACCGGCCATTGGCCTTCCTGGTGAGCTCAACGTTGAAACGATGAGTCAGGCACTCGGAAGGACGGGCTCGGGTGACCTCAACGGGATGAGGAGCATCCCGATCAGCCCCGTGGAGGGGGCGCCGTCGCGTTAGCTGCGCGTGGCGAGAGGCTGCGAGATTCGCAGTTGTCCTTTTCCGCATCGGCTGGCAGGTGAGAGGATTGACAGGGTCATTCGGCCGGCCTCGGTGCCGCCGCGGGTGTGATCATGGGCAGGGCTTAGGGAGATGCCCATTCAGTAGGGATGGAGGAGGGGGTGGCGTCTTTTGAAGAGTCTCTGGTTACAATTGGCAGGGTCAACCCAAGAAAGACTCGGAGGAAAGCCACTATTTCAATTCTTACGGACTTTTGAAAACTCGAAACAAAATCCGGCTGCTTACGACGCCTCATACATCCAAGAGGATTTTCCGAATTCGCAACAACATACCCATCTACGAACGATTACCCATTTGATTTCGCGCAGTCGTTACTTCTATTGCACAAGAGAGAGGGTGGAAAGTGTCGTTTCACGGTCGGCGAGGCACTCGTGGCATCAGGGCTTGTTTTCGTGTGTCTGGCTTCGCGAGGGAGAACGGAGCTGGTAGGAAGTGACAACATCGATGGGCTCTTCTTTGCTATTCTTTGCTGCCGCCTTTTCCTGATTTTGAGTAACTGGCCACACCTGATTGTTTCGCTAAGAGGGAGAAGACGAGGGGGCCAAGGCGGCTGCTTTTGCTTTTAACTTATGTTGTTTTTGGAGAACAGCTGATTGATAGGCTACCTAGAAGATACCTGGAAATATGAGGGGAGCTGCGAGGGCAAATCGAACATTAATTTCCCCGTCGGCTTCGGCTTCGGCACCCGTCCTTTATCATGAATGTCGAGTATCGTCGAGTCGGTGAGCAAGGGATTGTGAGGATGAGCTGGTGTCCAAGCAGCCCAACCGCTGTGGTGCCTGACCGCCTCTCCGCCTGGTCTCGCCCTTTGCATATCAGTCAGTGATTTGCCGCTCCCAGGCAAGGATCAGAAGTGCGTGGGGGCAGCCGGCTCCGCAGTACACGTGTGAGCATATATGGTGGACCACGCGCGGCCTAGCCTGGCCCTACATCCAGCCGGCCTCGCCGGCCTGGCCGCTGTATTGGCATTGTATGGATTGGGTGAGAAAGTCAGAAAAAAGGGGACCGGAAAAAATAGCCAGGCAGAGGTTTTACCGGTGGTTGTCGTGGTGGTGGTGGCCGACCTGCCGCAGCTCGGGACCGGAATCGGAGGCGCCGTGCTGAAGAAGGAAGGGAAACAAACATGATCGAAGGGGGAGGGTTGGCTATCCTCTCGGTATTGCTTAAATGACGGGTTCCGGAGCATGGAAGGCGTTCTTCCTCTGGGTATTGAAACATCATCGAACCCGGGCATGGCTTGAGTTGCTTGTCCCCGGAATCTTCGCGACGAAGAAGGGAGGAAGGCAGCTAGGTGTGCCTTTCTACCCCTTCCTTCACGGGCCGAGACATGCGAGGCTGCGATGAGGTTCGCTCGTGGCCAAAAGGGGCGGCCTCAGGCTCTGTGTCACCTCTTCTGATGCTGCTTCTGGCTTTGGGTCTGGCGCGCGTGCCTTTCCTTTTCGCCGAGTCCCACAGAGTCTGTGGGGGAGGGGGGATGAGGATGAGACAGGTCGCTCAAGGTCGAGAATAAGTTTATTTGCCGTGTGTGTCTTGCAGTTGTGAGTGGGCCGGTCCGGTTAGATGGACGACGGGCTGGGTCACCAGCTCTGCGTGGAATATTGTGGAGTGAGCCTGTGATGCCTTGATTCCATGTCGTAGTCGAGCATGTCTTTCTCAGCCTCGCTAGTCGGTCCGCTGGGACGAGGTTGAGGAACTCGCATAGTTGATCCCACCCACGCGCATGTCCCTGGTGTCTGGTCCCTACTACTCAATATGCCGTGGTAGTCGTAACAAGACGTGACACGAACATACGGACTCGACCCGTTGTGATATGGCGATGTGTTACTCGGCTGGAAGAGCCCAGATGCCGACATGGCTGGCGACCTTCACGACCGAGTCGAGTATTAGCATTCTCGAGGCGGTCACACAGTTTTCCGTGCACAAGAGGCCAGGGTCTGTGTTTTGTTGGCTGTGCCAGTTCCCTTCGCGGTCTGGATCTTGATGGGTTATTCGGCTTTCTGCCGCCCTAACAGCCTCCACCAGGCCCAGCACCATCATACTGCGGTGATCCGGTCATCGAAAGGTTCTCGCCGGGGCCAGCGCGCCCTTTTGGTAATTCCCAGAACGTCCTGATGCGATCCAACAAGGAAAACGCCGATTGTCAGCGTGACTCGGGGCCGCAGTCGGACAGTCGAGGCCGGAAGTCGGGAGAGCAGCCGGCCAAGTTCCATTCGCCCTTGCCGTGCCCCTGCCCCATCACATCGCCCTGTGCTTGACGATACGAGCCATACGACATACACGGGCCTGCTCACAGCATGCCCGTCTCGTTACTTGCAATACGGCAGCGTCAGTCCTAAGAGGTCGAATGGCAGCAGAATCTCTCCTGTACGACACCCGATCGAGCAGGCCGCCCGCCCACGGGAACCAAACATCCGTCACCCGTCAAACTGCCGTCCCACCCGTGGGCCCGTAGGACATAGACCATGACGAGAGAGGAATGGTGGGCCCCAGAAGCACACGGCGACTCGACTCGACTTCGACTCGGGCCTAAGTATTAGGCTACTGGGGCGCGGCTATGTCACGGCAATAGGCCGCGGATAACGGCCGCCATGGCACCAGGAACAGGTTGGGTTTTGTCCACGGCTGGGCTCTTGCTATCACACACCACCTCGGTTTGGCGCAGATCCTTCTTTTTTCTCCTCGCCTTCCCACCACGCACCCATGCGGCTGGCTGCTGTTGGTCAACGGCCGCCCGGTCATGTCTTGCAACCTCTTGATCCCAGGACATTCTGTAACTCGCTCCTGTCTGGCTAGATGCTGGTCTTCAAGCCGGACCTAGTGGCCAACTTCTCGTGCTTGCCGCTTGCCCACCGGTGCTCGGACCGCAACCGCCATTAAATCAATGTCATTCTGTCAGTCAGTCAATCATTCTGTCTGTCTGGGGCGAGAAAAATGTATGCCGGGCCCCACCCCCATCCTTTGGTCGAAACAGGAAGCTATTCACGATCCACCGGCGGATCTCTCGCTGCCCGCAGCCGATGACTCTTTGGGAGCATGGGGCCCTCCCTCCTGGACACAGATGCCACCTCGCGCACACCCACCCGCACAATGCGTGCATGCACACGAGCGAATACAGTCTAGCAGTCTAGATAAGGCGAGTGCCATGCTGTCACCCAGATAGATGGTGGATCGCCCCCTGGCTAGCCCTTTCCTTTTCTCCTCCATGCTTGGCTTCGCCCTACCGCTGCGACATCGTCTCCCCATTGTGCGGGAACGTCCCCCAGACTACATCGTCTTGTCTCCATTCTTTCCCGGCTTTGTCCCGAGAGACGGCATTCCCCCGAATATAGTCATTCTTGTCCACCTTATATGCGCCGTCCTCTCTCAGTAGCGGAGAGGATACTGTTGACCTTTCTTGGCAAACGAGAAGTCTCGCCTGCGATGATACCCTCACTTTGCCCCTGTCATCCTCAAAAACAAGCCTCTCTCTAAGTCAACCCCATCCCATGACACGTCATGATGGCCAAGACCGAGAAACAACCCCATGTCCCTGCCGTCATGGGAGAACAGCACAGCAGGGGACACAACGACGGGTACGACCGTGACCTGGAAGCCGGACGAACAGAAAGGGAGGAAGGGGACCACCGGTCGACGACCTTCACAGACGACAACTCATCGTCCTCGTCATCCTCCCCCTCCTCCCGCCGGCACAGCACCGCCAGCACGACAAGGCCGGGGCCGGCCCAGCGGACGCAGAGCCCCGGCGGCAGCCCCGTGGCCCGCATCTCGACCAACGTCTCGCTCGGGCCGGACAACCCCGTCGAGCACTACACCTCCTTCGTCGAGGTGCCGGACTCGGTCTACGACCGGATCCCTCAGCACCGCAAGCTGGTCATCGTCGCCCTGCTTTCGTACTGCGCCTTCCTGGCGCCCATCTCCTCCACCACGGTCCTCTCCGCCGTCCCCGAGGTCGCCGCCACGTTCGACACCACGGGCTCCATTATCGGCCTGTCAAATGCGCTGTACATGCTCTTTATGGGCCTCTCGCCCATCGTCTGGGGGCCATCCAGTGAGGTCTGGGGGAGGAAAAGTGTGAGTCTGACTTTTTGTAATGAAAAATGTGTCTTACGGTTGAGCGTAGGCATGTGTTCGCGCATGGATTCGAAGCTCTTGCTGTAGCAGAAGCGGCCCCATGAGAATGGGCACTGTCATGCTGACCTTTGTTTTGTGGCGCACGTATAGATCACTTGTACGACGGCGGTCCTGTTCTTCGGGTGTAGCATTGGGACGGCACTGTCGCCCAACCTGGCTGCGTTCTTTATCTTCCGCATTTTGACGGCCTTTGAGGGAACGGCGTTTCTCCTCGTTGGGTCTGCATGTCTACAGTATGTGTGCCTATTATTATTGCACGTTGCATTTCCCATCCTTGTACAAAAAGAAGAAGTAAGAGAAAACATAGTTTCGTGATTCTGGACTGACATGTGGCAAACAGAGACATCTTCCGTCCCACGGAACGAGCCACCGCCATGGGGTGGTTCCTCAGCGGGACGCTGATCGGGCCGGCCATCGGCCCGTTCGTGGGCGGCATCATCGTCACCTATACCGACTGGACCGTCATCTTCTGGGTGCAGGCCGGGCTCGCCGGCCTAGCGGCGCTTGGGGCCTTCTTGATACTGCCCGAGACGATACACCACAAGAAGCATGATGATCTCGAGGGCTTGCCCGCGAGTAAGAAGGTTACGATGCTTGCGAACATGATCAACCCCTGGAGGGTGCTCAAGCTTTTTCTATTATACCCAAACTTGTATGTTGAAAGCCTTTGACCACGTTAGATTCCCTTTTGCATGAGACGAGTGTGGGCAGGTCTTGCTTTTAGAATCACCATGAGCGGCCTCTTGCTTTTGCTTCCGTTTATCGCCGCCGCCTGAGGAAGTCCACATACTAAATGAGTCTCTAGAATCCTGACTGGCATTGCCTCATCATCCCTTGTCTGGAATATGTACTCACTCCTGACGCCCATTCGCGTAAGTAGCTTTCGGATACTATTTTCACTCACTGGAGCATGGATTCATTAGGCCGCAGCTTGGGAGACTGGCTTTCGGCGGGATGGATCTCAATCGTGTCCCTATATCGGGCAATTCTTTTCCTTCCTCTGGACCTTGTAGCTGACTCTGAGCTACTGCAGTACGTCCTCAACCCGCGCTTCGGCCTGACAACGCCGATGCAGTCCGGCTTGTTCTATCTGGCTCCGGGGGCGGGCTACCTGCTAGGGACCTTCGTCGGTGGGCGGTACGCGGACCACGTGGTGAAGAAGTACGTCAAGAAGTCGGGGGGCAAAAGGATACCCGAGGACCGGATGCGCTCAGCACTCCCATTCATGGGTGTCGTGATCCCGGGCTGCGTGCTCATTTACGGGTGGAGTGTGGAAAAGAATGTCGGCGGGATCCCACTGGCCGTCGTCGTGCTGTTCCTGCAGGGCGTGGCGCAGCTGTTCTGCTTCCCCAGTCTCAACACCTACTGCCTGGACGTCATGCCGAGCCAGGGCAGCGACGTGATCTCCGGAAACTACATTGTGCGCTACCTGTTCGGATGCCTCGGCACCGGCGTCGTGCTGCCTGCTGTTAACAGCATAGGCGTTGGCTGGTTCAGCACTATCAGCGCCTCATTCTTGGTGTGCAGTGCCGGGGGTATCTGGGCTACCATCACGTGGGGCGCCAGGTGGAGGGAGGAGGCTGACCGGAAGAGGAGGGCAAAGAAATTCGCGCGGGCGGAGAGAGAAAAAGGCGAGGCGAGGGAGCCGAGGCATGCGGAGGGTCATGCCAGGCGCTCGTCGAGTCTTGCGGGGCGTGATCATGAGCGGGTAAGGGAACACGTGGATCCTGAGAAGGGGCGCGAACCAGCGTCGGTAGACGTGGGCGCCTCGGAAACGAGAGACGATAACCCAGCACGGACGTCATAAGGCAGACTGTAGAGGGCAAGCTCTTAGGTATCAATTTACCACATCCTCAAACCTATGACCAGCCGGTCGGTCGAGAGCCGCCGCAGAGAGATCGTGAGGCGACCATTGATGTCAACACAGGGCTTTTCGCCACTCGCTCATCCGGTGACAACATCTCCAGGAGATCATGCCGCCGTGAAGGTTGATAGAACGGGCTGAGGTCTCGGTAAACTCAAAATGAGATGGAACAAATTGAAACTAACCAATCAGACCAATTCCAACCACCTCAAAGTGCGGACTGTTCCGATAATACAGGCCCCAAGTGAAGGCCGCGGTCTTCGAGCTTCGAGCAAGCGACAGAAGCAGACACGACTCGGACTACAGCTCTGTGATTCCAAGACTGCACTGAATGATGATCAGAGTTCTGCTGAAGTTGGCCTACCAGGCTCGGACCAGAAAGAGTAACGACAGAAAAATTACGTATGCCTCTGGCAACTGAGCTTGAGAATTGCGTCTGCAGCTCATCAGCCCATCTTTCGGAGGGCCGCCGACGGGTAGCAGACCGCCCGGCTACGTTGAGTGTCGTATGTCGTGTGTGATGAAGTGGGAGCCGCAACACCCCTTCTGCCCCAGTGTATGTCACCCAAGACGGAGTGTATTGTGGTCCGTGGGCCACCGTCCGTTCGGATCGTTTGCCCGTTCGACAGTACCAGCCGTTTCCCGCAGACCTGACTGCCGTTGCCTGTTTTTGCTTCTGCCCTATCGCTGTACAAATTGGGAAGATCATCAAACGAGGTGTTCTGTATTGCGTCTTCGGGCCGGACCTCGCGTCAACGTCGCTGATCGGGAAACCATGGGCGCAGCTGGCTAATCGGCCTGTTTGAACGGGCTGGTTGATATGGACATGGGGCTCCCGCAATATCTGACTAGGTACTCCGCCTTTGTGAAGAATTCGGACGAAAGATGGAGTCGTCTAATCAGAGCACATGATAACGCGGGACATAGGCAGAGCATGGCCGTCGGCAGCTCGGTTGACAGAGGATCCGGATGAATTGAGGGCCTGTGAAAACGGAAGCGGTCCCCAGCCTGTGACAGGTCGCTCGGTCACTCAGCGAACTACAGCCCAAGGCGGTACAGAACTATCACAATCTCCTTGTTGAGATTTGTGCAACGTACTGCCCGAGGTGCCAAATCGAGAAGATGCCGGTATCCGTCGCTGACAGGGTCCTAACGGACACAATCCCACAACGTACTAGCTGGGTTGTAATGGACCGCCGAGTAGCACAGGCCGACTTGAACGGACCAAGTTGAACATAGATGTTGCGAGTCTCATTCTCATCCTACCTACATGTAATTGCCATCCGATGAGAAATGATACCTCGTTCGGGAAATAGGAAATGGTGTTCTCGTTTTCAACTCGCTGACTCGGTCAATGGCTGTACAGGACTGCAGCCCTGTGTCAGAAGCCGGGGTTCATCTGGGCAGAGCAAAGTCGCCTTGGCGGTAACTGACGTCACGAGTGCTGGTCTGAAGATGCGCTTTTGAGAATTTGTCAGTACAGGGACAGTGCGCATGGGCCGGTATCCACTCCAAGTGTAAACAATCGCAACAGAAGGGACGAATGCCTGGCTGGGGGGGGGGGGGATAGCTGGGATGTTCAAGCGCTGCGACAGGTGGCGACGATATTAATAGACAAGACAGACTGGCAAACAGACCCACGGGCGAGCAGACGGGACGGTCAAATGGGTGAGAAGCGAGAGCGTGTGAGTGAGTGGGAGAGAGAGTGGAAATGCTGGGAGTGTGAGAGTGGGTGGTGGTGGTCGGTTCTCTTGCTCGTGCTTAAGTTTGAAACAAAACCTGCGGCACGAGCCTGAGTCTTGGCAGGTTGTCGCATGTTTCACAACCCTTGGGAGTCACGCAGTGGCGTGTGCCTTCCCTCCTCTCTGCCCCCACCCCCGATCAAGGTCTTGCCGACAAGTGGCCGAAGCCGGTTTTTGACAATGTCAAGATGCTGCGGCGCTCTTGGCTCTGGTGTTTTTATACGTGTACCTTCCTCGACCGAACAAAGCACTCTGGGCCTCGAGAAGCGGCCGAAGGACGGAATGCGGAGGTGGCATGGGAGAAACAGGCAAGGTGCAAGAACGCACCAGAACCTTATCGCAGCGGACCGTGACAGGCTTTCTAGAAGGGCAATCCTCTAACTCTAACAGGACCTACCCCATCGGTTGTTTCGGAAGGGGGACATGTCAAGTCATGTAATGCACAAGCAATTGCAGTAACAGATCTAACCTCTTGTCTCGCCTATTTAAGGTAGTGGGGAGCGCTGGGATCTGTTAGCGCTAATGTATTCTGTCATCCTGCTCCCCGGCTTCCCCTGCAGGGGCGTGCCAGGCCAGCGCGCGCCCCGGTCGGCATTAGCGGCTTGGCTTGAGAGCCTCCTCGCCTTGGGCGCGACGACAGCTGGACCCCTTGGACCCCCGGATTTCCTGCTTCGCGATCTTCTTCTCGTCTTGTTGCTGTGTGATTGGCCATTACTTGTGTAAGTTACGTGAGATAGATGGATGACTCCACTGTCCGCCGAAGCTGGAGCCATCAATGCGGCTATACTTGACTTTGAAGTTGGTTGACTACCAAGGTAATGTTCTCATGCCGTGTCGCCGTCTTGCATGACCTTGAAGGCACACAAATCTCGAGTGCCTGGGCACAAGTCATCTCGTGCCCGTCTGGTGTCACTTGTGGGCCTCGTGAGGCTTTGATTTCTAGGTTGGACCAATGCTCGCACCTGTACATGTGCTCCCATCGCCCCTGGCCGGGTGTAGCATTGCTCCTTGTGCCAGTGCAGTGCATATGTCCAGTATGCCTAGTGAGCTCGGGCTCGGGCTCGGGCTCGCCGTCCATGGATTACAACGCTGGGACGCGGTTGTCGAGCAGCTTTGAACCTGCCTGCTTGGTGCGCTCCTTGGCCAGTGGGTGCGTGGGCGAGGTGCTGTAGCAGACACGTGGGGCCAAGCGAACCTGGCCTGGATCGAAAACACTCCCCACCCAGTCGGGACGTCGAGGTGGGCTACTGCTGCTACTGGACGCTGCGTTTGTAACGGCAGGTCCGCGTGTTAGACTGCATGGGCCTTGCTCTGCTAGGGGGTGCCGGCAAAAGGGCCAAGACTGAAGCATGTTCATGTCGCGGGGGGCGGAGCCGCCTCGATGATCGGCATGCCCTGGCGAGGGACCCATTGCGGCCGAGCTCTCCCATTGTCGGGACTTGGAGCCACCCAGCACGATGCGCGATGCACGATCGGGAGCTACCTGCCTAGACCGGGACGTGCGACTCGAGCCAACCCGGCGGGAGATCAATGCGCTTCTGGGCTGCTGTAGTAGACCAAACGGGGGCGCTGGTGGGAGGCACCGTCGTGCTGCTATGGGCAAGGCCAGGATCTAGACTGACTACTACTGCTGCCCGTCCTCATCCGTAAGGGTCGGATCCACCGTTACAGCCCACGGCGATGGCGTACGGCAAATTCTCCTAGCCTGTTGTCGTTGCACTGTTGCACTAGAGTTTCCTGTTGGCAGTTCCGTACCATTTCACCGGGCGAGCAGTCCAGCCCATCTGTACCTGTGCCTAGGTTGGTGGCATCAGTCATTCATCCAGTCAGTCAGTAGTGTCGCATTCACCTCACTTCGAACTCCGTCTCCGTCTCCCGTCTTCGTTCTCACTCGTCTTTGTTCTGCTTTGCCTGCATTTCATAATTTGCCTTCCCCCCCCCAATTCACGTCTGGTCCGCTGTGATGCTGGACTGGGCCATATTTTAGATTTTAATTCCCGGGGTAAACAAGAAAGACCGGTCAACCCTGGCGGCAGGTCTGTCTATTTGTTGGCTTTGTCCCCACCCGTACTGTATCTTCCACCACCTGGACGTCTACTTGCGGCAGGGCGTCACAGCATCGTCCCATCCCGTCCCGTCCCATCCACCTGGACTGCACCTGCCACAACCGACGTCTCTGTCTTGCCTCTGCCTGTGCTTTCCTTTTCACCTCGTCGCCCCGCCTGCCCTTCTACCCATTCTCTTCTCTGATCGGACCAGATCAAGTCAAGTTAGCCCAAATCAGCGACCCGGCCCTCTTTCCACCATCTCGAACATTCAACCGATTCCTTTCTCTCTTTTTCCCTTTCTGCCTTTGTCTTGGCACACCTCGACCTCCTTCTTCCGCACGCCACCTCATCCAACACAGGCACACAGCTTGCCTCGAGGCGCGTTCCCCCAATCAGTAATCAGCATTCCCTGCTCGGTGATCAAACATCGAGGATCTCGAGCTTGTGCCCGGCTGCACTGCGCCGACCTGCATAGACATCATCACATCAACCTCGACGTATACCGGGCTCGTCATTCATGTCAAGTCACGCTCAGATTTCCTGAAGCTGCTCCCCATCCTCGCCACACCTCGCCGTGAGCAGCTTCACATCACCAGCCACCCAACCCCTGCTGGCTACTACTATGGAGAGGACGTCGTGCCTGCCAGTCTCCAAACCAAGTTCGAGAACGTCCTCGCCGGCCTCGCGAAAATCCGAATTTATGTTGCCCCTACCCGTTCAAGCATCCCCGAGGTTTCCCATGCGGGCCCTCCTCAGCCACTGCCTCTACCGGCGGGTCATGATATGGGCTATCACCGTCACAGTACTATTGTGTTTGGTGCTGTTCTCGAGTGGTGTGCAGACCCGGCATGGAAGGATCTTGGATTTGGTAGACTTCAGGAAAGGCAGCCATTCCGAGACCCCTAAGACCGGCCTCGGCACAGCACCTGCCACCATCGAGCAGCAACTGACCATCGAGAAGCCCAAAGAGGAAGGCAAAAAGGAAGAAGGGAAAAAGGATGATGACAACGGCCGGGACCCTCTCCACTGGCTCGAGTACAAGCAGTAAGTTCAGATTCGAGAGCTGTATGACAGGGCTTGCCAGAAATCTAATCCAGCTTGTAGTATGGACGGCTATTTCAATGGCATCAAGTCCCTCGTGCCTCTGAAGGACTACGTCCCTGAGTTCCCAGCCAAGCCGGACACCCCGCCAGTCATCACCGTTTCCCTGAGCACCGCCCTACCGACCCCCACCCTCTACGCACCACAACCCGACTACCAGTCAACCGAGTATAAGCAGAAGCATCACCCTGTGCAGACATGCTACCTCGACGAGGAGCAAACCATCCCACCCCCGGACTTGTACGTTTATGACGGACTTCCGCAGGGCGTAGCAAGGCCTGCCTTGGGATCATACGAGCTTCTAGGTATCCGAGATGACATCTGCTACGATCGATTCGGCCGGTATGGACCCTACGGTCTAGGTTACAGCCTTAAGGATGGCGGTGTCGGCGAGGGTATGGATACCGAGAGCGAAGGCAGCGAGCACGTGTGGAACAAGACCGGAAAGATCGACTACCACAACATGAACTGGGGAAAGCTCCAGAAGCGTTGTGTCGAGAAGAACCGCGCCAGATTTGTGGAACCCGAGGACAGGGAAGTCGAGCGCAACGACAGCGAGAAGGATGCCCAGTCACGTCTCGGCAACGATTCAAAGCAAAAGATCGGACGTATCGCGATTGTCATTCGAACGTATGTTGGTTTCCAGTGGACACATCTTGCCATTCTTAACTTCCGCGCCATGATCTCCGAACTGTCCCTGCGGTCAGGCGGAGAGTACGACGCGCACTTCCTCCTCCACGTCAAGGACAAGGAACAACCGATCTGGGCGGACGCGGAAACCGTCCAGAAGATACTTGACTCAAACATGCCACCAGAGTTCCACTCCATTACTTCTCTGTGGTCTGAGCCGCAGATGAAGTTGCTATATCCTGGGCACTTTGGAGACGCATTCGAGAACCCATCGAACGGAGATGTCCACGGTGTTTACCGTTCTGCGCACATGCCACTGCAGCATTTTGCGATGATGCATCCCGAGTACGAACATTTCTGGAACTGGGAGATGGACATGCGCTATGTGGGGAATTACTACGAATTGTTCGACCGGCTGGGGTCCTGGGCCAAGAAGCAGAGCCGTGTCGAACTCTGGGAGCGCTCACAAAAGTACTACATTCCTGAGTACCACGGCAGCTGGTCCAACTTCACAGAGGTCGTTCACGAGGAGACTGAGGCTTCTGGCCGTCAAACAATCTTCGGTCCCGTCATTTTCCCCGGTCGCCAGGGTCTGCGTGCCCAGGAGCGGGGATTCAGTTTCATGCCTGACACATGTGCCAAAGGCGGAAACACCACCGAATGCGGAATAGGTGAGGAGGCCGATCTGATCACACTGAACCCTATATTCGATACCGACGAGTCCGGCTGGGTGTTTGCGAAAGATGTCTCTGGATACGACCGCAGTATGCCTGTTCCGCCTCGGCGTTGCGCAATTGTCACAGCCTCCCGGTTGTCCAGACGCCTTCTCCAGGTCATGCACGAAGAGACATGGCGTCTGCACCACAGCATGTTTTCTGAGATGTTCCCTGCCTCGATGGCATTGCACCACGGAATGAAAGCTGTATACGCGCCGCATCCTGTTCTTATTGACAGGAAATGGGACATTGAGAGAGTCGACTGGGCCTTCAACGGAGGCCGTGATCACAGCACCAGCGGCCGCGGTTCTCCATACGACCTCGACAACGAGCACAACCACGCAGGCACTAGTTGGTATTACAACAGTGAGTTCGCAGGCCTTCTATGGCGTCGCTGGCTAGGATATGCCCAGTACGACGGACGCGGCGACAACGGTGGACGAGCAGGAGAGGGGACCTTACGCGGCGGAAAGGCAGAAGAAAGCCGCCCGGACAGCACGGGCCGCCTGTGTCTGAGGAGCATGCTCGTGCATCCCATCAAGTGGGAAAACCCGTCGGAGAAAACATAGGAGTACACCCCCGGGCTGCCGGGCAGGCATGAATATAGTGAGGCGACTACATTTTGAAAGCACAGCGAGACCGAGACGACCGACTTGATCCACTTGTCGGAAGCTGGACGCATTATCATGTCGGAAACCGCTCAAGAAGAGAGCATTGTCAAGTTTTGATCCAAGTCTCATGGTTTCTCGGCACACTTTTGGACCTTGAGGAGACATGCATTTCAGGCGAATGGCGCAACTAGTACATTCTGAGTACTGTATGAACATAGTGTACATATTGATGAGCACTGGGAGATAGAATTTTCGAGATACACACATGACGACATACTGCCGCAGGCCAAGTTCCACGAGGCAGAGGTCAACGGATGGCCCTGTCATTGATGGCTCTGTCGGTCTGGCGTTGGGGAAATGCAAGGGTAATTGTTGGTAGGTCTCTCGTACGTACGATAATCGTATGGGAAGCAATCATGTATTGGTGTTGTTCTATCTAAGTTCTGAGAGGCTACATGCCCCAAAGGGAATAACTAAAGTAGCCTTCTAAGTGCAAGGGTCGTACTTATTAATACTTGCAGTTTTTCTCTTTTTTTAATAAGTATATATAATCCTTATTATAATTAATAATTCTTATTATAATTAGCCTAAAATTATAATTTATTGCATATTATATATATATAATTTTTATTATAAGAAAGCATTGCTAAAGAGGCTTAAAATTATAACTTATAAGTTTTAAAGCAAGTTTTAATAATTTTTATTATTGCATTACTCTTTAAACTTATAATCTTTATTATTATATTATTCCTTAAATATTATATTTATTATTCTTAATACTTAGCTTTTAAAGTTGCTTCTTTATAAAGATTATTAATTTCCGCATAATAGCCTTAGTTTTAAATTTCTTTTTTATAAGAAAAATTAATACTTATAAAGCTAATATTAAATCCTTTAGCTTATATTTATTTTTATTATATATTTTTATAATATAAATATTATTATCTTTATCCTTATTCTTATTATTAAAATATACTTAATATTGCTTTAAATTAATTTTTTTTAACTATTTTTTATTTTTTTAAAACTAAGTATTATAAGCAACCTATTTATTTATTATCTTCTTTTCTTGCTTTTTATTATTCTTTTTAATTTCCTTAATAATTATCTTTTGCTTAAATTACTTAAGCAATAATATATATTTCTTAATAAATCCCTTTATATATAGGCCTTATATATACTTATTAATAATTTAATATAAAAAGTTTTAAAGCTAAGTTAATATAATAATTTAATCCTTTAATAGCTAAATCTTTTTAATTTAATATATATAAAAAATACTTAAGATTAAAACTTTTATTAAGTTATTTATTATAAAAATTATAATAATTTAATATTTAAAATAATAATTACCTTAATAATTCTTATTATTAAAAATACTATATAATCTTATATTAAGAGTTTTAATGCTTTTAATATAAATATATAGCTTTTTAATTATATTATTAAAAAATATTTACTTATCTTAATATTAAAAGTTATTAATAATTTAAATAATAGCTATTATAATAATATTAATTAAGAAAAATATCTTAATTTAAGCTATAATTATAATCTTTAGCTTATTAATTTTAATAATTTTATAAAAGTTAACCTTAATAAGCAGCTTGCTTTTTTTAATGCTTAATATAAAAATAAAGTTAAAGATAATTTTTATAATCTTTATTAAGGTTTTATTAACTTAATTTTAATTATTTTTATTATTAATAATAATTAAATTACTATTAATATTAAATAAATAAAAATTATTATTATTAATATCCTTATTAATATTTATTAAATAAATAAGTAAATAAAAGTTATTATTATTAATATTTTTATTAATATTTATTAAATAAGCATTATTAACAATAACTTTACCATAAGAACTAGCAAAACTAATAAGCTTATCTTTATCTTTATTAATTAAGGCAATTTTAACCCTTCTTATAACCTTAATAATAATTTTAATCTTTATCTTATTATTTAATAAGAATATAATTATAATATTTATTTTATTAATTAAGGTTATAATTATAATATTTATCTTATTAATTAAAATTATAATTATAAAGCTTATTTTATTAATTAAAGTTATAATTATAATATTTATAAGGGAATCTTAATTTTAATTAAGGATTATAATAAAGCTACCTTTAATATTAGCTATATTAACGGCAGCTATAGTAATAATTATACTAAGTATATCCTTAATACAGGAAATAAATACAATATTTATTAAATAATTCTACTTATTATTATTATCCTTATAAGGTATATTAATAAAAATATTAAATAACTCTTATAAGTTATTATTAATATTTTTTATTATAATAAAAAAAAAAAAGATTTTATAAAAATTTAATAATTAAAATAAATATTTATAATGCAAAACTTTATAATTATTATGCAATAATTATTAATTTATTTATTATCTTCTTTTCTTGCTTTTTATTATTCTTTTTAATTTCCTTAATAATTATCTTTTGCTTAAATTACTTAAGTAATAATATATATTTCTTAATAAATCCCTTTATATATAAGCCTTATATATACTTATTAATAATTTAATATAAAAAGTTTTAAAGCTAAGTTAATATAATAATTTAATCCTTTAATAGCTAAATCTTTTTAATTTAATATATATAAAAAATACTTAAAATTAAAACTTTTATTAAGTTATTTATTATAAAAATTATAATAATTTAATATTTAAAATAATAATTACTTTAATAATTCTTATTATTAAAAATACTATATAATCTTATATTAAAAGTTTTAATGCTTTTAATATAAATATATAGCTTTTTAATTATATTATTAAAAGATATTTACTTATCTTAATATTAAAAGTTATTAATAATTTAAATAATAGCTATTATAATAATATTAATTAAGAAAAATATCTTAGCTTAAGCTATAATTATAATCTTTAGCTTATTAATTTTAATAATTTTATAAAAGTTAATCTTAATAAGCAACTTACTTTTTTTAATACTTAATATAAAAATAAAGTTAAAGATAATTTTTATAATTTTTATTAAAATTTTATTAACTTAATTTTAATTATCTTTATTATTAATAATAATTAAATTACTATTAATATTAAGTAAATAAAAATTATTATTATTAATATTTTTATTAATATTTATTAAATAAATAAATAAATAAAAGTTATTATTATTAATATTTTTATTAATATTTATTAAATAAGCATTATTAATAATAACTTTACTATAAAAATTAATAAAATTAATAAGCTTATCTTTATCTTTATTAATTAAAGCAATTTTAACCCTTTTTATAACCTTAATAATAATTTTAATCTTTATCTTATTACTTAATAAGAATATAATTATAATATTTATTTTATTAATTAAAGTTATAATTATAATATTTATTTTATTAATTAAGATTATAGTTATAAAGCTTATTTTATTAATTAAGGTTATAATTATAATATTTATAAGGAAATCCTAATTTTAATTAAGGATTATAATAAAGCTACCTTTAATATTAACTATATTAACAGCAGCCATAGCAATAATCATACTAAATATATCCTTAATATAGGAAATAAATATAATATTTATTAAATAATTTTACTTATTATTATTATCCTTATAAGGTATATTAATAAAAATATTAAATAACTCTTATAAGTTATTATTAATATTCTTTATTATAATAAAAAGAAAAAAGATTTTATAAAAATTTAATAACTAAAATAAATATTTATAATGCAAAACTTTATAATTATTATGCAATAATTATTAATTTATTTATTAATTATAAAAGAAGTTAATAAATTATAAATAAATTTAATAAAAGTTAATTTTAATATTTTATTAATAAATAATAGTAAAAAGCAATAATAATAATAAAGTTAACTTTAAAATAATAATTATTAATAATATTAATAATTATAAGGTTATCCTTATATATAATAAGGTATTAAAAAGGTTTTAATTAAAATATAAAAGATTAAAGTTTATATTAAGGGTTTAAGTTTAAGAAGTATAAGGTTTTATAGCTAATAATAATAAGGTTAAAAGGAAAAGGGTATTAGCAGTAAATTACTCCTTCCTTAATAAAAAAGGGCTACTTTAGGTTTCTTAATTAACCCATTTACTTATATATAAAGCTTATTATTATTAATAAGCTTTTATAATATAATATTTAAAGTTAGTTTTATTATTGCATTAATAAAGTTATTTTTCTTATTTATTTACCTTACTTTAGCAATTTCTCTTATCTTATATAACTCTTATAATAATATAATATTAATTATAAAGCGCTTTTCCTTTATTATTTTTAGCTTTATAAGGTATTTATATAAGCTATATAAGTTTATATAAATAATTAAAGGTATATTTAATAATAAGAATTATTTTATAGCCATCTTAATTATTATAGCTAAGGAGATTTTAATATTTATTTTATTTATTATGCTATAAATTTTGCTTATTAACATACTTTAAGTAATATATTTATACTTTATTAATAATTAATAAAGAATATTACCTATTATTATAAATCCCTTAATTTTCTTATAAGTTTTATTTATAAGGATAATAATATATTTAAGTTAAAATATTAAATCTTAATTATTTATAACTAATTTATTTATAAATATAAAAAGTTTTATTATTTTAAAATTAAGAAATATATATTTAATTCCTTGCATAGCATTATTTATTTATTATAATAATTATATATTTAAGCTTTTATAATTTCCTATCTTTAAGTTTTATACCTATATAGCTATTAAAAGATTATATAAAGCTTTTAATTAATAAATTAAAGCTATATATGCTTTGCAAGCTCTTTATTTAAGGTATCTTTAAGGAGCGTTTTTAATTATTACATTAATAAGGGTAAGTTTATTAGCCTATCCCTTTTATTAAATAATAATTAAGTTAATAA